TCCATCTGTGTGTGCTGCAGGTCACGCAAAGTGTTCCTGTGCTTATATTTTTATGCCTCAGTAAATTGAATATCCTTATCTTCCCACTCTGCTTGCATTTTGGGACTTTCACTATGCGTAATTATTGTTTCCACTCTCACTGTAGCTGCAGTGTTTGTTTAAGAGGAGTGATGTTTTTATCTCAGACCAGCAGCTAGGGGAACGAGACCACCAATATCATGCAAAGTACCTTTGTGTCAGTAAATAGGGAAATTGTCTGTGCCATTACTTATCTATAAAAATGTGCATGTGCAGTATAAGGCACTGATGGCCAAGCTGTCTAAGTGTGCCCAACATACAGGACATAGACAGCTGGAGTTTGATTCCACCCTGTGACACCTTTCCTGCATCTCACTCCCCTCTCTCTCCCCAGCTCGCTGCTCCATCCTCTGTCTATGAAGGCCAAAAATAAATCTTTAAAAAATGCATTTATCACAGTGGAAATCATCCCTCATGATACAGCAAAATGCAGCCTTGTTATTAACTGTGTTGCTGATAGAACTGTGACGCCTGCACACCTGGCTTTCTTCAATCATGTGTAACATGGGCAGGGCTGAGAGGCAGACAGGCATCTGTCATGTATCAGAGAAAGCTAGTCGCAAATAGCTGTCATCTGGGCTGATGATAAACTTCCTGTTGATCCACAGATCGCATACAGTCTGAGTCAGGTGTACTGATACAAAAACATTAAAAACCTGCAGCAGTCTTGTGATAATTACTGCCATAAAATAACAGTTGAACTACATTTAATCTTTCACCAGAAAGTGCAAGAGCTATGATATTTCACAGACATTTTTGTTATAAAAACTTCAGGAGAGGCTACGAATAGAGCCAATATTGCCATCTATCTCCTTTTGCAAAAACACAACAGCATAAACGCTATAACCCACCATGTCAACCTGCTACACTGAGGGAGGGGGGCAGAAAGTGAGACCCTGTTAATAGAATCATTTACCAGTGTATGTAGACATGTATGACCATGGAGCTGTCTGAGCATTTCACTGCATGTTTTCTTGAAACACATTATTTCTGCTCTAGCCTACAGTTTCTTTTTTTCCAGCACACTTGACAGCCTTACAGCATTCAGGTCTCTTTTTTCTGTGCCACTGTTTCAACATGATGTGGTGTTTGGGTGAAAGTTTTTTTTTTTTCTTTTGTTCTGTCGTTTGTTTGTTTTTCCCTATTTTATTTTTCACACTAGCATGGTAAGATTATTTACTCCCATTCATTGTGTGGTAAGTTTTTGTAAGGCACAAAGCATGTTTGGATATCTGCCCATAGACCAGGCAGGCAGTGAGATGAACAACAACAAATCACCTGTTACTCACAAGATAGAAAAGCTGCAACCAGACTAATTCTAAACAATATGATAAGGCAGCCCTTCAGCAGGTGACTTGTTTATAACGTTTCATTGTCAATTAATTTTATCACTGTATGCTTGACATCCAGCCTAGTATTTTAAAAGCACCCTCTTGTTGTCCTGGTGGGGAGTTGCATGAATTGACAAGCCCCCTCTGTTAATTCGCCATGCTGCCCTTCTTTCAAGTGACCAAAGCAGCCCACAGGATGCATTTTAAGACAGTTTGATCGCATGCATTAAACTGGCACCTATAAGAGGGGAAGAGTTAAAGTCATTTTATTCCTGACAGAGCAATTTTAATCAACTAACATTACTGAACTGCACATCAGTCAACCAGTGTGACCCAAAGCCAACTACTGAGTAGCTTTGTCATCTCCCTATCTCCCTTCTTCAGTGCAAATCATTTTTAGACAGTGATCTTGATTTATGGATTGAATCATTATATATTCAATCATCAACGTATTTCAAACATATGTTTACCCTATGCAACTTTATACCTATATTCCCATGTAATTTATAGTCCCATACAAATTTCAGAGATGTCATGGACAGTCAAATATGGCTTAGAAACTCATCTGTAAGAGCATACTTTTGCATGGAAGAACAAAACAGCACAGACTACAATGCACTGATACAAGGATCTAGTCACAACACTTAGGATCAAGAAAATCCTTTTTGAGACACACGCGAAGAGCCATGCTCAGCCCTGCTTTCTGACAGGAGAGGCAGGAAGCTCACAGGTCTGCTCGGACTTAATGACCAAAAGAACAAAGCCTGTCCGGGTGAACTGTCCACTGAGGGATTATGAAGCAGACAAGCTATGGAGAGAAGTAACAGAGGTAATAGGATCACTGCTGTCCATCTGGCCTTGTACCAACACAAGGTGCAGGCTATAAATAACACTTCAATAGCTAATACTATTGATTTACAACCTCTAACTGGCTAAAAGGGATAATATTGTGATCTCTAAAATGAAAAGCTCACAGACCACAAGTAGCTTAAAATTTGGTGTATAAGACACACGTGTAATACATCTTTTAAAGTTTGAGATAAGTTTGAGATAATATTATCTCAAACTTTACGTGTGCTTTCCTAATAACAATAAGAGCCTAGTGGAAAAAAATAGAGAATTTAACCCTCTACCGTTGAGGTTTATACCTTACCATATGATTTCTTACAACCCCTACAACCCGGGATAGATAAGACAGATGGGTTGTGAGGGGCAGCACATCACTGGGGGTTATCAAGTGGGAAGCCCCATTTTTTTCCATGTTTTACTGACCCATAAATGCTCTGCTGTTAAGTTTTCACTTTAGTAACCGTGACTGCTTCAACTGGCACCAATGTGTTTTGTTTCTACTCCCTCCTAGCTCCCACAATCCTCTGTGGCAGATATGCACAGCTTCTAATTTAGCTGGATGCTGGAGCATGGTGCATTAATCAGCACAAATAAGATTGAAGGAGACAAAAAGTCAGACACTAAAACAACATCAGAACATCCAGCAGATGTTTAAAATAAAACCTCCTCAGTTTGTACTCAACCTAACTATGCCAACAAACTGCCATAGTGAACACTTGGTGATCGACTCGTCAGGGCTCCCCCAAAGACAAGCGGCTGCCGGAAGGGAGTGGGTGAGTTGTGTTTAGTCTCTTTGCTAAAGAAATCAGGCAAAGCTAAAAAGATGTTTGGTGGCTAGTGCTACGACTGGAACCCTACATGTGCTGTTGATGAAGTTAGGTGCTGTTCTGAGCTTTATTTGTGGCTATAGAGTGGCTTTTCGTTGAGGTTTGTGCGTGGGGACGACACTATTTATTGCGATTCTGCGGTTGTTGCTGAAGTTGGTATAACTAGAGAAGCAAGCATAGTCGGCATAGTCATTTCTCGAGGGGGTGAGATGAATCTAATGGACCTGGGGAAACCTAGCTTTTTCTGTAATGAGCTTTTGATGTGGAATAATGTTCAAAAAGGCCCACTCATATTTACAAATACTAGTATATTGCAAATGTAAAGACCAAAGCATGTGGTTGTCCTTTGAATTTCTGCTTCAGAGCTGGTGACTGTGGCAGTTTTATGTTTGTGACTCCACATGGTTGCTACCTTGGCCAGGTCCCTTTTGCAAGATATTTGAATCTCAATGAGACTTTCAGCCAAAAGCTATAGATAACAGCTAACATAAATCCTGATTGCAATATGTATCTTTTCTAACTGTCTTGGCGTGTCCTGTCTGTTGGACTTGTTGATATACTTTTTCCTTATCCACTCTGATGCTCTCTGGAAAAGGTGTTATGTGTTAAACAGACACTGAGGCCCTTTGAGGCAAGCATTTTGAGCAATTCAAAATCTGAGTTGGCATGACCTTAAGTTGAGACTTTTATAGAAGGAAAAAGACGTAAATCCTGCTGTTGACATTATATTTTTATGCTTTGAGAATCTTTTCTTTCACCAAAGAAGACCCTTAAGTACAATCAAAGAATTGCCCCGGGCACAGAGACAATAAGTCTTCCACTGGCAGCTGAGGATATAGTTCAGTAATAGTAGGTAGCATCAGAAACGGTCATTGTGACATGCGCAGGATCATTTGGTAAGCAGTAAGTATCTTTTCAGGGCCATGTCCTGTTTATGTTTATATCACATCTGTTACGGAAGATGTCATGAAGTGTCCGTACAGATCAGAAAATCACAAATGTCTGAAAGCTCTCCATGCCACACACAAGCAGGCAGTCATCTGGTTCAAATCAAATCAAGGAATAAGCAAGTGACAGCCCCCCTGATCCCTTGGGTACATCACCTGTTTGTGGTCTCTGAGAGAGACAAGACAGGACAGAGGCACAATAAAACACAGAGAGAGTACTGCTGTGAGAGGTAGTTGATCTGCAATGCTGCCAGAGCCTTTGGTGTCTGCGTGTCAAATGCCAGTGCACTCCATAGGAATACGATAACGAGGGCTGCACACACAGGGAATGCCAAATGAGATATCAAACACAGAGGAGAACCCAGAAACACAGAGCGTGGCACTAAGCCGTTTAATAAGACATAAATGCAAAGACTGCATGCCTCCATTGTACTTCAGCACCCTTACTGTCCAGGGTTGTGACAGCACAGACCTTGGCATGAAAATTAACATCTTAATTTGACACATAACTCATAAGGGATTGCCCTTAGCCAAAAGTGCGACTGGCATTCATCGGTAGGCATTTCTTAAACATCTCATGGAAACTGTCCAAAAGCTTTGATTAAAGATTTACTCCCTGATATGTTAGAAAAGTGATTGATTAAACCATCAAATTTTGCTCCAGGACACATCCATCTCATGCCCTCAGATAAAACAGTAAACTAAATGTTGTTTCATTAATATTATATAATTACATTAAAGAACTTTCCGAGGCAATATGCATGCAAGAAAAATTACAAACAACACGTTACTGGAAAAGGTATGATTTATCATTTTCATGAGTTTACTTAAGTACTTATGGATGACTGACTATTCAATAGAGCCAATAAAGGGCATCAAAATAGTTGAGGACTTTAGAGACAAAAAAAAACCCAAACCAACATACAAGACAGAACTTCTTCATAATGGATTTAAAATTGTTGGATGTACTCACTCTTTGGGATGAGGAGACAACTCCATGATGGGCTTTTGGTGGCGGTGTAACTCCAGCATGTTGCACGGTCTGTACAGCTAAAATCCTGAGATGTATTGGATGTAAAACCTTTGAAGAATTACAGACCCTGTACCAAGTGAAGGGGGAAAATTAGTCAAAAACTGGCAACTGTATTTAAAAGCGCTTAATCAGTCAATTTCAAAATAATACTCTTATAGATTATATGGACATTAAGACAGAGACACAGATAAGAATTCATATTTGTAGGATAAACTACAGTCTGGCCAAATCTGTTCCAGATTCAGAGACAATATTAGAGAGGCGTCTTTGACAAACCCTGAATAATCCCAACTGTAAAAAAAACTGCAATGTGAATCCCTATTATTAATAAATCTGATCATTCATAACTCTGTCAGGTAAAAGTTGCTGAGGCCAAGAGGTCAATATTTTACATCCAAACATGTGGATGATGACAGTATTTCACGGAATGTGAAACTGAGCATTCATGCAGGAAGTACTAAAAAATTAATTATTTCAATAAAGTTTCAATAAAAAAAGGCAACGACATTAATATTTAATAATATTTAAGAAATTAACTGGTAGGTGCTGGAAGTGCAAGTATGTGCAATACTGACACCACAATGAAATACAGCCATCAGTTTTGATAATTAGCTGCACCTATGTAAGCTACCTGTCAAAATAAATCTAGTCTTTGTTGTTTTTATGCTTTATAGCATTGAGGCATGATAATAGCCAATGACAGACAATGTCAAATAATCTAACATTTGACAGTTGGTTCTTGTTATGGTTTTACTCATGCTAACCTGGGGGGTCATTGCCTTTTTGACTCTCTTGGGTGATAAAGAACATGAAAACATTTCAAACTCTCAACAAAATATGCGAAGCTAACATAGCCTGCGTGTGCCAAGATGATAAAATTGAGCAACCTTACTTGAAAAAGTGTTCGAAAAAGCATCGAAGTACAACTGTAACATCACGTCTGTCGGTGCATGAGGTGCTAGAACAGCTTCTCCAACAACTGTTTTCAAAATAAAAGCATATTTGGGTATATTCATTCAATCTATCTAATAACTGTCTATGAGACACTTTAATTTTGAAACTAACTTACCAACGGCTATATAATGCATAAGGCATGTTTATGCCCGTTTTCTGGCCTTACATTTTCCTATGAGCAACTTTTGTGCCAAGTTAAAACACACTTAACAATTGTATTCTGAACGATTGTAGCCTATCGTTCTGACTGAGGAAGCATACTAGAACAAGGACCCACATGCACTTGTAAACAAAAGTTAAGCAAAAAGAAGAAATTGATTTGACTTGCACTGAACCCTGATATAAAATCCATATCACTGTTGTAATAATAGGGAAAACCAAATCTATGTCTGACATCAATGCCAAAAATCAGCTCTTATTGAAAAAAAAAGGTATTTCAAATGTCATTCTTGTAACTTGAATTTGCCTTTAGTCTGCAGGTCCCAGGTCTCACCTATGCTTAGTTTTATAATTCCATGCCATTTAAGAGGACATTTCATAATAACATGCTATCTTTGTGCCATCAAAGTTCACCCTCCAAGTACTGGCAAATTTAACATTGTTATTAATATCAACAGAACCACCCTGTACAAAACAATGCACCCTGGCCTAGGGGGAGGGAAAGGTTGATGCCTTCCTTCCTGCCAGCCAAAGCAGAACAATGAGCATGACTGACCTTGACAAAGACGATATGGTTGTAGGGTTATTGGAGGGTCACCTATAAAGGATTCTGCTGCTTGTGAGTGTAATTTTCCTTGGGTCTGAAAGCAGCCTGTAATGAGGCAGGCTACGGGAATATGATGCCGTTTAAACGCCATTACGACCGGACGCACAATGCCCTCTCAAATGGCTCATGGCAATTGAAATGATTGAAATGCACTCAGTGTCATATATTAGAGCATCAAGCCTTTTAAACTCAGAGTCCATAAGGCAGAAGAGGAGAGGGGTTGGCTCTCTGAGCAGCTAGCTGCTAACCAGTGGGTCAGTACATGGAGACAGATGGCTGTGTGGACCGACTGTTAGCCTTGGCAATAGAGCTGCAACAATAGATCTGTGATGTGACAAACTGGTCAGCTGCTGACTGCTAAGACTCATGGGATCATCATGGGAACACAAACACAGATAGCCCACAAAACATTCCTCTGAGCTGCCTTGGCAGGAGAAACCCCTCTGGGCAGTCCCACAGTCCACCCCACCCTCTTGGTTCCCTTTCCTCTCTTATGCGTCTGCTCTGCCTCCATCTCTCAGGATCTCCTCTGGACGCTTTCCCAGCAAACATTGGAAAAGCCCTTTTACAGCAAAAGGCATTAAAGTAGTCAAGGCAGTGTGGGTGGGTGTGTGTGTGTGTGGGTGTGTGTGTGTGGCGGTGTGAGGAGGGGAATCGTGACTGAGGTTCTGATGGGAATTTGATGGTGTAAACAAACTCTCATAACACACCTAACTGACCACATAAAGCAGACATTTTTCTCTGACATAATACTCCGGGTTGGACGCTCAAATGTTCTAGTTTTTTTCTGTTTTAATTTATAACGTATTTTTGGCCTTTTTGCTCCTTATAGATAACACAGCTGAGGAAAAACAGGAAATATGGGGAGTAAAGAGTAGGTGATGATGTGCAGTGAGAGTCCCGCTTACCTTATAATCTAGAACAACCCCCACTACTGACTAGTCATCATTCCCGAGGCCATGTTTGCATCTAACTAGTCCATCACTAATGGTGATGTAAACTTGGAATCTTACATTAAATTTAGCTAGGAAGCTTGCTGTTGTCTTGGAGTTGCTCGCTTATGGCCGGGTCGGGTGTGTTGTTTCCTCTTGAAATATAGCTCATTGTACACCTCTATTTGACACGAGTCAGCACCAGTGTTTCCCTTACATTCATTCAAATTAAGTGCTTCACAACTGAAATTTCACATGATCATTAATATCAATGCGCTACTAATGATTTCTACTAGCACTGTGTGAGCACAACAACAAACAACGTCACTTTTGACTTGTTTTGAGTCATCAACAAGCGCATCAAATCCCATTGGACCCTCTTCCATCAACGTGAAAGGTAATGTTCAAGCTTACACGCAGTCTATTTGATGCGCTTGTAGCATTAATAGCAAGTAGCATTAATAGCATTAGTAGCATAAATATCAATGCACCACTAATGATTTCTACTCGCACTATGAGACCTTAACAGCACACGTTATTTTCGACTTGTTTTGAGTCATCAACGCGCGCATCATCGAGTAGCGTGGGTAACGTAACGTATGATGAACATAACAGCGTAGCTCCTTCACCATACACAAAGTCAAAAAGGTATGTTTACAAAACTTCTCCTTACAAGGCATCCCCTTTTCTTGGTATGATTGATTCGAACAGCAGAACATCTGCTGTGATTAATTGTGAATCTGCAACTCTTTTAGTCATTTTCAGCATTGTAAATTGCAGCTTAAAATAAAGCCTAAAACCAGCAGAGTTTCTTAAGATAGATGAAAATGTGGTTACTTGTTTGTTTGGGCCTATTTTACAGTCTCAGGCACCTGTCAGCTGTTTTACTGAATCAGATAAAAGCTGTGAGCAGATCATTTTACACTTTATTTATCTAATTTGAGACGACCAAGTTCTCCTTTAGCAAAAATCAGGTAACAGTAATTCAGCATGCATGATTTTTTTTTAATAGCACCCCTAGCTGTTGTAACAAACGGGATAAACAACCCATTAATTTTAGCAGACAATCCCTTGTTCCTCTCTCATTTGCTGTTGCAGTTTTTTTTTTCAGGTTAAACAAAGAGATTTTAGTTTCTGTGAACTTTCCTACCACTAAGTACTACTTTCATTAAAGACTGATCTGCATTAAAAGTTTAAGGGCATAAGTCCTCAAGCATGAATCTTCATCTACAACAGATTTACATCAGGATTATAGAGGACTTTCCTCTCCATGAGTTATTTTGTGAATGGGCTCTCAATAAAAACGAACTCGAATCATTGTTATTGATCTATGAACCCATGCATGCTGAGAAGGATGCAGTAAGTGATGTGTCAGTGTCTATACTAAGAATATCGATCAGGTGTTGCAAGGCTTGAAAGAAACAAACGTATGCAAGATAACAAGGCGCATTGATCACAGTAAACAGGGGAAACAATATGGCACAGGACATCCTCTCTGAGTGAAGTTTATATTCCACACACAGCTACCGAAGAGACAAACAGAGAGAAAGAATTAATGGAAGGAGAAGGAGACAGAGAGTGTAAAGACGGAACAGCATGCAGATGAGCAAGAGAAGAGGACGAGATAGAGAGAGATAGATGACTTGCACCTGGCAGGAGGAGATTGATTAATTGTTTGTGAAGAAGGAGAAAAATTGAGCCGATAATGGAAAAGCAACAAGAATAAGAAGACAGGTAAAATGATTACCATGCTGATAGGACTCTCTCTGATAAATATGAATTATACTGAAGAAAATGAAGCCTGAAGGAAGAGTTGAACTAAATGAGAAAGACAGAAAGCAGGAGAGGATTGTACACGCAAAACAGACCTAAATCACAGAGTTCATCTCCTGGCTTTAAAACAACCCCGGTGTCTTCCTCTTTTAATCCATCATCAAACGTTCCCACGTCCTGGCTGCCAGGCTGAGAGCTGGCCATGTGTAGTCCGGGGTGAATAGACAACCTGATTAATGAAGGTCACAGCCAAACAAAGTGCCCACTCAAAACTGTTACTGCGGTCCCATGGGGGTCAGGTAAACCATGTACTGACCTGCAGTTTGGAGTGTCAGTCAATGTTTAACAGACACATTTTGTCCCATCTGTGGTGTCAGTCTAGTCCATGTTTAATTGTCTGTTGTTTGAATTAATCACTGTGAAAGAGATTCAGTTTCGTGTCCACCTTGTCTGAGATGCACTACAGTGCTTGTGATTGCCAGTTTTGATGGGTGTGAACAGCTGGCGGTGTACATAAATTGGACTGTACTGTCTCACTCTGCATGTGTGTATGTGTGTGTTGCACAGAAAGATAGATAACCAGCACTGCTTTGTGGCTCAGCATTCAACCATGCAGAACACAGAAACAGTAATCAAACAGAAAGGCGAAAAAACAAACCACCATGACTACAACCTGGAACACCTGCTATCTCACATTTGACTGGGCCTCAGTCTCTAGCCTGGAATCAAGGATTTGCTATGCAAATATCTGTAGCAACCTGGGAATATGGTTAGTCATTAGTGAAGGACACCCATTTAGGAAGCTGTGGGTTTTGCAAATATTACACAGCTACCCTGCATGAATAACTTTTAACAACCCTGGGCTTTATTACAGGCAACACAGATGATATCAGTGAGTGTGTTTCTCTTTCTGCTTTATTTTATTAAATATTTAAAAGACAGTATGCGGGAAGTGTGATTGGACTCTGCGAGAATCTACCTTTTACCCACTTGTCACTTTTTAAAAAGAGACTCTTTTTGCTTCATTGAACCTTTAACAACTCAATTAAATTTTTCGTTGCTTAGCTCAAAACAAATCACAACTTCATCAGCAGACAGAAAAGGCGACGGAGCACAGGAAAACTTAAAATTCACATCAAATTCTCGAGCGTCGAATCTCCTTTCTTTCTTGTCCTGATGAATATGCCAGATATTCTTTACACACAACTGAGACCTAATCACGAGTTTAAAGGGCAAAATGGAAATTAAAAGAGTCTTCTAAATGCAGATAAAGATGAGCAAAAAAACCCTCTGAGTCTAGCATGAAAGGAATTTTGATTTGGGCGAGGACAGCTGGAGATAATTATGTGTTAGGTACTTGGTTAAACTCCTCTTGAAGGAACTTTCAGCTCTCACCAGCATAGTAGTAGTACTGTAACAGTTTGTCACGACATAACCCCCCCACTAGAGGGTAAGCTGAACCATTCTTGTGCTGACATGGCGATCACTAAAGTCAAACGAGTGTGACCAGAACTCATGCTAACCCACTCCAGAGCATATTCCCACTCAAATCCACTCATACAGGCACGGACAGAGTCTCCCTCTCTCGTTAATAATTGCTGATTAGCAGATCAGCTTCATCAACCTTCAACGCGTCACTATGGGGTAGATTACACAGACAACCATACCCATGATGATGATGATAATGGAAATGGAGTGTACTCATCATCAGCCATGAAACACACTCTGATTACAGTCATTATTAGTTACGCTGACTTGGACTGATTGGAAATTTAAATAATCAAGTTGATACGTCTAACTAGGAGAAGCACAATGCTTGTTAAATTTATGTGAAGAAAGCTTTTATTTATGAAATTCAAAATGCTTGAAGTGTGTTATAATTATAAAGTTTTCATTATTAGCTTTCAGTTTCAATATTTTCAAGCCAACCCAACACAAATAACTATCTTTCCTGTTCGGTGTTTAATAGGGCACCATTATGCGCACTTGTGTGTGTGTGTGTTTGCGTGTGTGTGTATGTGTGTGTGTGTGTGTGCAGTGTGTTTTGCTCCTCCACTGACAGATTGTTAAACTAACAGAGCTAAATGAGGTGCTATCTCATTAGCCTCATTAAGCTGAACCCTTGTTTCTTTAATTGACATAAAAACAAACACTTGCTCCTGGAAAAGAAGCTGCCAATTATTTACTGTCCCCTCCCACTGTTTTTGCTAGTGCTACTGTATATGTGTGTGTGAGTGTGTGCCTGTGTGTGTGATTTCAAGCCCAGCCAACAGATGGATGAGTCATGCTCTGTATGGATCTTGTATTTATCCCATAACCTGTTGATCACATACAATTTCCTCCACGCCCTAGGATGTTTTAAATGATTTCATGCATTGTTGCATCTATACAAATGACTTTTTCTCCAAACTTTTAGAAAGGACCAAAGAAACTTCTAGTTGAAAGCAGCAGGTAGTAAAAAAAAAAAAACTAGACGATAGATACATGTCCACAAAAGTGGAAAATGTATACAAATCAACTTGCTTGTGTCACATACACTGAAAAATGTATCACTGCATTCCTGACATTGGTTTATAAGTTATAACTCAGAGTCTTTTTCAATCTTAAATGTAAGGGACAGAGGCATGCTTGCTCGTAACCATGGAGACTGCACAGCTTTTCTAAAACCAGGACAGACGGAAGCTTTTGTCACACAATTTCATATCCTGTGCAAACAACCTACTGCTCTACAAAGCACGCACATGCAAAGGAGCAATCGATAGAAACTTGCTGAAAAGTCATACGTAAACCACAACATTTATCACTGAGGTAAATGAGGATGGTAGCTGTTTGCTTTCAGTGCAGGCTCCATAAGCAAGCTCTCAATATCTCTGGCAGCCTTCAGGAAATCTACACACACACACACACACACACACACACACGCTGGATGCTTTCTCCAAGACGTCTGTCGGCAGTGTTTGTGTTGCTGGAATGGTGACAAATGCAGATGAAACAGGCAGTGGAAAGAAATTAGATTTTTCTGGGATTTCTTTCACTCATGGTGCCAGATGACGCTGCACAAAGACATTCACACACAGAAACACACACAGACACAGAGTGCTTGCTAAGAATTGGCTGTGAACAGGAAGTGAACAATGGCAATCTCTCCAAATGAAATAAAACTTGTGGTGATTGAAGGTGGAATGATTTATTACCCATCAACCTTCACTTGGGAGCAGAAAAAAGGTGGTTCCAAACATGAATAAATAAAAATATAAAAAAGTATAAAACATGGGACACTTTGTTGTACTTTGAATAGCTGAGGAGATTATCCTTTAGCTTCAAACAGAACTTACAAACAAAGCAATGTTGACCAAGACAGAACACGGACACACACACACACTCAAATCCTTGGTGATAAGAACACTGAGGAACTGGCCAAGGAATGTCTTGACATTTGTAGGGGGGGGGGGGCAGAAAGCAATAGTAATTGTGGAGAGACCGGCAACCAAACACTGTGTTGACTGTTATCACAATAAGTTTCACATAGGCTCGACTGTGCAAGGACTACTTTTGAAAAAAAATAATAATAATAATACAAAAGGAGATCAAACTGTAACAGAAAGTCTGTGTGGGAAAAAAAAGTCATTGGTACATTTCTGCTATTTTGGTGCAGACGTCCTTCACAGCATTTGTGTACGGGCTTCAGTCGTTCAGTTGTGGTAAACTTGTTTCATATAACATGAGGATTGAACTCTGCAGGATCACAGTTGCCTCTTCTTTCAAGGGTTGCAAGAATGACCTTTTGCTCTCTGTCTTCACTCACTCTCTACTCTCCACATTATCTGTGTCTCTCTTCAGCTGTCTTACCTAATAATGGCAAAAATGCTCCAAAAAGAGTAAAAAAAAAAAAAAATCTGTCATCTTACAGGTGATCCAAAACTGTTTTATTATATTTGTGCTGTCTAATCTGTGTGAAATCATTGTCTTATTTGTTCTGTGGTTGACATTCATACTACAGATGCTCTTGTTTGCAAAACAATCATAAAAAATCACCGTCTTTGAAAAAAAAATGAGGTAGGTAACGACAAAGCAATACCTCATCTCTCAGGAACTCACATCCAGGTGGCCTACCTACTGGTTTGCAATCAGCAAAGGGAAACATAACCCTATATGGAAACACAAAGAAGACAAATAACATGAGGAGAACCAACACGCAGAATATGTTAGGGTGTAGCTGCTGCAGCTTTGGTTATCTTGTTGTGCCAAGTGTCTGAATTTTGTTGTTTTGGGAGATTGATAACAAGCACTGAACAATCCCAGCATGTCCTGTCCCTCACATAGAAAAAAACCATTCTCTGATACCACTCCTGAGTATTTGTGTGTCTGCACTGATGAAAATAAAACTGGATCCTGTTATGTGCAACAATTGGCATTACTATGTGCAGTCATGTGTTTAACCAAGTGTTTTTTATTTATCCTCTTGGTTGTCAATAGCAGGAGTCCTATCTGTACCTTCATGCTGGTGGATAAGCTTATTAAAGTCAGCAGTCTCAGCAGTCTAACGCATCAAAGACAACCAATTACCGTCCGCATTACAAAGAATGTACTGATGTAAATGGATATGTAGTTCTGCTTCATATCCTTTCAGCTAAGGATTGTCAGCCAGTGGCACAATTCACTGATGAGTCCGGGCTTTGATTAACTTAACAACAACAAAGGATTTAAAGTCCTCGCCTATACTGGTGGTAATGATAAACACTGATGAATAATGTCAGTGAGAATTCAATATTGATAAAGTCGATTATCTGTTTGCATTTATTCACAGTATTTTCAGCCATGGTCAAAATCTTGCAATAAAAGACCAAGTCTGTGAGACACAATACATCAAGGTCTGCTCTCTTTCTCTCTCTGGCTCTCCCTCGCCTCTTACTTGCTGCAGAGCTTTCACTAGGTCGCTATGGTAACTTCAGTTTCCTGCCAGGACCACTTCCAATGCACCAGATTTGACATTTTTCCCTTTTCCATTTCCCCCTTTTCAGCTGCTCTCCTCTCCTCTCCTGTCCATCAGTCAGTCTCCTCTTCCTGTTCTCACCTCTCTGTGTCTGCCTTGGTTGTCAAGAAGCAAGAAGCGTATCAGTTATCCTCCATAAACTCCAGCAGACATCACAGAAAGCCCTCATCATTATTTCCCTCTACCCACAACTTTCCGGTCAAGACTAATTCTAGTTTTTCTGCACATACCTGTTTTTTTTTTTAAGCAAAGTATTAGTTATTGCAGCAGTTTGCAAGAGATAAAAATAGAATAAAATAAAAATACAGCAGAAAATCAGTGAGTTTGTTTGTTTCTACTGATACCTAAGGAGAGTGTGTGTTTGTTTGTGTGTTTGTGTGTGCTGTTCGGAGTTTGATTACCTGTGGTAATCGGTGTAATTGTGTCAGATGTTTTGGGATTAGAGCTCCAGTCAAAGTGTTATTATTGCTGCGTTTCTCTTCACTGCATTTTCAGGGTGACAGATTCTTGCGTGTCTCCATGTCGACGGAGAAATCAAACTCCGGGTGCCGAGCCTCCTTTGAAACCAAGCAACCTTTTTGTCACAAATTGCTTCGGGTAAGAGAACAAAGACCTCCTTTATAGTACTTTTTGTTGTTGCGTGTACTCTGGCTAATGTCTTTGTGTTTGGTTCCATCAACATTACTGCTGCTGTAAATCTGTGTTTAAAGACCAATCATTGCAGGAGGTACACAAACAGCAGAAAGTAAAGTCAAATTCAGTCAGAATAGATCTCCATTTAGGTTCACTATCTGACTTTTTTGACCCAACACTCCCCTAAAAAATCTAAAAGACTCCAAGGATGATAGTAAAACTGAAAGACGGAGGGAGTTGGTAGGAAATAATAATAATAGCATTATGACATTCATTTTATCAGGTGAAGTTGCTCATTTATGTTGGAATTTTCACCTTAGAAATTTACATATTTCCATGGGATTAAAAGCACCAAAGATCTTTGCAGCTCTTACATTACCAAGTATAATTAGTCCTATAGGACTTAACAATGTATTCAGGAAGTTTTTAGAGACCGTTGTGCTTTGACCTTACTGTTCAGAGCTGTCACTTAGCAACAAATGTTGTACAGGACATTCAGAGGACAGAAACAGACACTTCATAAAAGACACGGCGAGCACTGACCTATTCACGCAGAGAAAGTTTTCTGGGAGCATCTGTTCTGATAGGAAACTACACACTGAGGTCAATAAAAAGACAGACTCACAGAGCACACACTCCTACACACAAGAGAATCTTGAATCTCACATTTAAAGCTCTTGGTCTCTCAGCAGCTATCATGACGTCATGTGTCACCTACAACCTCACAGTCTCTGATATGAATTCTGAATCAAAATCGTTATCTCATAAGAAACCATTTGGCTAATTAGGTCTTAACACCCAGCCGTTACATGGAGTCGCCTCTCTCGGTTTTCTATTATAGTAGAGGCACAGTGACTCCACAAGGAAGCCCCCCCCCTTTTCTTTTCTGTCTGTACTTCTGTATCTCATTTCTCCTCCAACACACACATACACACATTCACACACACACATACAAACACAAAGAACTCCACTACAGCGTTATGCCGAGCACTAATTACTCCCCCCTATCTGCCTGCCTCTCAGCTTCCACTCTGAATTCATCGCGTTATTGGCTGATAGTTAGGTAGCGTTGAACCACTAAGAGGTAGAAAAAGAGGAGACAGAGATCTGCCGCCTCTAAAGGGATGCTCTGGATCCATGCCTGGCTATGAGATGAGAGGCTGTGGGACTTCAGCTAGGCTATGTCTATCCAGTGGCCACTTCTGGCAGGGCACAGACAGACAAGGAGGGCACAACTTGGGTCCAGATCTGATAAAGAGAAATCCATCAGAGAGATATCACAGATTAATCAGTATGCCTTGTCTGTGTTGGCTGTGCATAGATACAGATTTAAAGATCTTGAAATATGCAGTTTTCATGCATGCATCAGCATTTGCTGGATGCAGTACCAACCCAGAGACAACAGCTGCTGGCTATTAATATCTATTGTTTAAAAATTGATGGTTCAAAACAAACTAAGATGATGGTAAAAACATAGAACACAGAAATGTACAAGTTCACGCAACACCCTTGCCGTTGTCAGAGTTATGAATTACCCCGTGAGACAAGATTAAGTATTGCTGATTCACGCATGTACACACGTACAGCATGTATCTCTGGAATGTTTTGCAGAGTCCCCCTGAAAAAATAAATCAATCTGGAAGGCCAGAAGTGCAGTCGTGAGTCTCTTTTTTTCCTTTGTTTCAGGCCAACAGCTGAATCGTGATCAGAGTAAGTTCTCTACCAAGAAACAGAGAGACCAGAAGGAAACTGCTCCACGGAGGAGACATAGTTTTCCAACTGTACGCAGAGGGCACAGCTTCAAAGACAAATCCACAGAACTGGGCTTCAAGCTCCGACTGTTAATTAGGTTAGGTCGGTTTATCTAAAAACAAAGGGCAATAATTTAATCAGAAATCTAATATGTCTCACAAAGAGGCTGCAATCACCAAATTTATACTATTACAGACATTTTCTTCCATTTGTAATGGCTTGGCATGGATGATATTGCTGATAATGAACGTGCAACAACCGTATTGTTTTATAGATGCTCCCCTGTGGTTCTCTGTAATTGCATTTACTTCACTCAGTGTGTGATTGGCTGCACATTTGTGCATGGCTGCTGTTTTTCCATGTGTCTATGTGCACCTGCCTGTCTTTCCCCCCCCGACCTGCACATTTACTAATACCTGAGACTGTTTTGCAGCATAGCAGTCAAACGCTGAGGTAAAGCCAGACTCTGTAAGGTTCAGCTATAGCTTGTCTTCCATCACTGCAGCATGTAAATTGCAGCTCCTCAATCAATGTCCAACCTTGCCTTTTTTCTTTTTTTATTTTAGTGAGTTTTTCTTCCTTTTTTTCTCCATGTAAACAGCAGGTTATGGCTTTGACAGAGGCCTCCATCAGCCTCATGATCACTCAGGCTGCAGTTCCAGCTCTCACTGATTATAATGGAGCTGCTTAATTGAGTTAACCGCTGCTGAGAGCTTGGGGCTCCTAATAAGTGTTCAATGAATGGATTAAAAAGTTAACCATCTGAAAACAAGAGTGTTTAGAAATGTAGACAAAGTTCTTTGCGCATATATGAGGTGTTCTGGGTGAAGACTTGTTATCAAACTATAGGTCCACAAACCATCGCTGTGAGATGCAATCACAGAAATTTCTCCAAGCCCTCTTTGACCTGCAGGAGTCTTGGTGAGTGAATAATTTCATATGGACTTGTCAGGAGTAAAAGGTCGCTCTTAATCGACTTTCAAGATTGCAGACCTACAACAGCTCACAGTACGCCTCTCAGAAATCAGTTGTCCCAGTGCAAGCTCTACCAGAGATAAACTGATCAATCAGTTGGCCGATTAATTAGGCCAATTAATGGCAATTTGAAATAATCAGTATGGACCGAAGCCTAAGCTGACACTGCAGTCAGCCGTCTTCTGTGTGGCTACTGTTGTGTAATGTTTACTTCTTCCTAAAGGATGACTGATTTTTTTGAGTATTTCTTGCTTTTATCATTCTTAAAGATCCTGCGAGGAGTTTTTTGACACTTGTAAATTGGACTGAAATTCATATTGATGCCATTTTATAAAATACAAAAGCAAATTATGACTGTCAGAGATAAGATTGATCATTTTTAAAATGTAATTTCTGCCCAAGAGCAGTATGAGGGGGTAGGTGTCAGCCGTGAAGATGGAGAAACAGCTCTGGTTTTACAATTCCTGCATAAAGTATTCACAGTAAATAGTAAATTTGACTGTTGAAAGTCAGAAGGATGATGTTTTTTAAAGCTCCTGTAGGGAACTTTTAGTTAGTGTCAAATTTTGTGCCCCTTGTGGACAAAGCAGTCTTTGTTTTTCTTGTCCTCAACATGAATAAATGGTATCTTTTAACAAAACTTAATCCTGCTGCCTTTGGACAGATTATTTTTGTTTATTATTTATTGTGAATATTTTATATGGTGATTATAAAAACAGGGCTGTTTCTTCACCTGCTCAGCTGACATGACCCACTTGCACCAGTTGCAGGCTTTAGAAATTACATTATAGAAACCTTTAATCTTGTCACTGGTGGTCATAATTGTATTTGGGTGCCATGAAAAAGCATTGGTATGAATTTCAGTGTTTTTCAAAACATTAATAATCAGAAAAAACTCCCCATAGGAGCTTTAACATCAATTGCCGTATATATTACTATTTCATTACATCATTAAAAATCCATCTAAAACATGTTACTGTCTGAGATGAAATATATATTTCACTGTAACGAGGATGGAATAATGAGCCTTATCATTTCAAATTATTATTTATTATAAAATGCAAAAAGGGGAAAAAACATTACCAACAAAAACGTGATGTTGACATTTATGTATGAAAAATCAACCATCTGCTTACTAATTACTGACATCAACCAAAACTAATATCCATCCATAAAAAAGCTCTACAATCCAGCAGAAAGCAAACAAGTGATTGTGATAGTGGATGCAGCTGTGTTGCTGCAGAGATCCTACACTCAGTGTTTGAAATGTTATTGCATCCTGCAGAGGGTTGATAGAGTGTCAGTCACTTATTTACATAACCTGAAGCACAACCTTGTGCAGCATTACGACAGGGAGTGCAAGCAGATGACTTCACCCTCTCAAGCTTCGAGAGCCTGTCAGAGGGTAAAACTTGAGTCAAATAAAAGCAGGGATGCAATCATTGTTCAACTGAGCTGCATGAGCACAGATGGCACCCTGTTGCTCTACTGCTAACACTTGATTTAGCCACATGGCGGCCATCATCTGATTACATCATGCTCAGGTTGGAAAACTGGAATAACTCTATGACTTCTGCTGTGCGCTGGTGCAAAGTTAGGGTTGGCTCTGACTTTGTAGTTGAAATGCAAAGGGAAGAGTGGCAATACTTGAAGATAATCACTCAATACCTTAAAGCTAAGGTCTTCCTCGAGCAACCTCAAAGCACCTGGTGTATTAGCCAGGGAGTTGCTTAATAATAACCCAAACTGGATACCCCCTAGTTATCCATTCAGTTGGTCATTTACTGGGTCTCAGTTGTGTTGCTAACTGTAGCTAACAAGGCTCAGGTCCCAATCTTATTGAAGACCTGGTTTGTACAGTTACTTGCAGAAAGCTTTAATACAACAGATCAGATGTTTTATTATTAGGTATTAAAAAGGAGATGTGTTTCTGTTGTTGGGGTTAAATATAAAAACAATGCAAATGTAAAATTAAAACAACAAAATTCCCTTGTGGTTTTTAAAAATGATGGTTAAAAAAAAAAGGATTAGAAGAGCTGTTTCTCATGACTCACCTGTTATTGATTTCTTTGCGCTCTAGAGTTGTGTAGCTTGATTGGATAAAGTGAAAGGTAGGCCTAGGCAAGCTTTTTGCTTCTGCCTATGCCTGTTCAGTCATGACTGTTGGCTAAGGTTTGTTTGAATTTAACTGAATAAAAACAACAACAACAAAGATAAGTTCAATCAAGTTTATCTACAACACACAGACGCGTTTTAGGGGGGTTAAAAGCACCATACATCTTGTTTTTCAATGATATTTATATAATTTGTGTTTTCAAACCGTGTGTTTTCAAGGCAAAACCCACTCCTGGGAACACTTTTAATTTGTTTTACTGACATGCACATGTAAACACAAAAACCTGCTCCACTAAACAACATGATTCATCCAAGGTTTCCTTTAATTACGAACATTTTGTGTAATTATAGTTTGAGTGTTTGCCATGACAACAGCCTTGAGTGTGCCAATAGCAGACGTCTGAAAGTACCACACAATCCTTTCTGATGATGTGGGTAAGAATAACATTATAAAATAATCCATACCTTGTATAAAACTTCTTGTTTTATTGATCTACATGCTCTAGCTGTTATGTTCTTCACCAGACTATGAAGGAGTAACTCAACCAACACAACAACAAGCATTACAATTGACACATACAGTCCACAGCTGCCAGAGGGTGATGCTTTACCATGGAAAGGAAAAAAGATGGAGGCAGAGGAAGAAAAAACGTCAGACACAAATCAGAAAAGGACTGCAGAAGCAGCAAAAAGAAGCAGCATGTCTGAGCTGAGTGAGTTTTTGAGGTCAGGGTAATGTTAAACATGGTAGGGATCCTTGAAGATCAAGGATGGAGGGCAGAAACATAAAGTAAGAGAAAGATGAAGAGTCAAACTGATGGTGAAAATGAAAGGGACAGCATAGCCACCGGCAAAGTCAGCGCTGTCATTACAGTGACGATTAGATCAGCAGGAGGGGTGAACCAGGGAACAGACACACATAGCTCCTCCCAACATCGCTGAGGGGCCCTGACGTGACCCTGAGGGGTTTAATGATACGACCTGGAATAAGTAGCATGAGAACCACCAACTAAATGATTAGCAATACAGGTGGAAGTAAGGTGTAAGCTGAAGTGGTATCCATATATTATTGATTCAGAATGATGTGATTTATTAAACTGAATTAAACCACTTCAGTTTTACATGATTTTTTGTTCATATTTTTTCTACACTCTCGTACACAAAAGAAAAATTACACAATCAGATTAAAACAATTTTTAGACAAGTAGCCAACTACAAGTTTATGTTGGTGCAAATACAACAAGTCCAGAGACTGAGACCCTCCAGCAGGCACAAATATTCAAACCAACTCAACAAAAAAAGGGTTTCGCTTTTCTTGCGGAATATATTGAAATACAAGGTGGTAAAAACAGAATATGTACAGTAGTGGTACATGTCTTACATGGCGCTTCTTTCGATGAAGTTCCCAAATGTAAGGGCGGTGATCTTGACCTTTTCACTGTTGTTTTGCATAATTATATTCTAGATAATTATACTGTTTCTGATTGGTATAATTTGAGCCATTAATTGCACACACTTCATCCCCTCGGGCGGCATTAGATATGCTCTGAAGCCATGCCGAAGTTACACTAAACGCTTACAAGTACACACTTAACCCACTAAAATGAGATGCATAGCTGTAGTGCTGTTAGAGACATATTGGGCCTTTAAAATTAGATGTTACGCTGTGATAGCACAGATGATAGTGTAGTCTGTGTTGGGAACGCTGTGACCTTCCTGGGCAACACATCAGACCTTATGCTGAACATAAGCCAGCAACATCTGAGTAACACTGTGCCTTAAGGTAATGCAGCAACTTTAATTGGGTTAAAAATAAAATTAAATTAAAAAAATTAAATTAAAAAAAAAGGTCAAAACATTTCTAGGAAAACACACAACTATGCAGCAATGTCCTCTCCAGGCAGCAGAACTACTGGTGTTCAATTCTTTGTTAACCCTTGCATTCAACATGTTTAACTCTGTTTATCATGAGCTCTTTAATTTGAAAAATTTTGCTTTGATTTTAAATAAACTAAATTGCTTCTCAAATGCTTTTGGCATTACTCCTGAAAAGTAAAACTTCAAAATAAGCACAAAGATTAAAAATAGAGTGTAGATGGAGATGTATTTGAAGTAAAATTTGGAGATGGTCAGAAGGCTCATACATTTACCCATGATCTATAGGATCAAGTCACAAATGTAATTAAAAAAAATCTGGGCCTCTATTTGCTTTCACTGTAGAAGGCACTGGGCCTTTAAATGAAGCAGGCTTATATTGGAGGCAGGCCTCTATATCAAATTGTCTTTGTTTGAAAGTCACTAACTTGTTTCCAGACAGTCATGAGTGAATGTTTTCCTGTCTGCTGAGAGTTGGTGATAATAATATTTTAGTATTAGTATTTAGTAACTATGCTACATTTTTAGAAATCTTTAGTTAACGATTGAAATAATCTCAAACTACAAACAAGCTTTCCATTAATAATAATAGAATGATATAATGGTTTAAAACAAACAAATAGATAAACTGTTTTTTTTTTCCAGCTCGCTCGGAGAAAGTTGTGCCATGTATCATAAACTGACTCCATAATAAGACTCCAGCTCATGATGGATATGGATAAAATTAAGCACAGACAGGATAGGAGTGTAAAGCCAATAAGTAAGAGTGCCCAGGGCTGCCTGAAGGATGTGATCCAGGCTGCAAATAATACTGGCCTTTATTTGAGGAATTAAAGTGTTTGTTTTTAGGAGCAATACAGAACCAGGACATCTACCTACACTGTGAATGTTCCAACAACTGATGGTTGTTTTCTCCACCCGCAGTTGTAATATCCAGCTAGAAAGACTTTCTGTGTCAGTATCTAATTTCGGAGACACAGAGTTTAACCTCCCACAGTGGCTGCCCATTAGTTCATTGACCTCAGATATCTATGTTTTCTGCAGTTGCCAGCTCACTATTGGGGAATAGTATCAGCAGTGAACGACACAGTAGAAGGGAATAGGAGGGGATCTGATGGTGATAGATGAGTTAGTCTCTGGCCCCACAGTGCTTCCCTCATCCTGGATAGGGGGGGTTAAAGACAAACAGTCAATCATTCTTTGCTGTGACTTCCCTTACAGGCATCACCAGGCCAATGAGGGATGAAGGAGAGGCCCAGCGTCAGAATCTACCTCCAGCTACAGAGAAACACCCCATCAGACAGAGGGGTACATTTATCTTGGGGAAATATAAATAGTTTTTGTTCAGTCAAAAAAACAAGCACAACAGATATTAGGGAGTTTTAAGCAATTTTTTTATGTGTCAGAAGAACCCTTTCTTGGAAAGATGGAGTTTATAATACTGCTTAGACATGCAAACTTCAAAAATATATTAGCTTTCTTTTTTGTTTGTCAGTTTTTGTTTGTGTACCTGCTTTTCAACCAAGAATTATAAGGTTGTTTCATCCACCAAGTATGAAGGCTGCATACTGAAACAAAATACCAGTCAAAGGCATTTTTATTTGCCTTTGAATAACAGGGCGAAAACTGGCAGCAGCTTTGTTAATAATTTCTCTATTATGCATTTGGAACCTGTGATGATCAGAGTTTCACATCGAGTGTGTGTAAATACACCCTCTAAGTGTGTGTGTGTGTGTGTGTGTGTATCTCTGAGTGTCTCTGTATCTCTGTATCACTGGGGCGTGATAATTTCCTTAATCACGGAAGGATTCTCAGAGGAAGAGACCGTAATATAGCCAATTATTCTACCTTTCACCATTAACAATGACAGATATTAGTTTTAGAGATATAGCACAAGTTGGAAAGGATACTCTTCTCTGTTTGAAAGCAGGGCTCCAAACTGCAATTTGCTCTCCTTTTTTTCACTTGAGGATTTTTCTTCTCTTTTGCAGGGAAGGCTAACTGTGCAGATAGATACTATCCATTTAAAAGGATAAATAAGGAGTTATTCCAGGACTTAAGTCAACTTAGCTAACTGGAAACAGATTTCAATAAAATCAGCAGAGAACCTTGATTCAGAAGAGAAGATAGAGGTTAATGTGCATGAACCGTGTAATATTACAAACTGTGATTTTCACACTCTATAAAGCCCCTTGACGACATATTAATTCTGAATAGCAAAGGTGACACTGGGGACAATCTGATCACACATGTCACACACCAAACCATCTAAGGAAAGTAGTTACAGCACAGCTAGTGCATTGATTATGATTTCCCCTTTTACTGTTGACATCATGACAAAAACTTACTTTCCAACAGCATCAGCAGACAACATGGAAGATTGCTTTAGTATAACATTCAACATTCAGCGAGTAGAAGATTTGGTGGTTAACAGCTGACCAGTCAAAGGCAGAAACAAGAAGCACAGATATTGGCAAAGGATGTTAGCGCACATAAGGACCTGAGTCAAACAGGTGTCAACCAAAGGAAACAGACATGAAGCAACTGAAAAATGCAACTTGGCATGGGCTTTGGCAGCGTTACAGAACCGGTTAAGTGAGAAAAGAAAGGCCAACAGGAAAGTTACGGGAAAGAGGACTTTAAGATGCTGCCAGGCACGGATTAAGGGTGCAGAGGCCCCAGGGCACAAAATCTTGGAGGCCCCTTAATCCCCAACCTGCCCCAACTCTCCGCCACTCACACACACACACACACACACACACACACACACACACACACACACACACACACACACACACACACACACACACACACACACACACACACACACACACACACACACGCGCGCTGTGATGTGAAGTTACTGTTACAGGTTTTTGCATGGACTACAATCTGTGGGGAACACCTGTGTGTTTTTATACAGGATTTACACATTGAAGTAGTGCTCAAAGGCTGCAGTGTTTTATTTTAACCTGGACAATAACACTTTTAGATATCATCCGTCACACAGGATATACACAAGTTATTCTCATCATTTCCCATCATCACCATTCATCATTATATAGGTACAGCCACAAAGTCACCATGAAACTTCCTATTTGTAACGGAGTATTGCATTCATTTGTTTGTATGTCCACACACATAAACAGTTTGTTATTTATTTCATTTCCAAAAGCAGGATGCCACAGTTGGTGGGGGTTTGGTGAGTGGTCAGCCATTATCCACGAATCTAAACTTTTAAGCTCTCTGAACGAATAAAAAGAAATATTAAAAATAATTTAAATATTGTTGAAATAAATAATGCAGTCTCAACAGGCAGAGATGACATTCAATATGTGTTATCAGGTTGTCCCTGGCATTGCTTGACTATCATGAATAATCCAACACTGTTAAGGGGTTTTAACCAATCAGAATCAAGTCTTAAACACAGACCATTAATTTGGTCTCTGATCTAGTTTTTGTGGCTGCAGCTTGCACACCTGCTGCAAACATAACGCCATAAACAAACTGCACATCAGAGCAACATGTGACACTGCCACTGTACACACAGACAGTAAGTAAGCTGTAAACATGATCTACAGATCCAGACATTGATTCTGTGGTTAATATTATTTCCTGGTCTAATTTTGCAGAGAGCAAAGCTTGCGTTGCCGCTTATACACTGTAATTGTGCAAAAAGGAAGTGCAGTTCAGCACTCTGCTCTAACTTGTACCATGTATGCAACAAATAAACAGAAAAAGGCTCAAGTGACGGTTTAGCTAGGTTAAACTTGGTAGGTCCACCACATACAGAGGCTAAACCCTTGCCCTAATAGCCCATGGTTTCACTATGGCCCCTAACCTTTTGATACATGCCCTCCCCATGCCCCTTTGACTCAAATCTCTTTTCAGCTATTTTATTAAACAAAAGGAAAAATGCCCATAAATAATAAAGAGGCAGAGAGTTTGGTGAATCAGGCGTATAATGTAGACCAAACATTGCACAAGTTTCAATGTTCTCATCTTATGCTCCACTAGAGAATAATTAATCATACGTTACAGACTGTCAAATATATATATATATATATATAAATATTTTTTGTACACTAGAAAAGAACTACCCAAATGACATTGAGTTGTTGTTGTTTGTGGAGTACAGCAGGAAGTGGATTTCAGGTTTCCAGGTGTTTAAGAGGAAATGCTCACACCGGAGACCGCAGCAAGAGTTCTTCATCTGCATCAAAGACCCTGTTAATTGCACATATGTTGTTAATTGCTAACTTTTCTGTGTGCAGCTGCCTCCAAGCTTTCTGAATAACATCTTGTTAGTCTGCCGTGATATTTAACAAGCTTTCTGCGAGTCTGCTGGTGACCAGAGAAATAGTCATTAGAGTTTCTCTCTATATCTCTTCAGCGCTTTAGGGAGGACATCATTAGCATCTCTGCCTGCGTTTGACAGGGAGTCAAAGGGGCATCTGCCTCTGCTGCACTATCACATCCTCTATCACTCATCCTTGGGGACATGTCTTTGCTGACCTGACTGCCATTGGTTAAGTCAGACAGTCTCAGATGTAGAGGTCCTCTGTTATATTTCATTGGCAGAGCATGTGGGTCAAAGAGAGCCCTTTGTTGGAAGGAGGGCTGCAACACTTGCAATATTTGCAGGCCACACAGATGTAAAGATCTGAAAGCTTTTGATCACCTTTATGACCACATTGCCAGCAGCCTGGGAGCCTTCGATGGTGGACAGAGAGATGGATTCAGGCCTGAAATGACTCAGTCACACAGAAACTCAAGCTGGCAGACATCTGGACCTGTATGCACAATTAGAAAGCCTCTCAGAGTTATAATTTGGCCTTAAGTTTGACAAATTCATGGAAGTGATGCCAATTTTTACTGTTCAAAAGACCTTGTGTTAATTATTTAAGCTGAAATCCACTGAACTCTCATGGATGAAAAGCTTAAAAATCCTCCAAACCTCAAGCTTTCACACAAGACAGTCTCAAGACAGAAACTTCTTTTAGCTAGAAGAAGGGTTTTATTTCACCTAATGACAAAAAGAGTGTTGCACCTTGTCAAAGTGTTTTACTTGACAGCGTTTGATGTCAAGAGATATCACTTTTCCAGGTTTGACATGCAACAGGTGCCAGCACAGTTTCCAAGAGTACTGAAAATCAAAACAGCAATTTAGTCAGGTAACAGCTTGGACAGTCCAGCAGAAAACTGGCAAAATTTTGGGGTCCATTAACTGCTTTAGTATTTAAGGGTGATATCATTGTTTGTAGGAGTTTCTTGTGTGGAACAGCCCTTAAAGGGATATTCTGCTTTGCTAAAGAAGCCAGACAAAGAAAGATGTTTGATGATAGCACTATAGCTGGGACCCTATATGTACTGTTGATGAAGTTAGGGGCTGTTCTGAGCATCATTTGTGGCTATAGATTGGCTTTTTGGTTTAGGTTTGCACGTGGGGACATAGACCACTGTGTATTGCTAGCGTGTGGTCATTGCTGAAGTTGGTATAACTAGAGAAGCAAGCGGTCGGCAACAAACATCTCCCGAGGGGGTGTCTAACTTAGTGTTATAGTGTGTTTGACCCTAACTTAATTTTACGCCCAAATATCCGTTTAACTTCTGCATCCCTCTTTCGCAAAAATTCGAGCATGTGTTCCAAGTTCTGTTTACAGCTTTTCAAGCTGTTTCCTGTTGGCCACGTAGAGAAGTTTTGCAGGTTTGAGCCTGAAAATACAAAATAATAGTATAGTATATAAAGTATAGTAGTATATAGTATAGTATATAATAGTAACCCTTAAGCAGGTGATCGCTTGGACTGTAAACACACACAAGAGGATAAAAGGATCATGGGACTGTAATAGTTCATGTTAAAAGGTAGTTAAAGGAATTATAATCACTGTACAGTTTTTCAGTTGGTAATTTCAGAGAGTTGTGTATGTTGATGACATTTTAAGTGAGTTATTGAGTAAAAAAATCTGCTGCCAAGTTTGACTTTGCAAATATAGATGCTGTTGCAGATAAAGACCTCCAGCTATTGTTCTCTTTTGCTTGTCAATAAAGTTGTGCTCTTATAGCGTACAGCACAGAAATTGCAAAGGTATCTGATTCCGTGCAGATAGTTGTGCACCAGCTCACCACAATACATACAATATGTCCTTGTGGAGATCTATAAATATACTGTTACAGCTAGAAACTAATTAAACAGCCATTAAAAACTATAGGAAAAACGTTAATCATAGTTCTGTTCTTTGTTGTATCTATGAGGTAGCAGAGACAATGGTATTCAAATGTTTACAGTAGCTTCATTAAAAACACACTGAGTTTAAAAAGTTGATCCTGTCTTGTGGTTGTAAAAGTAATTTTAAAGTATGGGATTTCTTTTCCAAAGATTTAAGTCTGATTCTGACACTGTCAGATGCCTCAGGTCGTGGAAGAATCCAGCTGTTTAAATTCTGCAGACAGTAAATCTCACTGCTATGGTTTACTCTGCAGCAGCCTTCCTTCCTTTAAATACACTTAATTTGCACAGAGCCTGACAGAGTAGGCCTACATACCAGATGTCCTCATTACTGCAAGAGATACAAATGCACTAAATTAAACATTTTGTTCAGATACATTGTAGCTGTGTGTTAACACAATACATTACACTGTGAACAAACAGATGCTTGTTGCAGTGCAAATCAGGGTCTCCTCACTGTCCAGTGAAGAGTTTACAGACTTTTCCCACACACACACACAGACACAGAGCATACACACTAATGCAGGGTGAAAGATATGAAGAGGATGTTTGCGGTTGTATTCTTGTGACTGTATCTCTGATGCTCTGGTTGTCACGGATTTCCCCCATGTGCTCAAATAGTCCTTTCATCGCCAAAATACCCTCAACAAGCTCCTCTCTAACCATGACAGTGCCGCTGTCGTCTCTGTGGCAGTGTACCTCCTGACGGGCACAGAGTGACTCCTGTTTGTCAGCACTGTAACACTGTGGGTGCACCTGCCGTTAACAGTGTGTGTGGTCCTGTGCTCCACCCTGCACTAGGGCTAATTGAAACAGATGGAGGAGTTGAGGAGGGCGAGGAGGGGCCCTGAGGGCGGCACTGATGAAAGGAGAGAAGAGGTGCAGAGCATGTCGAGGCCATCAGGAGAGGACACACAGAGAGGACCCACTTGCTTTAACAGAGCACATAAACACACACAGTTTTTAACCAGCGAAGTGTGTGCTCCGAGGTCATGACCCATACCATGCAGAAGAAGGAACACTTGTTGATAAGGCAAATTCATCGCTTTATTTTCCCCCCAAAGTGAGGATAATATTAGATTAAACATGGGAGGTTTTCACCGCCAAAGGCTCTAGTTTAATTTACTACAGCATTTGCTAACAAAGCTCAAAGTTCAGCTCCTCAGAGAAATCTGTGATATTTAGGTGAGTGAGTTCTGGAGAGACAATAACTTCCTCCTGATATTGACTTGAGCAGAAGAAACCTCTGTTCTCACCAGTTTCTCAGATTCTCGACGTTGTGGTTTGATAGCGACATGTGGATATTACGCTTTTTTGAAGGGAAATATTTGCTTTCTTCTAGTGTCATTACTTGGGGCCGTTTTATTACTTTGCTGCCTCCTTTATTGAAGTGATGTGAACACTGCACAATTTGGGGAAGTAAACACTTGTTTTGTTCTCCTGACATTGTTGCATTGTCACTTTCAACCCTTGGTATTTGTTGTGATTTTAGGAATCCCATTATCATCTTAAGATGTTAAATCTCTGGTGAAATTTTCAGGGACTTTAGTTTGGCCTGCATGTATCTCAGATAAGCAATAAAGGACGTGTGGACGAAGGCTTTCTTTTGGTGTGCTTCGGTGTGTTATGGGCCCAATTCTCCCAGGCCTATTACACAATGTGTTCCCCACTTTAGCTAACTCTTAGAGACTCGGACCCAAGGTCAACTTTAGTGCTTTATGTTCCTATCAGGAGGGCCATTAGTTTTAGCCCAATATGCTGACACAATGAGTCAGTGTTCTTCTGAGTGCAGTGCATTGACCATCTTGCTGGGGTAATGACGTACAAGTCAACTTGAATTTTGCCTCATACACTGATTTTTATGCTATTAGCTTTTCTGTTTTTCTTATCCAACTTCTGATGCAGACTGCAGACACATGTAAGCTGCTGGTATCTTCTATTTCAGAGGGGTCCTAAAATACTGTCATCAGAAATTCTGGGCAACCTCAGATACCCAAACTCGAAATCCCAAGCTGAAAGTATTGTGCAAGCTCCATCTGTGGACAGGTTATCATGTTGCTTTCACTTGCAAACTATGACGTAGTGTGCTGCTGTTGCCTGGTATAGCTTATAATGCCAACAATAACATTTCCAACATTGACATCCACACCTCCAAGATCAGACTGTCATGGTCAATGAAGAGCATCAATTGTCCTTTCCTCACAAGTTTCTTAACAAAGGGACAAAGTCAGCTATCTTCCCTTGAGGATAAGAGACTTAAAATTGACAAGTGCCTCACAAAACCCCGCCTTAAACAATAACCAATCCCTTTAAGTCAACTCTCAAAGTCTGTCTGCAGTTATTAATAAAGAGCTTAAGAGTCAGAGGGTCGCCCCCTTTAGACAATGCCTGGCCTATTAAAAGCCAAGCAGACTGTGTATCTGAAAGCAGCAAAAGCCCATTGAAAGAGGAGTGGTCTCAAGGGGCTTTGGGGGCTACCAGTATTCTTAAAAAGGGCAAAACTCTTACAGAACTATCAGAACCAAGAATTAAAAAAGACGGATTTAATGAAACCTTGGAGATGGCTAGAAAGAAATGTCGGCAGCTTGGTGTCTGGGGTGTGATGGGAACAATAGTTGATTTTATAAACAAAGTAGAAAATACATGAATGGGACTGTAATCTTTTGGTCCAGAGGAACTTCAAGTCCACATGACTTTACAAAATGGAACTATAAGTGACACATCATGTCAGAAAAAGTGTTTGCTCTTTATTTCTTTTTTCAAGCTTTAAAGAAAATAAATCATATGAGAAAATAACTTTGACACACATGGAGACAAGATGATTAAACAACTTCTGCATTCATTCATTCATTCATTCATTCATTCATTATTCTTAAGCGCTATCCTACCTCATCAGATAGACTCCCAAAGAGCAGCAGGAGTCAACTTCTGAAAACACCAATAAATTCCCTTGAGGAGCAGAAAATACTGAAGACTGTCATACAAAACAAGACACTCCAACCACCATGGAGGCAGACACTGCATCTGCCTCTTTAAAGAACTTGATTCCCCTTGAAGCTTCTTAGGCAGACGCCTGGGAAAAATGTGGCTGCTGCTCTCAGGACCCAACTCTGTCTGTTGCCCTGCAGAGTGTGTGTGTGTGTTTGTCTGCGAGTGTGTGTGTAGGGTGGGTATGGTGGCCTTTCTTTGTTGTGCATTGTAAGAGGATCCTGGCTATGGAAACAATACCTGGTCTTTCAAACAGAGACAAACAGGCTTTACTGAGTCATGCTGAGGCTTGGACAGACCAGACAGAGCTGTGCGGGGGGGTTAAAACCTCCTCTTTGAAAAAAAGAAGGAGGGAAACCTTTCAGCACCCAGCTGGTTATTAGCTACCAATGTGTGTTTGTGTGTGTGTCAGGGCAGCAGGTTCAAAGGTTCTCCTGGGGAGTTAGAGGGGATGATACGGCTCAGGAGGTCTGATGGAGATGAAAGTGGGAACAGGAAATGGGGGCAGATAGAGTGAAATGGATCACTTTTTACCTATGTACCTCCTAAACTCTCCCTCTCTGCAGAGGTAATCCACACCTGCATTAATAATTAAGGAATGCTCTGTGTGTGGGTTTGTGGGTGTGTGGGGGTCTCAGAAAAATCCAGCTTTTGTTTATCCCTACTGTGCTGAAAATATCTGCACCCTGTGTTTTCTCTACATTAAAATTCTGTGAAATTCTGTAGCTTTTTCTGGCAATTTACCAAATCTGAATTAAAGGGGGATGAGGATTTACTCCTGATAATTACCCCTCTCAAGCTGTGCTGTGACATCTTTATCTCCACACTTGTACTTCACACACACACACTCACGCACATATGCTCATTCAGCTCCCCTTATATTCCCCTCACTCTACCACCTGAGAAGGGCAGTGGCTGTCACTCATGTCAATGAGATTTGGGAGGTATTTAACAGTCCAAGAGTCAATCCCCCCTCGGCATCAAATTGATCTCATCTCCAATGGAGCAAAAAAAAAAAAAAAGGAAAAAATGAAGACAATTTACATATTCATGGAGAAAAGGGAACAATGCTGACTAAATGTGACCTTCAAGGAAAGCTGCCGCTGATTTCAGCTGATCAGTGTCAAGTGCTGTCCATATAGACTGGGGAGGGCACAGAAAGGCCACTTTAAATGATGTCAATTGGAAACCAGAGGAAAAAGGAAGGTTTTACATTTTTATCCACTCTCTCACCACTGACACACTAAAGTTGTTCTCATTTAAAAAATGATGTAATATGCAGCCCAGTTTCAATTATTACGAATACTTCTAATTTAATTTTCACTTTTCTTTTGTCTTGAATTCATTTTGAACCCGTGAACCACTTACCTCGACACTCTCCACAGATCTCTTTGAATATGTTTTTCTTCTATGTGACTGTTTTTCACGCTACCACAACTCTATCCCCATGTGCAACTGTTTCTTTTTGTTAACAATCTTATTTTGCCTGGCAGTCTTATTTTGTTGACAGCAAGGGCTTGAAGAACATTTCCATCTGTTTCACTGGGGACCATGTAGGACTTTGTTGTCAGCACAGGAGATGCTGCACTATCATCATCAAGGAAACATGGCACTAGCTTCTGTGCAGAGAGAAAGACGTCTTTGTGCGCCTGCATGTGTTTGTGTGGTTTACAGTATCTTTGGTAGTGACAGCCTCTGATCATTTGAATATGAATTTGCTGAGCATCAGCATGTTAAAGCATATTTATCAGCATAAAATGGGTCGTCAGATGAACTTTTGTACTACCACAGAAATAAAGGGAGACTTTTTTTAGGAAAAGACAAAAACATCAAAGTATGAATGAGCTCTTTAAAGGGAAGGTTCTGGTTTCCTGAAGTGGGGTTGGGTAAGGTTCTTATCAAAAGAAGTGCACAGCTCCTGTTTACCCAATTATGTACAGCCCCTTTCAATGGCCAATACACAAAATAAGAGAGCAGGAAGGCCGTTATCGCATTGTTGTTGTTGTTGGCTATAAAAGGAGACTATTTGGCCGTGTAAAAATGTGTCCTCAAGGGACTTATTTCAATTCAGTCATCTTAAAGCTCCTGAATAACTTCTGGTTTGTGTGAGGTTTGGCGCCCCCCTGTGGACAAGGCACACAGGGGAGGAAATTAAAGTGCGATAAACTGTCAAACTTGTCACTCATGGTCTTGTTTACTTTTGTGGACCATTAAAGTCATCAACATGTATTTCTTTATATCTCAAGAAAGAATATCTCAAAATATTGTGGTTGAAATAAAAAATAATGTTATGTGTAAAACTATTAGTCCATGTAAATTAAAATGTAATATACATGGTTTTGTCAGCCAGTGCCATGTTACGATGGACTTTTAATGAATTGTGTTTTACTACAGGTTTTAGAGCAGGGCTGATATTTCTATCGGAAGCAATATTAAACTTTCAATCTATACATTCATACAAAATTTACAGTTCACTCTAGCCAGAGACTGTTTAAGATTTCATATGCGGTTACTGGGGATTGGAAAAACATGTTTTCCTACAGAAAAGACTGTCATGACACTGGCCTTGTAAGGGCCAAATTCGATACCATGAGCGCTTCTCAATGCCATTAGTCGGTCTGATTAATCAACCAATCGATTAATCAGGCCTATCTCAATTTTCAATTGGTTTTCAAACACACAACAGTCCATCCAAAAGATTCTGTGGTGTCCTCATTCTGGATCAGCTGTTGAGATCAGATGGTGCTGTGGCCAGCACAAACTAAAACTAAACTTTTCCCAAGACCTCACGGTTGATGCTTGAGTTTTTCCAGACCCTTCTAACAATGAGTTTCCTGGTGTGAAACTGGGTTTTGGCTTCACTCTTCATTAAGTAAAAGAATTACTCCATCCATCATATTGAATTTCCCTTTGGGGATAAGTAAAGTTCTTCTTAGTTTTATCATCTTCTATCAACAGAGTTGTACCAAATAATACAAAATGATCTACATAGGTTATCACTAAAGAGTCCTACTTTACCCAGAAAAGGTTAGCGCTTGAACAAGTGAATGAAACAACTTACCAACAACTGAGGATTTTCCTTGTACCTCTTGTAGCCTGTCTAACTTTGCTGAGTAAATCCACTGGTTCATAAAAGTATCCTCTTGTTTCCCCTGTAAACATCAATTTATTCTTTCCATAAAATTTTATTTTCTTTTAAGCGTTGTGTCTTTTTTGCCAACTCCTGACTGCAACACCCATACAATTAAATATTTCAAAAAGGGCAAAAGAAAGAAGCCATCTGAGGTAAAGGTAAAACTGTGATATGTATACAAAAAAGAAATCAACATAGTTTGACTACTTTTTTATCTTGATCGGTGATCAGCCATTGTAGCTGATCATCTCACTTGATCCCTTTTCAATAACTCTTCAGGCACAGGTGGTTCAAAGACAAAAGCATAAACACAAAACAGTCTGTTAAATCAGCTTTAGCAACTCTATGGCCAAAATGTCAAAATATTTCGAACAAAAGAGTAAAAAAAGGCCAACAGTCACCAGCATTTGCAATACGTGAGTTCAGCAGCAGAGCTGTGTTCAATACTGCCAATTAAAAAGACTGCTGCATCCAAGCAACAAGCTTTGGACTGTACGAGCAAGGATAAATATACTCAAAGGAGCGAAAGCCCCAAAAGTTTACAGAGAGGATGGTTTAATTAGGCCACCAGCTCATTTTCATTGTAGAGTACAGAGGTTTGTGTTGTCTTTTGGATCCACAGTAAATCCTGAGGTCTTCACACTACATGTCAGCTGCTGTAGAGCAGTACAGTGAAGTTGGTGACAACATAGACAGTGATTTAAAACATGATGTAACTGCACAGGCTGCATATTTTTACATAATGCTTACTGTTGATAACTACAGGCTATAATGATTACAGATATTATTGGTGGAGACAGAAGGGTTTATAAATGCTATTAATTAGTTTTTGTGTGCAAACATCCTACATGCCACTCCTGCATCAGTCAGTGCTCAAGTTGGACCAGCCCAGTCTACGGAGTATCGATGCACACCTGCCTCCACGGTGGTACAGAACTTAGCCTCTGTGTCAGTTCTCTGGCTGGCTTCTCCGCTGGACTTGTTCTGTCACTGCTGACAACACCTCATACAACCTCCATTAATAAAATCAAAACTCTCCGATTGAGCTGAAGTGCCCTTTTTTAGCTTGTAGTGCTGAGGAGAGATGAAATTTCTGCCAAGTGTCTCAATCAAATTAAATTTGACAAACATGTCAGTGAGTGATGTAGTGGCGAACTTTTGGTGCCAATACTGTTTCACTTCCTTGTGTTCCCTGACAGTTTCCCCCTTTTTTTCTGTTGGATGAAAACAAGTGATCTCAAGCCTTAAATGTGATGCGTTCAAGTCAGGCCTTAAATAATGACACTCCTACTTTGGGGACTCATTTTATTCCTGCTGGAGATCTAAATCACTTCACAAAAAAGTGAAATAGCCAGCGCTTTTAAGATCAGCTGGGACAAATGAGAAGCAGCTTGGGCGCTCAGGGACAGACAGCGCAGAAAGACAGGGAATAGCTTTTATCGAGCGTGACACAGAGAAATGGGATCTGGGTTTGTAGGCACTGGAAGGGTAATTGATTCAAGGATCTAGATCTGCTCACAGGCTAACCCCAGGAACAATGTTGTATGGCAGCTGGTATGCAATGTGATAGCTTAAAAACCCTTTTAGCACAGAGCGAGTCCCGGCTCTGCAGAATCGCTCCTCAAGCTGATGTTGCTAATAGCACGCCATGCTAATTCAGAATCAAAACTGTAATTAGACTCTTTGTATTGCTATATGCGTTAATTCATTTACAGCTCTTCCCTGCTTCCTCAGCCAATGAATCCATGTGATTAAAGCGATGGCGCTGGAAACGGGTGATGAGCTGCACTAAACTCACTGAAGTCAACACACGCATAGACCGAGTCTCATTATGACACAAAAAAAGAAACCACTTAAATTTAACCTCACTGATTAGCAATTATAAGCAGTGTATTAAAAAATTAACACAGTTTATGACACAATGAAGATGACGGGATATTTTTGTATAAATCTGTAAATATCTGCAACTAATTCGTGTTTGCCACCAGTTTTGCCTTTGGCATATAGACAGAATTTGAAGGCAGCAGATACAGAATAACAGCTCTCATTGTAAATGATCACATATTTTGTATTTGCTTACAGGGGGAAGTAATTTTTTGGTCATACTGCTGTTTTCAAAGTCACCTAAGAACATTTAAAACATGCCTTTATGAGAACATATGCTTATTCTACTCATAAATATTAATAACGCTTTTGTATTTTATCTACTCTTGAGTTACTCAGTCATCCAGTACCCGGTGTGAGCTGCAGTGAAGCCACATCTCAAACAGCTGATCAAGATGTACCCTCAGATGGGAAACAATCATTAAGTCCCCTCATGTGTTTTGCATTCATTACTGTTTGTGGCTCCAGAGTCATTAGCAGTGATCTGGTCACAGCACTGAGGCTGCTTAAGACAGGTCCAACACTTGTTTACATCTTGCACTATGAAATACATTCTGTTCCCTTCTCTGTGACTGCTGTCCCCAGTTTGCTTCTGTTGGATAAATCTGGGGGGGGGAGATGTGAATATGGTTTCCCAAATAGATTTAGAGAAGTTAAAAAGGGGTATGTAGCTAATTTTCTGAGTCAGAATTTATTAAATGCAAACAGAGAAGTGTGTTACTTTTTTTAATCAATCACGAGTCGCTGGGGGGATGAGTATGGTGCAGCTTTGTGGGTTTGCCTTGTCTATTCCAATTACAAATGATGACAATGCAAAATTCAAGCAGCAAAATGAAAGAAATTACCATTTGCTTGCAAAAGCAACATTTGCATGAATATGGAAATGTAGACGGGGGACTGGTCTTTGTGATTATACACTTGTGGCAGATGATAATAAATTCAGACAGAGTTGTTTACTATCAAAGCAGGGAGTTTTCTGTCCCTGAGGACAAGCTCAGCCTTGGCGCATCTCAAGGTGAGGGGAGCAGCAGATGAAGGAGCCAGGATGATAAATCTCAACAGCCATATGCGTTTTTGGCATTTATCTCATGTTACACTCATCTGCATATTTTGAGCTAAGCTCCAAGCAAACATCAGTTATCTCATAGACTAACAAATACAGCTGAAAGTCCATTTAGAGTGCATGTCATCTCACTCTCTGCAGGCCTGTTGCTCTTGTGTTATCTTTGATGTATCTCTGGGGCTGGTCTGTATGTACAAGAAGAGCAGGTATGATGCAGGAAGCGGCCCAAAAATGAGGAAATATCTGGTGGACTCAGCTTTGCAAGGTGGCAGCAGACAACAGCAGGAGGTTTGTTAGGATGTAAGGGCAACTCAGACTGTATTTCTTTTTAATACCGTACTGCAGATCTGAAGATGAGGGCTGCAAAGGCAGGATGAGTTCAAAAACTAGGAACCACATCAACCGGGAGTTTGATGGTGCTGTTTCCATCCGACTGTCATTGTGTATTAGTGAAAACAAAAGGGCAGCTCTCTTCATTTTGCCTGTAATGTGTTTCAGTGTTTTGCGTGGACGTGGCATGCAGTTCAGGGCACATTGGTTCTATGTTTGGCACGATAAGGGCTTCAGCATACAAGCCGAGAACGTCGGCAAAAGTGCAGATTACCCCAGCAGGTCCTAAAACATTTATGAGTTCTTCAGCTCATGTTGCTCCACAGAGGCCTGTTAGATTTCATTGCATAATTCTATGCTCTGTTCGAGCCTCTATTGTTGCCAATGAACCTCTGTTTATTTGCCAGGATGTTTTCTATCACGGCTCCCTCAGCTCACAAGCCAGAATAACAATGACTTTTCATCATCGAAAGGTCTGCTTGATCCCTGCTTGTACAGCAGAGTGTTGCAAAATGTACTCACAGAACTGCCTAAAGCAAACACCTCAGGCCCTCTTCTTAGTATCTTCTACATAATTTTGCGATTAAAGCAACATTAAACAATGATTTCCTCATACAGCACTGACAATTTGTTCAAAAGTGTTATTTATCACAAGTTTGCCCCTAAGTCTCTAATGAATACCACAGAATATGAAACACCGAAGGGAATATTTATGATTTTCCCTTATTACTTTTATTATATGTCGTCTCACAGAGGCAGCTTCAAAGATGTGGTGGTGTATGCTGCTCAACATAGATTTGCATGACGACAAGATAATAGCAGACACGCTCATTTAGAGACGTTCTGGTGTCAGGGCAGAGCTAAATCAAAGTGCTATGAGCTGTCCGTGGTTCTGAATTACACACTTATTCATCCTCCTAACCCCTCTACACACTACTCGCTCGCTCACTCACTCGCACTCTATCTATCTATCTATCTATCTATCTATCTATCTATCTATCTATCTATCCATCCATCTATCTATCTATCTATCTTTCTTTCTTTCTTTCTTTCTAACTGATTGCCTAACTTAAGCAATTTGTAAGTTTCCACAAGAGTGAGAGAGCATAGGATGAGATTTTTATAACCAAAAGTAGCCAGCATGAGGAAACTACCCACAGCAATGAGAGAGTACAGCCTTACTTGCACAAAAATGTCAAAAAGCCAAACTGTAATTTAACATGCAGACGAATATTAACCATCCTTGGCCTGCACTCTGCTTAAGATGTTGTGTATTCACTTTGAATAAACATATATTTATTTATTTATTTTTATTTTTATTTATATATATATATATTTTTTTTTTATTTTTTTTTTGTGGCATTTTGGGCCCTTATGTTGGATTCTGACTGCAAATAGGTTCTTTTCCCCTCACAGATACTGCTGGGATCAATACATGCAAGAAGTCAATAGGAATGGTAATGCAATGGCTCCCACTAGTGCTCACATGGTTCACTTGCACCCTCTGGAGCTAATTTACCCAGACTAGCCTTCCACAAACACTGCGGCATAATCCTTCACAGCTTAATTCACAGGTTCAGACTGTTAATATAGTGTGAAGCGACAACAGGCAAAAAGGAGGCAAGGGAAAAAATATTTCTTCCACAATGGCTTTCTGGTGTTTGTTTGCTGTTGGCTCATATCCCAGTTATTACCTGCTGTGCTGCTTGCAAAGCCAAATAAACTAGCAGTATGTGCAGACAATTGAGGCATGATATTATATTCTGGAAGAAGAGGTGAAGGAGATGAGGAGGAAAGGAAGAGAGAGAAAGACTCTTCCCGCAGGTGTGAGGCTGGTTAAACTCTTTCTCTCTGGCTGTCCTGTGGGATGAGCTCTTTGGTGTTGTTGTGTGCCACACTTTCACAAACTTGGTGCAATTACATGCACATACACACACTTGGAGGTTGGATAACAAAACACACACACACAAAAGCACACCCTCCTGTAGACTGTGAAGGCAGGAGTTTAAAGCAAAACAGCTAACCAAGATTGACACTCACATACACACGCACTCTCTGACATTAAACCTCTTTGGATAATCCATCTGGTATTTAAATTCATAACTTTCAATCCCAAACAAATGAATGACACCACCCTGACAACAGCCAGAACAAGGCAGCTGATACAAACACACACCAGAGGATGAGGACCTCTACGTAGACGCTGCCATTTTAAGCTTCCTTTTTCACTTTGTGTTTGTCACTGACAGCAGTTTTTATTTACTCTCAGTATAAGGTCACAGCAGTCATCTTTAACTGAATCACAGTGCAGGCAGAGCTGTGCACCACACACTTTCATGTATCCATCTTAACCATATTCTTCTCTATGAGACATGCCTTCCCAGCTTTATAGGACCTCTGTGGCAAACGCCAGCACAGTCATCAGTTATAGCAGAACCATAAATGACTGTCTTCTAATGATGGGAGCTGGAAGGTATTCTGTTGCAAGCTGATAGACTGATTATTGATGAATTATTTACCTGAAGTGAGTCTCTGATGAAGAAGCAGCCTGTCAGTGTCCCCCTTCTGGGTTTGAAGCACTGTGTGGCTCCCTGATGAGACGTTTCCAGAGCAGGAGGGAGCCCCTGCAGAGAGGTAGTTCTTTTATTTAACTCGCCCACAGGTATGAAGCATATTCTTTCTTGCTCGTCTATCTGATATGTTATATATCTCTCACTGAAGTCTTGTGTTTGTCACTGCTTCTACTTTAGGCCAAGTACTAAAACTAAAAATGTTACTTGTATACTTGCTTCTTTGCTTACAGTCAAGGTCTATCAGGGAGCTTTCCACACATAATATCTACATGTATTAGACACAGAATACATTGTACAAGTAACAAACTGAGACAAAAACTACCCATGGATGGCTAGGTGACTTTGATAAACCTACATCGTGACCAAAACGCAAGATAAACCGCACAGGATAAATAACAAAACAGTGGATAAAACTGTGTGAGTAGTTGTATAGCATATCTGTTATCTCAGTTATCTATATCCCCCCTCCACACACACAAACACATACAGTAGCTGCTGAATGTAGGTCAGTCCTGTAGAGATGAGAAAGTGAATAGTAAATCAAACCTATCTATCAGCTGATGCACAGCAAGGATCCCCTACGGCTAAACAGGAAACTGGACAGCATGCAAGCTAACAAACAGCTAGATTTTTACAATAACACACAAGCATGCACACAAATGCACACAGCCCAGCCACACACACATGTAGTGTCTTTTGGTGAAAACATACGGTGGTGCTGAATAATTTACAGGAACTAAAGAAAACAAGGCTTATCTGAGCCTTAACAGCAGGCAGCTTTTCGCTGAATGTGTTCAGAAGTCAGAAGTCGTTACTTTGCATGAAGTCACCTGGGAAATACTTGAGTGATGTCTTCCTGTGATTAAAATGACACGTGTTGTTGCAGATGTTAGTATCCTGTGTGTTTATGTCATCCTCCCTCTATAGTCACACAGCTCCAGCTCATTTAGATGCAGGTAGTGCTTTGCTTTCCCCTCCCTGTCCACCTCACTGAAGCTTGTGAGACCAGATTAATAAATAGGTCCAGGACTGGACAATGGTCTATATATGGGACAGAATTAGCTGTGACGTCCTTCCTTTTCTCAGACCGGTGGCCTCTGCAATACTGCACCAGTGATTCATTTCTGCTCTTGTTTGCGTAATTGACTGTCTGTCAGGTTGAATCAGCAGTAGAAACCAAGGTTGCCACAGAGGACAGAAATTCAGCCTCAGGCTCTCAGATTTACAGCTTCAGTCAAGACAAAGACAAAAAGGGGCATGCAGGGGTGCAAGAACAGTTTGGGATATTTTGTTTCCCGTCGGACAGACAGAACAAGCACTTTTTTTTCTCAGGGAGCACGTGTCTACAAATGGTGGTGGATTTTTTTAATCAATGTGAAAAACTAATTTAGGGCCATCATTTCATTATTACTTTTTTTAAATAAGTGGAAACACCATTTACCTCAAAACTACCAACTGAATTGTGACACAGTGCGTTAAATCTGTAGTTTTAACTTACCAAACATTTGGCACTCTTCTGTTCAGAGCAAAAAACTACAAATTTACAGGACTTAGATGGAACAGTCGTTATTCTATCCATAATCATATAAATAAAGAAGGTTTGATCATTCATGAGCCGTTCTGAAGGAGCAGATAAAACAAAAGCCATGTATTCAAAAGACTGGACTCGTTCACCTGTATCAAGTCAGTCAAAAGCATTTGCGGGACTACATTTCTTCTTCTTCTTCCTCAATGGCGTTTTTTGGCGGTTGGCAAACTAACTTGAAGGCGCATTACCGCCACCTACTGGACTGGAGTGTGGGACAGTAAATTGGCAGACAAAATAAATACAAAAATGAATAAATAAATACAAAAATAAATAAATCCTCTCCATTGTTCTTATAGAACAAATGTGAATGCGATGCACACCGCCTTAGGGTGGTTAAAGGTACAGAACAAGCTGAATATAAATATTCTTTTTTAAATATTCGAGAGGTGACCAGATGCAGCGCAAGATGGCGGACCCAAAGATAGAAAACCACATTTACAAAACGCAATAAGTTTCCGCATTACCTCCGCATTGGCGGACCCAAAACAATTACTTCCGGTGGAAAGGCTTTCTCGTTGGCGGACTTCCGGCGCCGAAATACTTCAGGTAGTCGGATTTAGTCGCCGGATCCTTTTTTTTTTTGCTCCGTTCATTCCATAAGAATCGAATTAAATTTATTATTGAGCTAAAAATCAAAATAAAACGTTTATGTATTAATTATGACTACTGTTTTGTTCTGATTTAATTCTGAAGTTTACAGTAATATGTATATATAGCCTGATGTCCTCATATTCTGATAATTTGTCAGAATAGGTAAATGTATGTAGAAGTTATCATCTTACTCAAATTCTTTTGTAAGAGTTTGCTACAAGTATGGACTGTTTTAACCTCTCGTTACACATCATATAACAGTGTTTTCTAACTTTTCTCTCCAATAGCTTTATTACACAGTACATCAATGTTTCTTAACTTCTCTGTGACCTTGTTTCTCCACTCCTATTAGGACCTCGTTTAATGTCAACAATGTTGCCCTGACCCTCACATATTTTCTGTTGTTCATAATTATGTTTTATGAGAGTGCTTATGTTGCTGCACAAATTTACTCCCCCATCCTTTAGTAACATTGTGTAACCAGGGACATAATTTATGAAATGGTGTGCTTCCTGGTGAACCTCTTCAGGATTGCTTGACTGTGCAAAATCCAAGTATACAATAGTTGTAGAGACACAAGTCACATGATCTCTTTAAGGTTCAGAAGAGCCATATAGCAAAAACAATTGAATAGCGATATCATTACAGACTGTGTAAAGAAATGGGAAATTGTCATACAACTGCTTTGAAGATTTCTTTAATTTTTTCCAAACAAAATTGTGAACAGTAAAAAAAAATATATATATACAAAATTCAGCACTGCCGTCGGTGTGGTGGGGGGCTTAAAACACGTTGCCACAGGCCATCATCAGCTCTGCTCTGAACCGGTTGATGCCATGCTCCTTCAGTGCTTTGATCAAAAGCTGAAAAACAGTCAAATAATGTGAACAATTGAAGTTATGCAGTATGGGTTAATTGTTGTTCTTGAGCTTTCCAAATGAATAAGAACAACCTCTTAACAATATCATCATTTTTCAAAGCAAGCTATATAGTTTGATCTACTCACCTCTGGGAGCATGACGTCAAAAACGAAATCAAGCAGATGAATCTCGCCTCTCTTTATTTTTTTAGAAATGTTTGTTGCCACCTCAATGAACCGCAGGAGCTCGAACATCTATCGAAGAAAAACACAGAAAGTAAACACCTTTCAAATGTAACACCCCTGAGAGTAAAAATACTCATGATGGATGGCATTTTTACTTACGCGCTGCTCACTCCAACTTAGTGTCCTTATCTTAAGATGCTGCTTTAGTCGGAGTGAGGTGGCGGGATTCCTCCAAAGGAACATTCTGTTGGAGCGGATCTTTCCAGACAGTAGATCATCGTGTAATGTCTGAAACCAAAGAGCAAGAGACAAAAATGTAATCATCTGAAAAAGAAACGGTGGCTTTAACAACTGATAGTGCATTCAAAAGCAACCTTGATCTGTGTCTTAGAAAAGACAGCATGAATTCCTCAACTGTCAACAGCATCCTTGATCCTGCAGAGAAATAAGAAAAGAGCAAGCCCTCATTTTTTCATCCTTTGAGCCTCGTATTTTTGACTGATACTATGTTTCCTTGATAAATTATGTTATACCGAGGATGCTCAATGGAGTCCTCGCACCCGCAGTCAAACGGCTCCATTTCAATCCCAGCACAATCCTGATGCAGCCAGCCCCTGCACGTCTTGCACTGGACCCATTTTATGACGTTTACCTCAGGGTAAAGCAATCTGATCAAATGAGAGACAAACATAATATTAAACAAACACGCTGTCCAATTGATTATACCTCTGCAGCACATTTGAATGTATAAATAATTTTCCTGCATGATTCGTGCATTTAAACTATATGTAAAAGTGGTCACTTCATGGAAAATCACTGAATAGGCCCCGATAATTGCATTTATTAAATTGAGTCTGCAACACACCTCTCTCCTGTGTTGTTCGATGTCTGGTAGACACAGAATTGCATTGAATCTGCCATGCACATTCTTTGGACATCCGATGCCGTCTGCGTCATGGTTTCCTTGACAAGGCAATTTGAAAAGTAACATCAATTACCAAATACATCGAGACAATGTTGATCCATACAACTGTGTGCATTTTGAAGGACTCCCACTGAGATAATACTGTTTTTACAAGGCAATTTTCTAACCTCTATGTCCTGCTGCTCTGCCTTCCTCTTTAGACTGAAGACCGGAGTATGCTTTCCAGCAATGAGCTCTTTACATTCTTTGCTCCAGTGGGCGAAGATTTTCCCACAACTGTAATGACAATATATCTTTAAGTACAATATATTGATTGTCTTCCAGTTAATTAGGACATCTAGTTTACTTAAACTGTCTACCTGTTCAAAGAATTGTTCTCCAGGAGCAACAGGCACCACCATCGCCGCCAAACAGGCATGTCATGCTGAAATTGTTGTTTGTATTTCATTTTAGTGCACAATACAAAATACAATCTTGAGGATGACACTGCGTGTTGAAAAGTACTTACAACTGAGTAGTCAAACTGTGACTCCATAACGAGGTACATGGCAGACTTTTAAAAAAAAATTATGAGACAACATGTGAGATAACTTTAAAAAAGTCCATATTGGAAAGTTATTCTAGATACAATATTTGTGCATTACAGCTCGTTATGACCTACCATCAACATGAATATGCCACAGTCTGAGCCGAAGTCCTGGCTGGGGAAGCCCTGATTTAACAAAAGCAAACGTTAATCATCTTGTCACATACACTTTGTAGGAGCCAGATTGGGGTTTTGCAGTTTATTGTTATGTATTTTTTGTGCCAGCAGATGGTGCTATTGTGCCTGTCTATTTAATGGGTGGGTTGATTAGGAGAGGTGCGCACATAAAATGATGAATGAGTAAATAAATCAAAACAACAGAAAATGTGTGTGACATGTGACATTATTCCACCTGCGGGCACGCATCAACTCAAGCAAAAAGGTGTTCGCCATAAGTAACAGCATTGGAAAGCTGTTATACACTTTTCAACTGTAATATAGAGCATGCACAAATACCTCCAAATCTCTGCCCGTTTTCTCAGTCCATTGCCCAGGACATATCTTCTGCGCAATGTTCCTGTTAATTTGAGAGCGTCACTTAGATTTCCCATGATGGAAACAATGGAATGCAGGGTTAGGGTTAGTTTGAGTGGTCGAAGGTGAGATTGAATGAATGCGGACGGCTTGCTTCTTTTCAAACTTCCTGAGAGTTCTTCTTCTTCTTCTGTAAATTTTGCCGTCAGAAAGTGTAGGTACATACCGCCACCTACTGTTTTGGCATCGCAAAGCAGAAGTTCAAAGTTCATGTTTTGGGTCCGCCAATCGGCGGTAATGCGGAAACTTATTGCGTTTTGTAAATGTGGTTTTTTATCTTTGGGTCCGCCATCTTGGCGCTGCATCTGGGTACTCTTGAAATATTCTTCAAACTGGTGTACAGCAGCTATTGTCATCAACATGTCACTCTGCAGGTTAGCTCTGGTCATTTAATTGTTCCATTCTCCAAGTCCAATTGTATGAGGAGAACAGTGTTATTTAGATCTTTGGAAATGTGGAATCAATTGCCTAGGAGCAAACAGCAAATAAGCAGTAGGTATTATTTTAAAAGGACTTTAAAAAAAAACTGTATGTATGAATTGATTTGAATATGATATGAATCATGATTTGAATCTGTAATTGTATTTATTTATTATTAATTAATTGTTGAAATGTAATTGTGTCCTTCTTTCCTCCTCATATCCTCCACAATCCAACAACACATGCTACACAGTTTCATCCTGCCTACATTGATCACATTTGCAATCAGGGTGTTTTCCTATCTTGTATTGTTCAGTCTTGTGTGCCCTATCTTAGGTTGTGTGATGACTGCTTCTTCCCTCTGACTTCTGCCTTTCTTTCTTCCCAACCCAACCTTCTCCTGTATATTGTAAAGGTGTCTTCCCATGTCTTGGATGTCCCAGTATTCTTGCCACACTTTCTCTATATGTTTCTTGATTATTGATTTACCCTCTTCCTTACATAACAGAATTTCTGTATCTACAGTGTGTGATTTGAGTGTTTGTTTGGCCAGAAAATCAACTCCTTCATTCCCTTCTATCCCTACATGGGCAGGAACCCAAATGAAGCAAACTGTCAAACCCCTCTTGTGCATTCTGTAAAGTATGTAGGCCTATTTTATGTACGAGTTCTTGTCTACATGACTTCATGGTTTTGTTTCTTGTAAGAGCTTCCCAGCTGTCTGATGCTATTAGAGTATTGTTATGATTGTTTCCTTCTATCCACTTCAAACCTATATAGCTACAAGCTCAACTGTACATACTGATAAATGGTCTGTGGTTCTTTTCTCGATATGTATTTTGTAGTGTGGAATGAAAACAGGGCTGGCTTTAGCAGGATGTGAAGTACTTTAAAGGTTGACCCAGTATGTTAAAAGATGTTCAGCAGATAAAACAAAAGCCATGTATTCAATGTATTGCGGGACTACATTTCCGCACCGCATCTGACGTCATCTGTAGGCGACGGTGCACACGTGACGGTTTTGTTATGGTTTCCTTTCCACCAACAGGGTCATGAAAACCGATCTGACGGTTCGCTGTCTCTGCCTTATCTTTGCTCAAACACCAAAGCGAAATGGATCACATCCTTCTGTTGTATTTGAACGTTTTTCTGTTTTGGTCCTGCACTGCTTCTCCACCGAATTTCATCCTGATTTTCGCGGATGATTTGGGTTTTGGGGACTTGGGGTGTTATGGACATCCAAGTTCGCTCACCCCGAACTTGAATCGTCTTGCAGAGGGAGGACTCAGGTTTACAGATTTTTACTGCACTAGTCCCGTCTGCAGCCCATCCAGGTACACACCGAGTACACGTATTTATTCGTCCAGTTCCACTGTATTTTGTTGCCTCGGTTTATGAAAGGAAAACCAGGATGTAGGCTATTACTTTACCATTAGGGGAGGGTGGGGTAAGTTGAGCCAAAAGGTAAATTGAGCCACCCCCTGTTGCTTGGAAATGGTCAGAGAAATTGATCACGTGACCAAGTATTTAGGCGATGGACATCAATTCATGCAGTCTGTGAAGGTTAGAAGCACATGGGTAAGGAGGTTAGACATTTATTTAAAAAAAAAAAATGTTTTACTCTTGAAAGGCAATTTAGCCTGCCTTTAGTCTGTCTGTTTTATTGGAATTGTGTTCAGACCAAAAAAGATCATTTTAAATTTGTTTAACACATCGATTGTGGTATCTATGAGCTACAACATGAGGTCAAAAACCTAGCATAAAAGTCCACCATTTGACCTGAACATTGTAGTGTATTACAGCACTGAAAAAAAGCAGTGCATTGCAACAGCTGGGAGAGGAACTGAAACTGGTCAGTTTTTCAAGTGGCATGACCAGATAGAAGATTTCAGTGCTTAAAAAACATGATGCATTGACCACAGCACTCTGCATTACATTCCTCTATTACAGTCAACCCCAGCACAGTTTTTGTTCATTGTGTTAGGACTGCAGATGCATTCATTCATGTTGCTCCATCATTTATTTAAAACAAATTATCTTGCAAACTCCCAAAACATGAATTCATAATGGTTTAGTTGGATTGGTTTCTGAACCACAATGCATGTGAAGCCGTGAGTAGAACTGAATTGATTCAACATCCTTGTTTTGTTGTGATGGCTTCCAGGGCGTCATTGCTGACTGGTCGTTACCAGACCCGATCAGGTATCTACCCAGGAGTTTTGTACCCGGGCTCCAGAGGCGGCCTCCCTCTGAATGAGACCACCATCGCTGAAGTGTTGAAACCTCTAGGCTATGCCACTGCTGCTATCGGGAAGTGGCACTTAGGAGTCGGTGCCAATGGGACGTTTCTTCCAACTAGGCAGGGGTTCGATGAGTACCTGGGGATCCCCTACTCCCATGACATGGTCAGAACAAAGGAAATATTTTTCACAATAGATGAAATTACAAATGCGATCAGTTTCATTATCCGTTACTCTTGCTTCCTTTTTTTCCAGGGCCCTTGCAAGAACTTGACTTGTTTCCCTCCTGATGTCAAGTGCGTCGGTCTGTGTGATGTTGGCACTGTAACAGTCCCTCTAATGCACAATGAGGTTATCATGCAGCAACCAGTCAACTTTCTAGATCTGGAGAGGGCTTATAGTGACTTTGCAACCCAATTTATTTCAAAAGCAGTCGAGAAAGAGACGCCTTTCTTTCTTTACTATCCTTCACATGTAAGTAACCAATGCATTCTGTCATTGTTGACCAGCAACAGAATTAAGCTGTTCTGGTCAGTGACCCTCATAAAGGAATAAAATCTGGTTTCACTGCTGTGTTTTTTTTTTGTAACATAAAAAATTTTGAGCTCTGTTCAATTCCATGTACTTAGGCGGAAAACACTACTGTAAACTTACTTAGATTTGTAGAACAGTAAAGCAGTTTTTCTCATAACACCATCTCAATCTTCTTCCCTGCAGCACACTCACTACCCCCAGTATGCAGGTCCAGAGGCAGCTGGGAAGACTTTGAGGGGCAAATTTGGAGATGCTCTTTTAGAGCTTGACAACACAATTGGAAAAATACTAACAACTCTGGAGAACACAGGAGTGATAACCAACACACTTATCTTCTTCACTGCAGACAATGGGTCAGTTTTTTTATGACATAGTTTGCATATATGAGTGGTCAGTTCACATGCAGAAATTTTAATCTTCTCCCACAAAAGCTAATACTCTTATTTTCATTTTCCTTTATTAAAAGATTAGGATATAAATCTTTACCCATTTCCCCATGATTGAAACATTACAGCCATTGTCTGTATGCAGGCCTGAACTTATGCGTATGTCCCGGGGAGGTAACGCCGGCCCTTTGAGATGTGGAAAAGGTACCACATATGAGGGGGGCATGAGAGAACCTGCTATTGCATTCTGGCCAGGCATCATCAGGCCAGGTAAGGACATCACTGTCATCTGCACACAACATTTATATGAGATAATGCTTCCAAAAGACAGGCTACCATGTAATTCAAAGGTTTCTCCTGTGTGTTGCTGTGTAGGTGTGACACATGAAATAGCCAGCACTTTGGATATTCTCCCCACAATTGCAAGTCTGTCAGGAGCCAAACTACCACAGGTGATGCTGGATGGGGTAGATATGACAGACATACTTTTCTCCCACGAAGGGGTAAGAGCCATCATTAATAACTCTATAACAGCTTCAATAACATGAAACAAAGCTGATTGATTCATTTATGTCTTTATTTATTTGGCAGGGTAAAAGGGAGACAATGATGTTCTACCCCACTGATCCAAATGAGAAATATGGCCTGTTTGCTCTCAGGTTAGGGAAGTACAAGGCCCACTTCTATACCCGAGGTACAGTAGAGCTCTTGAACATATTCTTTTAAAATGTCACGATCAGTTACTGTTCATGATGGGCTGACGATACAGAGGCTCTTGTACTTGAGTAAATATCTTCGTAACTGTGAACAAAGAATTACTTGCATCACAGTGCAACTACGAACTGTCACACAAATATCAGTGAATCAGTGATGAAGTGAAGACAAATGCCCACAGAAGCACTAAAAAAATATGAGGGCAAAGCTTATTTTTGTGGCATACAGCACATTAGTTCTCTGTTTCAGTTTCCTGAGAGCATTTTGAAGTGGGCTGCTATTGCTTTGACGAGTCAGCAGGTGTCGCTGTTTTTGCCAAGTCTGAGGCTCCAAAGCTTTAGGAGGTGTTATGGACGTCGAAACACTAAGATCTGACGCTAATAATTGATTTCACTGCGTCTCTTTCTTCATGCCTCAGGTGCTACCCACAGCAGCACCACCCCAGACCTAGCATGCCCTGTATTTGCAGTCCTCACAGCCCATGACCCCCCTCTCGTTTTTGACTTGGAGGCTGACCCCTCGGAGAATTACCCTCTCCGCCTGGAGGAAAGACCCGACCTCCAAGACTTGCTGGAAAGGATCAAGAAGGTGAAGGAGCAGTTTGAGGCCTCCATGGTGTTTGGAGAAAGCCAGTTGTTGAAAGGAGAAGACCCAGACCTGGAGCCCTGCTGCAATCCTCAGTGTCACCCCAAACCAGTCTGCTGTGAGTGTAGCCCCAAAGCAGTCTAATTTCAGTGCTGATGGGGAAAACCCTTTCCACTGCTCATAATGACAGTGCAGAGAGGGTGGAGCTTTGCACTAATTCTGTGACAAGATTTTGTGACAGCTGTACTTTGATTACTGTAATGTTTCCTAAATGAGGGGACCCTTTTTTTCTTACTGTTAACCACTGTGTACAGTCTTAAATAATGATTAATCTTTTTCTATATGTCCTCTTACAAGTACTGTGTGAAAACATTTAAAATTTGATTGTTTTAAATATTTCATTCTTAATTTTGTGCCCAGCAGAATTCAGTACACCCCCTATTAAAAGTAATGTATTATTCAAGATCTAGATGTGCAAAAGTACAATTATCAAAGTTTGGACAAGGTTGAGTTTAACATAGCATTTTATTTACCATAAGATGAAAATAAGGGTGATATGGTAACTAAAATTAAGCTTTGCTCCCAGAACTTTGATTGGGGTGTACTCATTTTTGCATCCTGATTTTGAATTGAAATAAATACTTTTATGTATGCAACTTAAACAATCGTGTTTGCAATCAATGGCCTACATTTGGGGGAGTATTTTGTTGCATAGTCTTGTTGTTGTATATATCTTTTAAGATTCTTTACATTTTTCAATCACTCAAACAGTCAAAAGTTGATTTAAACAATAAAGACACAGTAAATCTTTTGGACATCAAGCATATATTTTATTCATAAGACCAAACCCATGACAAGGCAGAGTGATTTTTTTGTCTTTTTTTTTCAGTTTTTCCCTGGAATTTTACAAGTTCTTGTTTTTAAAGATACAAGATAGGATATGTTTGTTTTGTCACATACTGTTTTGCTCTAGGTATAGAGTGAAGAATCTTGTTAATGTAATAAAAGTTTGCTTTAACTGGTAATGTATGTCTCAGCTGCTATATGGGACTAGCTCAACCTCGGAGGTTGTTTTTGTGTAGCTGTGTGTAGAGAAGAATTTTTAACTAGAATAGAAAAACAAAAATCAGAAGCAAATACATACAGATCAGAATAGGTCACGCTGTTGGAGCTCAGAGGCGATTACTATAATCGGCAAGTCGTAATAGTAGTTTTCAGCTGACTCGGTTTCTACTCAGCTCTAACACCATATTGGTCAGTTGTCAGGTGGGTGTGTCACACACAGATGATGTCACGGCTCACGAATGTGCCCTAAATGTGCTGCCCAAGCCTTTGTGTGGAGAGGTACGATGTTAGCAGGAGCCCAGATGTCACACATGTGACAGGTAATGAAATAACATCCTGTGCTGAAACATAAGACACTTAAATGAAATTTTCAGAAGTAGATCACAGATATTTACGTGTTTTCTTCTCTTTCAGGGGATGTCTGGTAGTGATCTTTTTTTAACATTTCTTTTTAATGTACATATTTCATTTCATTTCATAACATACTCAACATAAAGGACACAGCACTATCTTAGATTTGCTATTGTATATACATGATCTACCTGACAGTAATACATATGTAAATAACGCCCTGCATCCCAACTGTTGTAGAGTCTTTCAATGACACTGAAATCCTGCAAATCTGAGGTGTTTGTTCTGGTGGATTGTGAGTGAAAGCAGCCAAAAACGATGATAAAAAGTGTCTGAAAGAGCAGTGTAAGTAGATACTGTGACTGCACTGTTTTAAATAAACCCCCTCCTGTGTAAGGTGCAATAATGTAAGTTATTTTATGCTCCATGACTCCAAAGAAGGTTAATATGTAGTGGGAATTGAACTTTTAACATGACTGAAAGCAAGAAATAAAAGAAGAATAATGTAGCCATCTCCTTTTTTTTCTGTCGCAATACAAAAGAAAATCAAAGTCTAACCCATTTACATAACTACAAAATCTCCCATGTCAGGCTTTATAAAAAGTTTGTGATACCAGGACCAAGTAGGTGCAGGACTCTCTCAGTGACTACCTGTAAATTCTTTTCAAACATCTTAACTGCTGAGTCAAAAGAAAAGATAGACAATGAAAACCAGAGCTAAACAGTCAGAGGTGTGAGAATATGGCTTTTCAGAGGACCTTATACGTTCTTGAACCTGAAAGTCACATCGATCGTAACAAAGCATACAGATATCTATGGTTTGCATTTGTAACAGCTGAGTGATTTTCTATGGAAGCTCCCTGTGGTGACGGTCAGCAAGCGGTGTGATTTTGAAGACTGGACAAAAGAGAAACATTTCTGTCAGATCATCCAAATGTGCTGACAGCTGCTGCACCTAATCCAAGCTGAATAAAATACCTGCAGGGAAAATGACATTCAAAGGCCATGCCAAGTGACTACAACCTCCCCACACCTGCAGTTTCTCCAACAAAACACAATCCCCTTTACTAGTCTCGGCTGTGTGTTTGTTAATTAGTTTGGATGAGGCGCCTGTATGTCTACTTTCTATACATGTATTTACAACACACACTACGCAACACAGGGGTAAGCTCGGACCAAGGACGGTTCACTGTACTCTCTCTACTTTGCTCCAATGTCACTATCAGTAGAAATCAAACAAGCAGTTTGTCAATATTGAACAAATACATATTTACAGTAAATGAAACGCTTGATTCCTCACCATTCCTTTACTGATTGTTGAGCTGCTTGCCATTCACTAGGATATGTGTATTTCTTGGTGTTTCTGTGTGCAGTAACCCTACTAGCCATGCATTGAAAAGTGAATCAGCAGTAGTAGGTATAGTGTTTGTCATTTCAAAAGAGGAACCCTTGAAATACACAGGTGCTCAGCGTCATAGTTTTCATATCATAGAAAAAAGATCAAAGAAACAGGCAATCGATCCATCAAGATGATGGAAATTAACAAAGAGAGAGATGAATGAATGAAATCAGTCAAATGCCAAGCGTACTGGAGAAACGAAGATCCCAGTTTAGAGGAGTATTTTACAACGAGGGAGAAGATCCCGCCGACGCTGCCCTCTAGTGGCAAACCCTATGACCATACACAAGCTCTGGAGGAGGGAAGGAGGTTGTCATGACAACCCTTCTTATTCCAGGTAGATGTCCTCGGTGGGGCAGGCATACTCCAGATGTTCCTGGTAGTATTCCTGGAAGGCTCGTCTGCAGACACAGAGATGAGGGCATGACTAATGATCGAGCTGCCAGCTATTATGACACAGCCTTCCATAGTAATCCTCTCTGTAGTAACAGATTTTACAGTCATGCTCTGACTGTTTACTAAGAACTGGCTGGCTGCTGCAAACACAAAGACCGCTTTATAGAATACTCCCAGTGCACCCAGAAGCTTCTTGGTGAATGAGGTCATTGTTTTTCACAAGTGCCGCCATTTTTTTTTGTCTAAATTTCACAAACAGAGCAAGAAAGGCAGAGGGATGAAACAGCTCTGTCTAACTCCATGCTGTGCAACTGGCCCTCGCTGCCTCCAAAGAAAGTGAGATATCTGTATCTTGGACTATTTGAGGATGGTTGAATTAGGTATGACTGAGTGTGAAATCATTACTCAAGCCTCTATATATACAAATCCATTAAGACTGAGGTGCAAAATGAGCTTGTATCATTGTTGGCTAATGGAGCAGCAGAGAGATGGGCGTGAGGTTTAAAGGTCCTATGAGGGGTTTTTAGCTGGTTGTGAAACAGGCTGTAATTTATATAGTGCTCTTTCTTACTTAAGAATACAAACACGACCATTCACGTGAACTCTGACTGTTTCCTCATAGTTATTTTCAATGCCTGAGCAGCTTATACAGTCCTTCTCGAATGTTGCTCAGTAAAGGTTCTTGGTGAATGATGCATTTGACCACTTGTCAATTAGGATGAGGATGAGATTTTTTTTGTCAATACAAAGCAGTTCATATTTTGAAACAAATCTTAAGTTAACATGTTGGTCATCAGTACTTTACATGAGCAAAGATTCAGATTGCAGGGTTACTTGAAGTAATCCCCAGATGGGACCACAGGGTGCTCTGAATAGTTTGTTCAAAAAGTCGCACGAGACTACAGCAAGATCAATGTGAGATTTGCCCAAAAAGGGACATCACCACACAGTGAATCTCCTTAAAAAGGCAAATTTATCGTTTTATGAAAAGAAATACAAACTGCTTTATTATGTGTATTCCCTACTGATTCTAAATTCTTCATATGAACGCATTGCTTGTGTAATTCCTACAACACGCCATGTCTTTGGTAGAAAAGCCATTCACACTTTAAAACCTGGTGGTAGAAAAAAATCTGTTCCCTGGTCAGGTTTGATGTAGAGAATTCTGACTCAACAACATGATTAGGACTCACCCAACACACTCTGCTACAGGTCGCATGGACTCCTGGGATACAAACACATGGCAAGCAAATCTGTTCAGCATCGGGTGCTTGGTGATGAAGCCAAAATAGCTGCAGAGACAGGAAAACAACATGATCGCATCATTCAGATCTTGCACTGTAAACTGGCAACATGAGGGCAGAAAAAGCAGCTCGCTTGTCTACCAGTTGTTCCTGGGATGGCATCCACAGAATGAGATGTTCTTCATCTGGAAGAAGTGACTACATCTGTCATACTGGAGGAACGAAGAGACAGGAAACAAGAAAGTTTACTTGAATCATCGATGAACCATAGTTGCGAATGTATTCTAAAACCATGAATTAATTGTCCTTACATTAAAAAGATGAGCCATCGATTTTTTATTTATAAGACCTTACCTCATCAAGGGTGTCATATTCATCCTCCAGGCTCATGATTAGTTTCACTCCCTGCAAGCTGATCTCTAACTCACACAGAGAAGGAGGTCGCACATGTACTGTCCGTTTCCTCGATATCGCAATCTAGCAGACACAATATACTTCCATGTCAAAACAGACAGGTGGAGACGGCAAATATGTGCTTGCATTTACACGCATCAGATTTTTCTTAGTTGTTCTTTTCTTTATTCAAAGCTACTTACCTTCTGCATGGCAGCACAGAGGATACCATTGCCTTGGTGATAAGGTACCTCGACAGACCCCAAAAACTGGACGCTAAAAGTTTCAATCCATGCCGGATTTCTTTTCATTCCTACAAGGCAAAATGCGGAGACAAACACCCAATAATGTTATTTTTCAAGCATTTAGGATCAGACAGAAGGAGAGTCAGTTAATGTGCTTCTGGACTCACCCAGCAACTCTTTAGACTGGCCTATCACTTCATTGGCATAGAAGGCAGGAAAGATGCCCCTCTCCCCTGTCCGCATGTTATAGCCTCTGTACCAGTAGTCATCCTCTTCTTCCTCCACAAACAAAGGATCATCCACATCCAGCTCCAGCTCATCTGTATGTCTGGGAATGAATCTGAAAAGAGGAGCAGGATAAAAAAAGAGACAACAATGAAATGTGTCGGTGTACTATATCACTGAACCCGAACATCTTATAGGTTGCAGTGTGTTTGATCATAGAGACATAATTACAGAGAGAGAAAAGTGGAAACGCAACCGCAAAATTAAAAATGAACCAGCACTTATTGTACACAAAGGAGGTGCATGCAGCGTCCTTTTTCTGCACACACTTGCAGACACAGGTGGTGGCTGATGTGATTATTGCTTGCCACCCGGCAGGTCATGAGATCAGCTGTTGCTCAGACAGCTGCCTCCCTCTGTAACATAATTACCAGTTCCCTATTCTTAGCTACAAGACTCCTATCACACCGGAAAATCTGAATATTCTTAAATAAATATTTTCTTTTTTCTACCCAGACAAATACTTACTCTCCAGTATGGTGGTCACAATGCCACTGTTCGTTTTCCATTGTCAAAATGAGTGTACCTAAGGTTGCCTTACCTATATACTGCCCTGTGTGTCTGGTCCCTTTCCTCTCCATTGATGGTGCAGGAGAAAAGCCCAAAGGATTCTGTGCCTGTGTGACAAAATACCCTGTTTAGATGATTCTAGTATCTTGAACCTACAGCAGAATTTCATGCAAGCAACACCAAGTTAAACACACTATCGAGTATTTTCTGTAACTTGTGGGGGCGCTTTCCATGTAAACTTTGTAAAAGGACTAAGCAGTGGCAAAATGAATTTTTCAAAAATGAAGTAGAAAGCCTTCGTAATGAGCCTTTCATTATGTAAATCATCATTCATTAGGAATATGAATCTTGCAGTGAGAGCACTGACTGATGATAGAAACACTGGGATAAAGTCCTCCCATTGGTCTTGTGCGGGCTACCAAATTTAGATCACATGTTAATGTATCATGCTGACAGTGATAAGTCACGCTCTAATGAAGTGAAGTCATTTTAAGGACTTAAAAGGAAAGCTTTTAACAATAATGCTAGTGGACCCTAATCTGTAGCGTATCTTGTTTAGTTTTGGTCATGTGAAAAGTTTAAACCTGTTTACAATCTTTTTTGTTGTTGTTTTGGTCAACATACTGTGAAAATATCACTTGTTGATCTCTAAAATTCAAATATTTGACTGCGAGTGTATAAATGTCCGTAAGTGTAGTGTCTGAAGAGTAACCTACTGGAGGAGCGGGATGTGCTATTGACAAACACATTGAGAAACTTCTTGGAGAATGGGAGGTCAGCTTCAGGAGAGGAATCCTCAGAGGAACTGAGAAGTTCTGGCCTCACCTCCTCCTCATCATCATGGCCATAACCCACCTCTCCTGTCCCCAAAGGCTCTTCATCACATAGCGTGGAGAGCTCACTGTCATCACTCAGAACAGAGGTGCACCTAGAAGAGCAAGACATACAGCAGGTTGGAGATCCACTTTTCTTGTATTATTTCTTGTAAAAATGATGGAAATAACACTCCAAATATTCTGCTCACGTTATATTTTTGTCATCATACCTTCTGAGGCTGACCAGTTCAAGCGTTGTATTCTCATCCACCACTAGTGTGTACTTCATGGAGTCATAGGCTAGTCCATCATCCTCACTGGGCTGCCTCAAACCATCTTTATCACACAGTGGCAGGTCACTGTCCAACAAGGGACGGTCTTGAACACTTGAGTCGATAGGTGGTGAACTGTCCAGCTCTAAGTCACTACCTCTGTAGGACTGGTTCCTTAAGCCATCCAGGAATGGGTAAGAGTCTCCATCCTCCTCCTCCTCTTCATCATTGTCTGTGGAGTACGTGAGACTGAAGCAGCGGTTGGTCTGGGCGGTGGGTATGTCAAGTGTCAAGCTGTTTTTAACTTCAGTGATGCGCTCAAGAGAGGCGGAGGAGCGGCTTGTTGGCCTGGGTTCAGTCTCTCGTCCTTCGTCTTTGTCACTGACCACGCTCTCAGTGAGGCTTGGTGAGTCTAGGTCCTTCCTCCCCTCTAGCATCATCAAATCATTGTTGGGCTCTTCATTTTCCTCCTGTCTCCTGATATTCTTCGATTGCTTGTCTGTGTGATTCTTCTCAGAGTCTCTAGAGGCATATGGAGGGTGCTTGGTGATCAGAGGGCTTATGGTGTCATCAGTTGGATTGCTCATATAAAGACAGGAACCTATCACTCCACCACTCGTCAAAGACTCTACACTCTTCCTCTCTCCTTGTTCCATGCTTTCCTTTCTGTACCTTTCACTGTCCTTCTCTTCTGCCTCTGATCCCTCAAGTCCTGCTTTCTTTTCTTGGTCATCATCATTGAAGCCATCTGTGTCTCCAATGTCTGAAGATGGTGAGATGGTGTCTGACACAGACACCTTTCTCTTAAAGCAATCCTCAGGACAACTGATAGGATAAGAGCCCTCTGAAATCATCCTGTTGACCAGGTTGCTGAGCAGCCAGGGTGAGTCCGAGTTCTCGCTCAGGTCATCTTCACTCTCTGAGTCAGATTCCCCCTCACTAGTTCCATCATATTCATCGGCACTGGGCATAAGCCTGGGTCCTACTGGCAGGTAGAAGGAGCGCTTGAAGCTCTCAAGACCATGGTCTGGTTCAATTTGCAGCACCATCTGTCTGGACAGGCTGTCTTCGCACTGTTGAGCTGGAGGAAGAGTCTCATCCGGGTCTGCCTGGTGCTCACAAGATAGCTCATCATCCAAGCTCTGCAGCCCTATCAGGGTTGGACCATCATAGGACTCTGGAGGAAGGATGGGAGAGTCAATGGGTGATGGTGTAGCAATAGTAGGTGAAGGTAGAGGGGAAGGAGAAGGAAGAGGAGACCCTTCTTTAATCGGGTCTGGTTGGCCAAGAAGTAGGGATGCTTTTAGTCCAACAATACCACTGTCCTGTTCCAGCTCCGTATCTGGATCTAATTCCTGGTCTGATGTAGGTGAGCTAGCCTCCTCAATGGAGTTGGTGAGGTGAGATGAGCGTCCACTGCTGCTGTCATCACTAGTCAGGTCCAGCTCTGTCTCTGAGATGGAGGAGATCATGTTGGAGACGACAGGACCACCACAGGCAAAAGCTGCCTCTATTTCCCCTTCAACATCAGAGTCAGATCCTGGAGAGCTGAGGTCTTTGTCCTGGTCTGAAGTCATGTAACCCTGCTGGTTCATATCTGCTATTCCTGGGTCTGAAGACGGAGAGGTGGAGTCATTAGCTGCCTCCATAGCAGAAGCTGCTGAAACATGTGACATGGTGGACTTGTCAAGAGCATCTGAGCGGCTGGAGGACACATAGCTGGAGAAGGAAGCAGGCTCAAAGGGTTCAATGGAGGGAAATTCAACATAGCATGACTGGTTCTCCTTGCAAACCATATCATAGGTCTCCTTACACAAGTACTCCACTTCAAAGTCCTTTTCCAACTCCTCATCAGACAAAGGTGTATCAGCACCATCATTGCCTCCCATGGGTGCAGTGGATGACAAACAGCGACTGGTTCCATCTGGGTCCAGGTCGGTCTCTGGCTCCATACCTGATTCGCTTGTAATCGTGTAGGTGTCGGTGGCACGCTGGTTTGAGTGTTTGTGGTTATGGTGGCTGTTAAGGTCATGGTCCACTTCTGTGTCCGAACACTGGGAGTGCTCATCTACAGAGGATACCCTTGTTGTCTGGATTGGAGGATCTGCTTTTGTTTCAGTGACATTGCCGGAGCAAGGGTGGGACTTGTGTTGTCCAAAAGAGCCTGCGAAGATAATAAACACAGTGTGGAGAAAAAAAGACAGGCCATTAAAGAGAGAACGTTCAGGATTTTCCAAGGGATCATCAGGTATGTGAGGCAGATGAAAAAGGACCAGTTCAAAGTTGTTGTGAAAGCAACACCAGTTGGATCAATATAAAGCAAAACATAAAAAGAGCTAAAATAATAGGAACTGAAAGGAGGTGGATATACTTTTCTAAAAATTAAGGCATGTGAGATGAGCAAGTTCAGCAATCACTTCCAGAATAGAACGCATTAAATTGGTTCACATGATTAGATGAGCAAAAATTGGCCTGACTTTGCTGAACATATTACTGAACAAATCAAATCCACATCACGCCACTTAATTTCACATCACGGCACTGGACGACACTGATGTTAATGGAATGAGCTTTAAACTTGCTGGGCTGGCCTTTTTGTTACCGTATTCGGGCCTCTCCCGCCTGTTGCCCTCCATGTCGCATAAGAGGGGTCTGTGAGGGGACTGGGGGTTGCCTCCCTCCCCAGCCTGTTTTTGGGGAGTACCTTTGCTCTTGGACCCTGGTGCCTGGGAAACAGGAGAGGCTGGGCAATGGCCTGTCACATGGCTGCCATCCTCTAGACATGAGTGGGTTGGAGACAGACGGCCTGTGGGTAAAGAAGATAATTATTTACTATTTGCTTATATATAATATATATATATATTATATGTGAGCGAAAGACTTTTGCAATAATCAAACAACAAAAATTTTAAACATATATTAAACACAGGTCCAAATATTGTTTAATCTAGAGTTGTGGCAAAGCATTTTTTCGAACATTAAGCAACTTAAATATACTAGGAAAATCAAAGGTACATTACAATTTTTTATGTTGTTGTATTATACCATATCATATCAAATGAAATTTCATCATCGTCATTTCTCTTCATATCAGATCTCACTTTATAAGCACATTAACAAAAGTATCTTATCTAATCTTATTTTGGCTTGACATGTTGTACTGTATCATATTGTCTAATATCAAAATTGTATCCTATCATATCTTATGATATCATATCATGACATATCATATGAAGCATGCAATCTTCCCTTATCTTGGCTTAAAGTATCTTATGGAAGTGTAGTGAAGTGTACATTTTATTGGATTGCTTTGTATCATATCTTATAACTTTTGTATCATAGAGTGACATATTGAATTGTATACATATATTTATCTATTTATTTATTTATCATATTGTATCTTAGCTTAAGGCACTAATTGATCATTTCATATCTTATCTTCGCTTAAGGTATTGTATGGTATTGTATCATATTGCGTTGTACCATATCAAATCCTTTTGTATCCTACTGCTGCATATTGTATAGCATTGTATCATATTGCATTTTTCAAAATCATGTTGTAACAATACTAAATTATATGTATCATTACATCATATCAAATGGATCCTTTTTCACCATATTGTTATCTATTGTCTCATGTTATGATGTATCTAGTAGGTGTATCATAATATACTCTACCCCAAGTATCATATCCTACCATATTGCATATCATATTGTGTCTAAACATTCAGTACAGTACAAAACCATAAAATACTTCTCACATCTTCTCTTGGGGTGTGTCAATTTCTCAAGACAACAGCCTAGAAACTTTTGTGAGGCATGCGGACAACGTTAGAAGATATTGTGTCCTATTTTCAGGTAAGAAAACAAATGTTTGATCCTTAAACTGCAAAAACATGAAAATAAATAAGTACAGGAAAATCTCTCTCATAATTTGTTTCAAGAATTCCATCTTTGCTCTCAGCCATTGAGACACATTTCTTTGAAAGGGTTGTGTATCAGACTTAAAGAGGAATAACATGAAAACATGTCATGCAGATTATTGATGCTGGACTTACCCTGTGAGGCTGGGTTGTGTAAAGAGTCCTGCCAGCTTCCTTTCTTTGGAGACAGACTGCTGTTGTTGTTCAGGGAATCCTGAGGAGAGAAAATATGGCGCACGACATATTTAGAGAACACGCATCATACTGTTTCAAGGATTAATAACTACAGATAATATGTTATAATAGCCTCAGACTGCATACCTGTGACACAGCAGTCGTGAGGTTCAGTGTGGTCGGTCTGCTCTTCAGGGTACCAAGAGTCGGGGAGGGAGGAGGAGAGGCGGAAGGGGATGGAGGTGCATCAGGGTCAACCTCCTCATCGTCATCATCTTCATCGTCGTCGTCCTCATCTTCATCATCAATCATCTCAAACTCTTGGAAGTCATCCTGGAAGGAGCAGACTGGGTGGTGCATGTCGCTCTTCTCCAAAATCAGAGAGTCCTGATGCCAGAAGAGAGAGGGAGTAAAGAGGATAAAACAGCCTGCGGTAGATATAAGATGACGGCAACTCTAATTAAGTCATCTTCTGATCAAACAGCTGAGGGAAAGTAATATCGAACAGATTTTCATCTTTCATTTTAAAGCTTCTGTCTTCGAGATGAACAGATTTTGAGTAGAAGAGATGAACAGCATGTTACACACAACATTCGGTTATTACACAGAGGGCATTTGTGAAACACAGACATGCACATCAAAGCACTGCAAAGGGCATCTCTCCAACCGAGCGCACATAAACACTCAGTCCATTTTGCTGATACATTCTTTTCGTAGCCTCCTGTCTTCTGCGTGTGTGCACTCATGGATGCATTAATGTGTGTTTTTCTGATTTCATTAGACAAAGGAGCTAAGTGCAGCCTTTTGTATCGGCAGTATTTCCACGGTCTTGTGAAAAGATAGAGGTAAAAAGGTTGACATAATTAAGTAGCTTAATACAAAGTCACCCTGCAGAGAGCAGAACAATGGCTTGGTCTTAAGGATGGGGACTGTTTAAAAGAGAAATGAAGGAGACTGTGTGTGTGTGTGTGTGTGTGTGTGTGTGTGTGTGTGTGTGTGTGTGTGTGTGTGTGTGTGTGTGTGTGTGTGTGTGTGTGTGTGTGTGTGTGTGTGTGTGTGTGTGTGTGCGTGCATAGGAGGGGCAATGAAATGAGAGCAAATCAATCCGTTGTCTCTCAGGTTTCAGCTGGTTTACTGGAAAGCAGAGCACTAAATAATATTGAGGCTTTGTAGACCACACCTATACATGCATGTTGACGCTGTATAGTAGCATGTGCTTGCTAGATAAAGGTTTATCAATGCAACATGGTTCATGGTGCAGTACTGGTCAAAAAGCTGTAAAGTGGATCTTATGTACATATGTTTGCTCATTTTAGATACACCTTTTGCTTATTTCATGTAAAAGTTGGTGATTTGATGAAGCATACTACAATAAAAAAATGATCAAATCATCAGGCCGAGATAGTAGACATCACCACAGTTAGTCATCTCTTCCCTACCTTGAATTTGACAATGCAAACCGGGGTGGATTTATTGAGTTTGCTGTTTGAACAGCGCAGCAGTTTCTCCATGCCTCAGTGCTGGCTTTTTAATGGAGGCTCACTCTCTCACCACTCCACACTGGATTCTGCTGACGGCTGGTGCATCCACTTTATGCCACAAAGATCACAGTCAGTCTTACACTTGGACGTTTAACGTGAATGTGATTTTTGTCAGTTCTGCATCTATGATCAAGTGTCAGAATTCTGTTTTCCATAGTAATCCATCACTGAGAGTATGTGACCTTTAAGTCCATGGCAGTGTAAAACCCAGAGTGTTGTGAAAATACCATTTCTGCTAAGAAGAATAATCTGCAGCATCAGGAGAAATCCTTCAGTGAGCCCACCTGACAGACAGCTATGCAGGCTTTAAGAAAACAGAGCACTATAAATAAAAGTTGTGTATTGGAGGGAATAGATCCCCGTGGTCTCCAGCTCCCAAGGACACCCCCTGTCTCTTCACTGTCACCCAGGAGGCAGGCTTACATAAGCATGCTCTCCTGCATACAGGGAAGGCATTATGAATGATTTTAACTCTCAGCATTGAAGAGCACAACTGCAGTCAAATCAAATCAAAGAAGTATTAAGTTACAACAATATTCCTCATGTTATACAAGGACACAACAAAGCTCGTACCAAAGACTGATTCAATTAGCAGCCATCAGACCATAGGTGGCACTTTCACATCATAAATCCAGCTTTGAAACCATTTATTATCCATGTTGAGTCTATTCTGGTTCACTTTTTTAAAGATAGCTATTGACAAAACTATAAACATGAAAGATTGGAAACAGACTTTAAAGGCACTATGCGGAGTTTTAAACTGGCTGAGAAAGAGACTGAAACTGACACCGTTGTCTCTTTATGACCTTCAAAACAAGACCATCTGCAATAAGACTGTTAGTTTCACTGTTGTAATTTTTTATGCTTAAAAATGCTGTAAAGGAGGTTGGTGTCAGACCAGATGATTGATAGCTTGTTAAAAAAAACACTAAGAGATGTGTTTCTAAAAACATGACTTTCACATGAATGGAACAGATAATAACAGGCAACGCTTCGTTCAGGGAAGGAGCCAATGTCAATACAACCCAAAAGTTCCTCACAGTGACTTTAATTTATTTCTGAAAGGTTGTTTTGAAGCAATTGTTTGAGGCTTTCAAGACATTGAAACTACAAACACATCGTTTCTTCCTTTTAAAACACTTCATTTTAGACTGTTGATTTGTTTCGGCTCGATAGATGCTCAATTCAGCAGCATTTCTGGGTACCACCAAGCAAGACAAGAGGGAAACCCAGGTATGTTGAGCTGCAAAGCTGACTTTTTTTGAGCTGCCATGGTAACTTGTTCTTATCCCACATCTAGGTGGTTGAGTTTTGGCTTTAAATCATCTTTAAAGTGGCAAAATTTCATTGATCAATGCCTTACAATGGACGGTTTAAATCCTCATCTGAGATTGACAGAAAGTTTATAATCAGCTTCCAAATATCCATCATCCTCAGATGAAGCTTTAGGCTTCATAGAGCCAGCTTACACTAAAAAAAAGAAGCATAGCCTAGCAAATTGATATTACTAAAACAAAAACAGCATAAACGCAGACTGATTTTCTGATCTCCAATTAGCAGACCACAGGCAGGTTCAGCATGGTTAAATCTAAACCTACTGACTCTACAGAGAGGTGGCAGCTCCATTTTACAGCCTGGTCATCAGCAGAGGGGAGAGAAGGGGAACATCTTGCCTACTGAACTGACCAGATGATACACAAAAAGCAGCAAGTGGATGAGAGATGATCCATGGGCAAACCTCGGTCTGCATGGCGTTAGTTGAAGGAGACACCAGGGACTCATTAATGTCGGGAAAAGAGAGGAAGAGGCTTAGAGTCAAGTGATGAGGAACTAAAACAGAAAAAAGGGTGGTCAACAGGATACCAATTATATGTGTGTGGGTGTCAAAGAAGAAAGAAGGACGACTGGCCATGGCTGCTATGCTGCCTTAAATCTGACTACATACAGGAGCTAAAATACAAAACTATCTGATTTTAGATTTACTAACACACTGTGGACGTAGCCATTCATGCAACACTGTTTTACTATTCAAAAGATAATGATTTACTATGTGCAAAATCTACTTTTTAAGTGAATTAATGAGATAATGTCAAAGAAACTGTAGTTTTTCTCAGGACATCCTGCATATTTGTTTTGTTTGTGTCAAATACCAGTAAAAAATGTATTACTGAGGGAACATATGTGCCCCTATAAAGCCCATTTACCAAAGATAACTTGTAATCCAGATAAATTTCGAAATCATGACAGCTGTTTCATAGCCCACCCTTAATGGAGACCACCCAGTGAGTGATGGCCTCCATCTATCAGTCGAACTCTTAATTTCCGCATTTTTAAAACTCAGGCGGCGCCAAAGCTGGGACACCGACACCGTTGCTCTGTCACATACTGAATTATGCATGAGCTCATGGTGCTCAATTGGGGCTCTGGAGAGGCAGAGATGGATGTTAAAGAGACAGGGAGTGGAGAATTTGGGCAGAGATGGAGCAGAAAGCAGCACGATGTGCGTGTGTGAATGTGAGACTATCAGGGAAGATTTAGGGATGAAAAAGCTGGGGGTTCTCTTCGTGTGGCCCATCTCTTGTTAAGTTTTTGGGTAAGAAAATTCAAGGTCATGAGAAAAAAAGAAAAAAAATCACACAGTTGAGAAAGCACTGTCAGACAGTAACTCTGGTGGCTTCTGCAGAAAATAGGAAATAACAGCCCCAGCATTAGGCTAGCGACAACCATTCCCTCAGAGACAGAAAATCAGACACTGGTGAGAGACCTCTAAATGCCTCCTTCCAGCTTAAGATAACAGCAAAGCTATATGTTATCGTCATATGTTTGTTCTATTCACATGTTTGCGTCTGTGCGCCAGTCACACAGGCCAAGAACTGATCTAAAGGGTTATGCAGATTAAAACCTGAACCCCATAACCAATTGGAATTAATCAGAGCCGAGGATTGGGGCCAGAGGATAATCTCACTGTTTAGATTGGCTGTTCCTCTTTAAACATCAAAGACCTGCTGCCCAGTATGACAGATTCATTCTGACATAATAACCAAAAGCCTCTCTCTTCATCAGCAGATCTCGCTGCTTGACGGACCGCTGATGGTAATGCGCTGACAGAGCGTCTCCTATCCTACTGATGCAGGCAAAATCAAACACCATGTGAAAGACACTGTCCGTGAAATTGTGTATCTTGCCTTTCTGTCTCTGTTATTTAAATGTACACACACATGCACACTCAGAGGGCAACTGGGTGTGTGTCCTCACCCTTCCATGTCAGCAACATTACTTCCTCTCGGCAAGGATGAACCCTAACAAGGACCGAAACTATCCCTGCCCCGTGCTGCCTCGCTTGTGAAGTGAGCAGTCAGGGCCTCTGCTGACGTGTGTCTGATGGTAGAGTGTGGGGGAGAAAGAGGGCACTGATGCTCGCCTCACTACTGTATCATCACTCTCCCTCTGGAGGATCCTTCCCATGCTACGGAGAAAAAAACGCCTTGTTATATAAGGGCTTTGCTTGCTATCCATAATGTGTTTTGTTGTTGGATTAAAACGGAGGAGGCAAAATATCAAGCGCAGATTTATGCTTAGAGCTTAACCCTCCGAAGCAAGCATCCCTGAGCTAAATCCCCTCTACCAGTCACCTCAGAGAGAGAGAGAGAGAGAGAGAGAGAGAGAGAGAGAGAGGTAATGCTCTGAGCAGGAAGGGGAGAAAAAGGAAGCAGGGAATCTGAGCTCCGTCTCCCAGCAACACTCTGCATAGCAGGGAAGGAAGGGAGACACATGGGAGAGAGGAGGGGAGGGGAGAGGGGGAGGTTGTCTCTGCATAGCAGCAAACTGCACTGGGTCACCCACCCTCTGCTGCAGCCATGGCTCCACGCCACCAGCATAAAACGTTTACTTCCCAGAGGATGGAATGATAGAGAAAAGCAGGAAGGGGAGAGAGATAGTATGAGATAATAGTTCTGAAAATGGAGTAATTAAGGTCTAAGCTCCTCGGACATGTGGGATGATACAGCTGGTGACTCAATAATTTGCATATCACTTTAAAAGGATGCCTAGCTGAAGCATTAATTAGTGTTTCCTTTGTATGCCAAGCAGTTTAGTGAATGTGTGCAGTATGATCTGTATGATCGTCAGAGTACTCCAACGCCATGCACGCTCTCATCTTGTCCCCAGTATTATAAAAACGCCTGTCTGAGACTAATGGTTTTAAAATGCAACGCCGGTATGCTACAGAGGGGCTTATATAAGACAATCATATGCAAATGAGCAGTTCTCAGCATCAAACTGCAATAAAAACCAGGTCATCTTCTATCTGTCTGTCTTTCTGTCACCTTCAGTGCTTCACACTTTTCATCTCCTCCTCTCTACAACTTATTTGAAGTTGCATGCTTTGCTCTTGTAACTGCTTTTACATTTTTCTACATGTGATACCTGCAAAAGCATTTGCAGAAAAACAACAATGGACAAATACGCTTCTGCAAACTGAAAATACACTCCAACTTATAGAATATTGATCTATGAGTTGATTTGCACCGCATGCATGTAGACCTGCACCACATGCATGCAGACATGCTGCAGCTATGCTTATATGTTCCCCCCCACACACATGACTGAGGATGTAAACCATGCAAAGAAAATGTCAAATTACACAAAAAAACAGGAGTCTCACCTTCTCATACGGATCAGAGTCATAATTTAGTCCAATCCCACAGTCATCTGTGATTTCAGAGAGATCTTCATCATCAAACTCCTCCAGGCTGATGTCGTGGGAAGGCCTGGAAACACATGAGTGAAATTATATTTACTACATGTTGTACTTGAACTTGATCTTTAATCTGCATGATGACACTTCATCAAGAAGCAATTTTGTTCAGGAAACCTGCCCTACTTCATGGGCTGTTATGGTTTGTCTGAGACTCTCACATCTACTGTTTTTACTCTATGCCTCTTGCCCTTGTATAGGTCCACATCATGAAGGGGTTAAAACATTTCTCGTAGCACAACTTATACATACAAGGAACTGAAATTAGACACCAACATTTCAAATTAAGTTAGCTGACATTATCATACAGGATTTCTGTATGAGCTCTGAATATCAAAACCAGCGTTGGATGTGATAATGCAGCCTTTCCTCTTATACCAGAGTTTTTGAACTTCTATTTATGGCGGCAGTGTAAATGTTCTCTTGTAATGAGCCAGAGCATTGCAACTTTTCCTGATTAGACTCTGTCTCATCTTTGCCCCATTAGCTTCAGCAGGCTCTGAGTTGTACGGCAATGTGATGAAGGAAATGCTGCATTGCAGTTTTCCTCCTAAGAAAAGGACACCACACACATTATGTATGGTAACAATCCTGCATCACATGCTCATAAAGGTTTAGGAATACACAAAGTCATCAGGTTTGGGTGGATAATAAGGACAGTCTGCATCTGTCACAAAGGGGGGTCACGAAGAGTCAGAGTAATGAGCTTGCCCTCATGCTACTGTTGTGCTCTCACACAACAAGGTCCTTTTGACAGAAAATACCCAGGCTATTAATTGTGGAATACACACAGAAGGGTAAAAATGCATTGAGGCTAATGCAAATGTCTCATTGAGTGAATGTTGCCAGTTACAGAAAGACTTGAGTTCATCCTGATAGTACAAGCAAAGCACAAAGAAGATGTCTGAATGGCAAAATGACCTAAACACGACTATATGAAGGCTTTTCAGATGTAAATCAGAATATTATACATTAGGACTTCCCTTTCAGCAGGAGGAAGTCTTTGCTAGTCTATGGGTTGAGATGTTGGGCTCTATTTTTGTGCCTCACCGGAGACGTGCCGCAGGCCCGGCGTAAGTCAGGTCCGCCGCGCCGACAAGGCGTTCCCAAGCACAATTTGGTATTTTGGTGAGCGGCGCAGCCCGGCGTAAGTATCCCCCCTCCCTAACTCAGCTCCTCCCAGCGGCATAAGTCGTAGGAAGGGAGGAGAGAGGGCGTGGAGTGGGTTTAACACAGCCGAGACCTGTTCTCACCAATCACATAAGCCCCTCTCCTTGCCTTTAAATCCGCCACCGGCGAGGGGTATAACTATTTTCGTGAAGTTAGACAAAGAGATCAAGAGATGTCTGAAGACAGTAATGCCACACGATGGCGACGGAAAGGCAGCTCCTCAACAAGTGTCACTGTAAGCGCTGCATTGGGCGTCCTCCACACTCTCTCATCTGCGCACAGATGGATTTGGTGTGTGTAATGTTGGACCCACTGGTAAGACAAACACTCTTTTCCACAAATAAAGACACTCACATAAAGTTGCATATATTCAAACCTCACGTGACAAAGGTGGGTTGAGCACACAGATCACAACATAAACTCCAAAAATGGCATTAAAATTGGAACCATCTGAGCGTAAATGACACATCGTGCTCCGTGGCCTGGCTCTTTCTTTCATAGATGTTGGCATATAAAATAAATTTGGATCACAAAACTGAGTATCATAATATTCGTATGTAGGCTTAAAGTAAATAACTAATCTGAGCACTGAAACAAATCATCTGTTCAGCCGCTGCAGGACGGAGAGAGGACACGGAGACATGTCATGTTTATGGCATCAAATAATTCATTAGAACCAAATATCTCAGAACATTTAACATAAATCAAAATTATAAAGACTAACTGGTTTACAAAAACTATGAGTAATTCTCCTCCACAAATGCATTAAAAATCAGAGTTCATATTGTCATACCCTTAAAAATAGCTGTAAAGAAACACTATGCTGATGCCAAAGGACTCCTGTTTTGTGTGGCTTTCTGCACTGTAGCTCTGAATATACTATAAAAATATTTATTGTGTTTTATTAGTTCTATTTATTTCAACCTACAAATAAACAAAAACAGCCATAAGATGCAAAAAAAAAAGTAAGATTTGTCATTTATCCTCAAAGTTAATCCTTGAAAGTGAAAAATATCGAGGTGTCGGTCAGATGTTACAGCAGAAATCAGAATTAAGACACAGGAACTTTAGTAACCCTGGACTCAAAATTTAAGTGTGCTACTCCCTGTAGCAACAGCAAAGAGCTGTGATTTTAAAAGTATTTATAAGGAACATAGTCTTCAATCAAATCAATCACATATTTAATATTGGGCATGTTCTGTCTGTGTACATGTTGTTATGCTGCTTTCGCATGCTAACCATAATGTAGTGCATTGCTATTGCCTGATGTTAGCTAACAATGTAAACAACAACAACAGTAAGTAATGGCTAATCTTTATAACTTTGTTCTCCACTCTTTATCTGAAATGCAGTTAACTCAGATGTGACATCATTCCCAGTTATGGCATCCAAGATCATTACAAAGCACCACTGAAGCACTTTTTGTTAGCACTGCGATGTTGCTATTCCAACATGATGTGTAGAAACAGTTTACTATTGCTATGCAGGGTACCATTTTAGAGAAGATAAAACAAGGACATTCCATATTGTAAATTTGTGCCATGACACCGATGACAGGGTGAGAGTTGCACCCAAGCACAATCTAGTTAAGTATGCTAACGCTGCTAATATATAGCCATAACAACTCTGATTTAAGACTATTACATAATCTGCAGCGATTTAAAACAGAGGAATTGACCAACAGATCATTTTGTCCTCTCTTGCTTTCCTTTTTTCTCTTTTCTTATCTGTTTATTGCCCAGACTCCCCACCATGAACCCATCAGCAATGAAACACCCCCCACAGCCTCTCCAGCTGCTGTTCGACAGCCTTTACAAACCTGTTGGTTGACCCTCAACTGTATCAAGCCTGTAGCGGGATTTACACAGCAAAATCTCTTATATGTAACTCTTTTTAGGGCATGTTTGCAGGTGAAGGACCTTTCCAGAGGGCTGACTGCTCATGTAGGCTGAGCACGCTAGCTAGAATTTGTCATCACAGATTACATTTTTTAAGACTTTGGATTTAGAGTTTTAGCCTCATTACAGGTACATCCTTCAGAATTTGGCCGCTCCAAAGGATAAACTATGGTTAAACTCGAAATAGATAATCATTTCTCTAACCAAGGGAGCTTTCTGTGTTTTAAAGAGGTCTGTAGGGGAAAAGGAACATTTAAAGTGAAGGCAGCAAAGACAACTGCTGTCTCCAACATTAAAATATAAACACGCCATGTTCAACCCCAGGCAGCCCTCCACCTACACTGCCATTAGGCAGCTGTCATTAGGCAGAGCCTCTAAAAAGTCTGTGAGTCTGACACTTTCAATGTGAGACAAACCCACAGCAAAAAAACAATCCAACCAGCCAGAGACAACTGTGTTAAATCAGTATTATTATACTTATGAACGAACCCCCCTGTAAAATAGAGGATTAAAGAATTAATAGTTCAAAACATGGTTAAGAGTAGATCCACTTGATTCTCTGCAGTTATTCTTTGGTGAAGATAACAAGATCAGATGAAGTCAGAGGTCAAGCGATGGATAACTGGACACAAAATGAACTTAAAAGACATATAAACTCAATAATTTAGTGGCAGAGTTTAAATTTAGAGGGTTTTTTTCACATGTGAATGAAATTAAGACAATTTATTTCTATTTATTTCTATTCCCAATATGTGGGGGCTGCAGATCCCAGGGCTTCCACTCAAAAATGTTCAGCTGACCTAAAGTCAGCTTTATGGTGACACAATGCCAGCTATCAGTCAGGAATCTTACGACTGAAAAGTATGATGCTTGTCGTTCCTCAGAAATGTCAGTCTTCAAGCTGCACCACTAAAAAGTCATGATGAGCAAGGTCACAAAATGGACCTTCTACAAATCGAAATTTAGCTGGATTTGATGAAACAATGCAAACTGAGCCAGCTCTCAAATATTGTCTCTTTGTTGTCATGATGCTTAGAATGCCAGTGAACTGTAGCCATTCCACTCCATTATCTATAGCGTGTATCCTGTTCAGGGCCGAGGGGGGCTGGAGCCAACCCCAGCTGTCATTGTGTCAGAGGCAGACAGGTCGTCAGTCTGTTACAAGGCTGACACATGAGGACAAACTATCATTCAGGCACACAATTACACTCATGATTAAAATTGTACTCATACACCATTTAGAATTACAAGTTAACTTAATGAATGGTGGTCAACCAATACCACTTTTTAAATGGCTGATACTGATAATTAGAGAGCAGGGCAGCTGATGATGGCAGATATATAATGCTGATCATTATCTCATTATTGGCTTTTCTTTTCTGCATTTGAAAAAACAGAACAATTACACAGTGCTTATAAATGGGAAACAAAATTACTAACCTTGAGCAAACATTTTGTCAAATAAATTTGGAGGCGATTCAGTAAAGTATCGTCTCAAGAAAGAAAAAAATACAAGGCAAATATTGGGGTCGAAATAATAAATAGCACACAATGTAAAACTTAACTATTCCGTGTGCATTAAAACCAAATATACCTGCTTACCATAACACATTTGATATGGATTTTTAATTGATGCATCGGGTTATGCAATAGAATCCAGAGTATTGTTAATATACACTCCAAAAAGATGCATTAAACTTTAATATTCTATACACCATAACAGAATTCCCATCATACATTTCATTAAAAAGAGAAAACTGTAATATTTGCCTTGTGAGGGCTGATGCCATTAGCATGTCAATTACATCAATACCAAAAACTGGCCGATTAATCAGTCCATCTCTATTAGTGAGCATGACTTCGTGTCTTTGGGCAGAGGGTCCCTGCATGCAAACATCCAAACTCCACACCGAGAGGCTTCTGCTAGTCTGGGGATCGACCCAGGAACCGTCTTGCTGTGAGACCACAGTGCCACACCACAGCAACAAGAACAATACATTTCCAACAATAAACCATGCTATTGATGTATATTCCCTCTCTTCATGTTCTGTAGTTTTGCACTTTTCTAAATGAGTCCTCGCTGATGTGACACCACTGGTTTCTGGCTGGAGGACATCAAAAGCGTCCCTTATAATTAACCTTGAGCTTGTGTGTGTGTGTGTGTGTGTGTGTGTGTGTGTGTGTCACAGCAACCTGTGCGTGTCTAATTACTTCCCATGACTGCTGGCCATTTTAAATGTCCTATAATCATTGGACACAAAGTGACATATAATTAGACCTCTTATCAAACCATGATGGCATAAGAGGGTGGAAACCCGTTCATGTGCATACATTTGTTCTTTGTACTTGTGAGCACTTGAACTTCCTTTAAATAGTCTTATATGAGAAACACTTGGACAATGTTATGTATTGTGTTTGTGTAAACTCAGTTGGCCAACTGAAGTCAAATCAAGATTAACTAGATTATGGGTCAGGTTGGCCAGTTTGTTTACATCTTTTAAAATGAATGATATAGAGTATACAGTTCAGTACCTTCGTTGTCCTGTTATACTGGTACAAGAGACACCTGTCTACTGGTTTAACACTATGTAATACATGATGAAAATCATCTAAAGTGAGTTTTCAATAAGGGTTTTTTGGCCTAGTGTCAAGACCAACTCAAGTGCTAATAGCTGCAGTTTTTCACACAGCCACTTGAGGCAAATCACTTCCTTTAACACAACTTGTGACTCATGAATGTGTTTGTCCTCACAATGCCTTATGGGAGTTTGGCAAAACTGTTTTTTTTTTTTTTTATGTGGTTTATATTACAAACAGGTTGCTCAAAAAGTCTAGTCTTCAGCTCTTTTCAGCTCTGAGGTCAGGATTGTTTTGCTGTTTTCCACTGAGCGGAGGAGCGGGATATGGTGATTAAAAGATAAGTTGACCTGATTTATCTGGTTAATTTCTACCACCAGAGATTTCCATGTGTAAGCACTGAGACTGGTACATTCAACACACTCACTGAGCTTTTATTTGAAGTGTAAATAGACCACCCAGATCAGCTAATGCCTAAAATATTATGGTTCGCTGGCTCGTGCAGACTAATGAATGAGCAGCCCACAGTGACCGCATAGCTCCTCTCCAGCACCGCCCTCAAGCCCAAGCATGGATCTGAGCTCCAAAATGATATCAAAAATTTGGCAAAAAATGCTAAATATGAGGTTTCACATGGAAACTATTGGTTGCATCACAGTGGATATATCCATTTACTCTGCGTAAGTTTAAGCGAATTAAGGGCAGTCCATAAGGATGCATGCAGACAGATGAGCCACCAAAACTAATTTCCTATCTGCCACAATAATTAAAACAGTGTCGTAGCCAAACCTGAGGAAATGAGGTCACTGATGAGCTCCTAAACCATTCAAGTCTTCAGGGAAGCTGTGTTTGCATGTGTAGTGTGTGGGTGTATGATTCACAATGGAAAAACACCACACCAGTGCCTTGTTTCCAAGGCAGCTGTCACCACCACACCAGTAGAGCAGGGTCCTGTTTTTGGTTTCTGGATGTCGAGGGAACGTGATGGAGAAACTATTTAATAAGAATAGAATGAAATGGACAAGAAGGCAGGAAGATGACTATTGTGAAGCTTGGAAAATAGAAATGCTGAAATCAACATTTCAACGGAATTAAAGAAGACTTTTAGGCTTAATAGCAAAAAGCAATTTCTTAAGGCCAAGGGAAACGATGCAGCAGATTTCCTGTCAGATCTGGCCAAAAAAGGAGCTTGCAAAGGTATCTTATGTTGTTTTTGATTGACTGGTCCTGAAATGAATGACACCACATATACCAAATTCTGTAAATTCTCCTTTTCTTCCATTCATTCTCCCTTTTCTCATTGCGTCTATTGCTCCCCATTCTGTCGTGTTTCCTGCCTCCATTTTGTTTGTGTTCTCATCTTCTTAGAGTTCTCCACAATAGCGTGTGGCCCCATTTCCCCTAAACTGCAAAACCAAAGAAATGTGTGTCAGTATTAAGCTGCCAAGACAGAGGAGAGAGAACATACACTGACTCCAGGAGATGCTTGCATACACCTCTTCATCGCATGGATAAGATCAAACGACCAAACATTTCCCCTTCTATGCAGACAATAATCTGCTTTATTTTAGTTTCAGACTCCACATCACAACAATGCAGAGTGTTCAGGCAGCATTCAAATCAGCATGCAGCCTCCATCACACTATGTTTATCATCTCTTCCTGCTCATCTGACCCCACGCCGCGTAGCCCCGAGTTATATTTAATTTACCATGATTGAAGCAAAAGCTTTAAGTCTGAGGGACAGTCTGCGTCTCTTTACCCATCCAGGCAGGGAAAGGCCTCTGAATTCCATCTGTCTCAATCTTTCCATGCTGAGCAGAAAAAGAATACTGAGAGAGAACAAGTCAGCACAAAATTACTATTCACTGATGCTGGTCGTGTTGCTGCTCGTCACACCCTGATCCACTGCAAATGCTGACATTTTGATACTATCGCTGTGTGTCTGCAAATCTGACTGCTTCTTTTCATTTTCTACCTGCCTCCTCCCAGCCCACATTTGATCTACGAACAGTTATTAGATATCTGTGATCTTTGGTACTGATCTATCCAGATAAGAAATAATCAAACCAGCACACTGGCATATCTTGGTGCTGCACACTGGATATGAAGGCTGTATGTTCACATGCCACACAGGCTCCTCATTGAGGTAAAGTGAGTTATTGCTTATGATTTTAAAGACATAAAGTCCAACCTTTTCATATCCCCGAGTCTGAAAAGGATTACACTGTTTCTCTTGTAGTGGATTGATTCTATTTTAGTTTTGGTTGAACAAAACAGACATGTAACAAGATGTAATCTCAGACTGGACAAGTACATGCTGAACATTTTCAACATTTATAAGACTAAAAACATGATAAAGAAATGTTTGTCGGATCAATCAGATCTTTACGTGTACCTGTCACTTATCTTAAAAATGGAATAATAGATATTTGGATAAAAAAAGAAATGAGACCGAAATAAAACTCTGACCAGAAATCACAGAGACACTTTTATAACCATGTATAAATAGCCTCACAAACAAAGGCTGGATGTGCAATTTGGTCTCTGCTGCCTTTTAACCATCAGCACCCGTTTCCCTGTAACATCATCGTCTTCAAAAGCCAAGGACATTGAATGTGTTTACTCCTGACTCATTAGCAAGATACATTTTCTAAGCTTTTCAGCCACTGTCACTCGCCTGTGTGTGATATATAAACACACACACACACGCACACACATGAGTCATGCATTTAACCTAATGAAGCACTCTCCGTCGTCTGTGGCGGATCCAAGCTTGAAGATCACACCATATCTGAGCCATGGGCACGGATGATGCATCGCTTCGCTCATAGCAGATGATTTCATGTTGGTTTGGCTGGATTTGGATTAATGAAATCATCAGACTCAAAGCTAATGCTTCTGATAAAGGGGATACATCCACTGGCAACAGACTGACGAAAACAAATATCGTATTCTGTGTCAACAGGACCAATTTAATTAAAGGGAGGAAACCTATTGTAACAACTGTAGTAAAGGTTAACCTATGAAAACATGGTGTTGTTCTTAGAGTGTGAAACAGAAGAAGGAAAAGATAAAGAACAATACTAAAAAAAAAAGGGATAGAGAACCAGCAACAGGAAGCCAGAGATGGACCGCTGGAGCTCAAATGGATCTGTATTTGATTTAAGCCTCTTACCCCATGGTTACCATACCCACCACCCCTCACTTCCCTCCATCCCACTTCTAATCAGCCTTCAAAGAGTCAGAGGGAAAAGTGGAACATTCACGGCTAAACAAATTAGATTCACAAGTACAGGGATAGAAGCCAATGTTGCATCGTTCTGAAATATTGATGTACTACTGGAAGCAACTGGGATTTACATCTGAATGCTTGGCCGCAATTAAAAGATATTCACAAACAGCGTGCAGGAGCCTGAAACATTTACAAATGTAGTGTTTCTTCTTCGCAAGGCTTGAGCATGCAACTACAGTATATTTAACAAATTACCACAGACTACTATGAGAGAAATAACCTAATGTTTAAAAAGCTAGATCAAATGATTGTTTGCTGTTTTTACCTCAAAATGGCTCTAAGTATGCATTTTATCAGTAAAAGGCCATTAAAGCTTGTTGAATTAGTCTAGTTTATGTTTCGTTTCATTGTGAACAGGTTAAAAAAACTGGCTAAATGATTAAATGTAGGATTAACTTTTAGCTCCTCAGACACAGGCCTAAACTGGAAGTCCTGCACTCTTATATGTCATCAAGTAATTTGGGTTTTAGTCAATTAGGTTTTTTGGCCAGAACAACATCAACCTTGATGGGAAATTAAAATGAAATGGACCCCAGTTAGCTTCTTTCACATCAAATACCTTTATAATGTTCATCCAGAGCCATGTTTTCCAGTTAGGAAGCAAACATCTCTTAGCAACAGACATGAAATGATGTATTGTAAAGGTAAGATAACATTTTTTCGCAGCACAGACTGATCTTCTATGGGTTTATTTCCAGTGGAGAGAGTGCTCCCTCAATGCCGGGGAAATCACTGTCGTAAATTTCTGGACAAAAGAAAGGCTCTATTACGGATTATGGTGCCCACTGGAGGCACTGTTAGGGTTACGTAAGGCAGATTAGTGAACCACACATACCGTCACACCACCGGTGGTTTCATCTGTGAATCAGTCAGGCACCAAAACACAGAGATACTGATGCTCAAACACAAACATACTGGTAAGGCAACACTATTGTGAGTGCTGTGATAGAGAAAACACATCACCATATACAGATGTATCATCTGCATATGTTCCAAACACCTGATTTACCAGTGATTTATTTGTCCTTTACTGTCTGCTTGAACACACAGAGCATGTCTCCTTGAATGCACTCTAAACTAATTGAACTCAGTGCAGTTAAACTGATGAGTATAGGACTAGATTAGACTAGAGAGCCTAATACAGTAAAGATATTTGCAAACACTGTAAATTTTATGGATTAATTCATGGCTCTGTTGTCAGCTCTGAGGCCAATGGCAGTCAAGCAAATAAAAAAAAAAACTGCTCCATTGATCTGACGTGATCAACCCATGAGACAGGACACCACAGTATGTAACAAAATCCTCCATGAGTGCATGTTGGGATATTAAGTCCTCTGGGACCCGGTGTGCTAATGTGATTGGATTGTACAAGAACAAGGGGCATGAGGAGGCAGACACTGAACAATGAAATGTTGTGCTTGATTGCAAAAAGTACCCTTAATGGCACAGATTCTAACTATTTCTCTGACTTTTCCTCTCACTGACACTCTATGGAACTGGGTTAAAAAACTTATAGCACAATATAGTGTTTTGTATGTTAGCTAAATCAGCTGTAGACTTTTTTTCTCCAGTATTAAGTTTGTACAGAGAAAAAAAGACCTAAAACAGGAGTAAGCTAGTATTAAAGAAATGCCATACTCCTGCTATGAAGCAATACATGTCATGTTGCAGCATCCTCAACAGCGCTTCTTTAAAATCACACCAAAGTTTCTTTCCATATCCCACATATCCCTGGTCTAAATAACACCCCAAAGAAAAAAAAGCTAACAAAACAAACAAAACACCAACAATGTTATAGGAACCACTGTCCAGGCCCGATATTTCTGCAAGATCTCCTGATCTCCCACACACACACACAGTCGTGTTTTGTGTCGTGGAGAAAACGCAGGCAGGATTGATCATATTGTTTGTTGCAGAGGCCACATTAGAGGCGTTTAAAGCAGCATCAGTACGAGGAGGACTTCCGTAAATCTTTGTTCAGCATCATGCCCTTGCCTGGGCAGGACTCAACAGGGCGTGGGCCTCACACAGAGAATGCGCAAGGCGGGTGCCTGTCGCGACTGCTTAAGATCAATCATTTGCCTTTTCTTTTTAACAAATCCCTTTCATTTCACTTTTAAAAGCGAAAAAGTGAAGTCATCTTTAGTAACAGCTGTCATCTCGGACCACATCAGCTCTAAAGCACTAACAATCGGCCTTGTTTGGTACCTAAAGGCGCGCATGGAAGCAGTTACAGGCCTGTCAGGTTGATTAAAATATCAATAACAAACGACAGGAGGGAATACGTGACATACTGCAGGCATTAAACACGGAGATTACATTTGTCATCTTTGGCGTCACCCTTGGTCGTGAACTGTACCCATCGCCCCCTTCATGCCTCCTCTGTCGCTCTGTATGCGAGCTCTTACCTGCATCCAGGGGGAGAGAGGGAATGGAAAGTGGAGAGGGAAAACATCTCAGCCCTGTCCGCCATCTTCTTCAACAAATGACTCAGAGAGACTGCAGAAAATCACGGATGGAGCGCAGTCCATTCACAGACAGTGGGCAGAGGACAGCCACGGAGCTTTCTGTCTCTCTGCGGCCCCACAGATGCCCCCCCCTGGCCGCAAGGCTTCAATCAGACGAGCCTGCTCAGCACCATCAAATCTGCAGTCAACCATCTACACAGGTAGGGGAGGAAGGAGGGGGGTGTTGAGGCAAGGAAGATCTGAGGAGACGGAGATTTCTGTACAATCCTGTTTTTCGCCCCCCCTAATATGTCCACGCGAAGCAGAAGCGCGCAGAAAATGCGTCCGCAGTCCGTGTTTTTCTTCGCCAAATGTCTGCTGCTGCTGCTGCTGTGATGCTGCCTCTGACACACAACGGATACGGGCCAGCAGTGCGGAGACAGCAGAGACAGAGGAGGAGGAGGAGGAGGCGAGGGGGAGGAAGAGGAGGAGGATGGGGAGGGCGTGTGGAGCAGTGGATATAACGTCAGTGCCGTGAACGTATGAGCAGCTTTTCTTGGCTTGATGCAGGCAGCAACTAAACAACGGCGTGGAAAACACTGTATACATGATAACTATAACGCTACCAAAGTAACCCAAACATTACACGATCCAAAATAGGAATCATCCGTTTAATAGGAGGTTTAATATTGTGGGGAAAAAAAGAAAAAGCAGCAGAATTATCAGGACATATAAACATTTTAACCTGCAGTCAACCACCTACATTTTAATTATTTTAAATAAAGAAGTCTTCAGAAAAATACGAGAAAAAATCTCGAGAAAATTAGAAATTACTCACATACATACACACCCACATGCCAAATACTACTTATTATGAGTGCAGTATGTAAGGGAATATAATATGTTATAACAGTTATTATGAGTTATCAATATTCATAATAATAATAATAATAATTACCGCATCCTTAAGACTATCAATCTATGCAAAAGGTTACACGGTGTACTGGGTGGGCGTAATGAGGAGCTGTTCACTCCATGTAGTGCTGAAGTTCAGCTTCATTGCCAAACTGAGGTTTCACTGTCGTGTCACATGGGGGCGGTATATCTCCACTCACTTTGTAGGTAAAAACGTGACTGAATTGGCATATGCAATATGCTTTACGGTCATTTCATCGTTCACTAGATAGTATTCATTGATTTATTCATAAAAACAAACAGTTAAGAGAGGAAGTCCCTAAACCTAGTTTCTCCACTTTTTTTTTTTTACCATTTTATTTCCTCTTTATCAAGTCATCTCTTCTCTGACATAATAGCCAACAAACTGAAAATTCCTTGTATTTTTTAAATCATCTTCTGCAAAAGTTCTATCCAGTAAATGACAAGTTTTAATAATTTGCATATTTATTTCCATAAAACAGAAAGATTTACATCATCCATTCATCATCACACAACAGCCAAAGTTTTTTTTTAAAAGAGTTACATTATGATCTTTAGCACTTTTAAAATCTAACATGTTTCCCTTTTTGTAGGTCAAATTTTGATGACATGTTTTGAGTTAATGCGGTTACCTTTCTGGTTTAAGCTAAGCTAAGAAAAAGAGACAACAAACATACAGATGAGTATGAACCAATTCAAAAGGTTTATTTTGGGAATCATAGCCACGGCAGGAAATTGAGTTAAGCAATCACCTTCTCTTCGATGGGGATGGGACCCAGGGTGACATCACCTTCCCATTCGAAAACTTAAGAGGAAAGAGAGGAACGCATGTCCACAATGTGCATCAAAGTGGTTGATTTAAACATGATTAAACTATCAAGACAGGGGGTTGTAAATACCTTCACTCTCGGAGGCCTCCCGGATCTTCCTACCAGGAGAGGAAACACTAGTTACTGTGCCGCTGGAACCCCAGGAACCGCCTGCACCGGTGTTGGCACCAGGTGCTTCAAGTGAACCTGAGTCACAGGAGCCACAAGCTGCATGAACGCCGCTGGCCTCTTTCCATCTGGATATTACAGAGAGAATAACAGGCTTATTTCTTCAGTCACAGACTTCTTACAACGATTATGCTCTCATGCACACTCACCCTCCTATAGGGGAGCAAGCTCTGTGTCCACTATCAATGGGATGAGCAGCAGATGTAGCTCTTAAGTGGCAGGTAATGTAGAGCTGTGGAAATAATAGGGTTCTATATCAATGTATCAAACACAAAAATGAAGATATTAAATCATGACTTGAGATACTCACCAGTCCACTGTCAGAGCCCTGGAACCTGAATGCTTCCAACTGGAACTGGAGCTTGTTTTCTGCAGTACGAGCCATGAACTTAGAGTCAGAGCCTGTGATCCTAGCATCTATAAAGCATCTATAAGCAAGAAAACACACAAATAACGTCAGAGAGACAAACAGAAGACTTAATGTATTCGTGTCCAGCTATTCTAGAGAAACAGAATAATCTCAATCAAGTCATTACGCTTCTTTACCCTTGGTTCTCGATGAAGGCGTATCTGGGGTTGGAGTTCATGTCTGGGGCAAGAGTAGCGACACAGCTGTCCACATAAACACGCAGAGGCACATGGAAGTACTGCTTGACAGTTGCCTCAATATTAATCATGTCACCCAGGAAATACTGGTAGCTTGGCCTCTCGAATTGCCAGTCATCTGTGTAATGAGATAATGGCATTAGATCACAGCTCCATAAATGTTTGATCATGAAGAAAACCATGAAGACAAAGAAGCGGAAGTGCTGCAGGGTCTTTGTCATATAGAAACTCCTTGGGTACTTTGCTGTTGCTTGTGTATTGCCTGAGGTAGGCAGGATTCCATTGAAGAAGCATCTTTTTTTGTGGTGTATATACAAAAAAGCCTTTAATATCTGTCAATAGCTATTAGTTATTGATGACATTTGGGTACATAACGACATCGCTGTGTTTTGTTATGCCAGTGTAGTCAACATTTTAAATTTTTTGAGCCCTCCTCTCTTTCTGACTGTAAACAAAACCATTCTCCGTCTGGTTGTGAGGCAGACACTGCTCTCTTGTATTGTGAGGCACGCCCCACGTCCTTGCATAACATTCACGAGCCCATATAAAGTTAGCATGCTACAATATCGGACAGTAGAAATCCACCAGGAAGTACGGGAAATTGTCTGAATCCTCCTTTAGCCACGACTGCCAACACAAGCAAGAAAACGAAGTGAATACCAGAGACCGGACAAGAGCTACATAAAAAGCCAGGTAAACATAAAACGATTTGGAACACTTCAGGATCTTACGGACCCTGTAACCTTTCTGCTGGACAGATACACTGCTGTAGCCCTTTAATGCCTGACACCCATATTATGGCCAGAAAATTTTTATTTTTTTGGGAGCTGAAATGTTTATTTCACTTACTACTGAAAACCAAAAAAATCAAAATGTCCTTAAAATTTAACAAATATATATTTATTTATCTCATTTGATACATTAGATGTTTTTGGAAACTGATAAACTACAAGAGGACATTTTTATCATTTATCGGACTGTATTCAGGTGTTTTTTTTAGTAATTTGTTGATCATATTGATTTGATAGTAATATATAAAAGTATGTATCAAATTTGATACCAAAGGCATTGAAAGGGTTAACAAAGTAAGCAAAGTGTCTGTAACAATAGTGTTTCTTGTCAAACGGGACCTGCGGTATGTTCTGCGCCGCTAAACTGGTTAGCTCAGTTCCTGGATTATATCACTTTATCCTAGTTGCATTAGTCCTGCAAACATTGTGTTTGCTGGTAGTCTGTTGGCATCTATAAATGAAACATAACGATAAACGATAAGAGCAAGCGTGAGCGTCTGTTTGTGGGCGGGGCTTGCTGGAGCAGAGCAGGAGGGGAGAGGAGGAGCTGAGGGGAAAACTGGTTGGGAGGGGTAGAGGTTACATTCAAGATTCCGCCCAAAAACTGGCACTTCCTCTAATCCTGCCTACCCCACCTTTAACAGGTAATTGCATGTCCTTTTTCAGGGTAAAATGAGTTTCGAAACTAGCCAACACATGATGTTTTTAATTCTACAAAAACTACAGAATGCTTGTTTTTTGAGGGAAAGTTGTGGTTTGCATTTTTTCTTTACTGAGTTTCATGCAATTACACTTTCACAAAATTAGTTGTAGATAATTTTTTTTTTTTTTTTCAACTCACCAGTCATGAGTTTCAGAGTGAAGTATAGGAACTCCTCTGCTACCTTGACTGCAGAGAATGGGATCCACAAAGGGTCCAGAGGAAGGCTGCTTACATTGTGCTTCCTGTAGGATTAAAGAGGTTAACTCAGAATACAGAAAATTAAATTAATTCCCAGTCATCTTCACTATGTTGGATTTTCTTGAACCAGTAGTTATATATGTGGGTTATATGTCTGCAAAACACTCCTCCACACCTCTATCAGTCAGTTTGCCTACCTTGGGTAGTGACACTCCACAATTACAGCAGCTTTGCTGGTTCTCACCACTTGAGATCCCGCAAGAGGTTGGGGCACATAGTTCAGAACAAAAGTGTAGATGAGGGCTTCCTCTGTCATCTAGCAAAGAAATAAATTTGAACTACTTTAAACTAATTCCACTACACAAAAACTTAAGTTACTAAGTTTAAATGCCAAATCATTTTTTTATTTATTTTGGGTATCTTTATGTGCTTACCGCTAATGAGCTGCCACAGTCATGCAATTCAGATTCAAAAATCAGCACTTGGGCAGCATTGTCTTCTGCTGTAGCACCGCAGGTTCCCAGGGTAAGGTCAGCAGGATTGATGAACTGTCCAATCCCAAACATGTCCTTCTTGACTTCCACATGAGCATCTCTCTCTCTGCACTCCACTGCAACAGTTGCAGCAGGAACAGGATGTCTCAGCTCAAAGGGGACCTCAGGTTGGGGCTCAGGTTTGGGATCTTCAGGATATGTCCAAGTGAGTGGCATCTCGAAATCCTGCTTCGATTGTTGGGGCTGTTGAGGTGCCTGTTTGCTGGGCTCCTGTCTCACAGGGGGTGGTGCTGGTTTTTGGTATCTAGGTGGTGAGGGCTTGTGTGAGGAGCCCCACTGAGCATCACAGAAGGTGCAAAGCAAGGCCAGTGCCACAAGGCACAGGGCAGAACACTTCATCACCATGGTTCCACAACAACGAGTGATCTGTACAGTTCACGAGGTGCTGCAGGGAAGTTTACAGAGTGCACCTACTTTTATAAGACAGGGTGTATGTTGACCTCCATTTCATTCCCTCCCCTTTTGTTGGCCATTCCCAGTCAGACCCGATGAGCTTAAACTTCAGCCAATGACACCTCAGCAGCTGTTAAACAAAAGTATACCTACAGCTGTGGTCAGGCCTCATCAAGTGGGATGACACTGAACATTTCTGTAATGTATTTAATGTTTCTGGAATTGAGATTGGGTCTTTAAAACAAAAAAACCACATTTGAGATTAAAAAAATAAATAAATCAGCACGCAGGCTGTGTATTACTGAGCTCTTCTCAAACAAGTGAGAGACGCAATCTGGGCTGATAACAAACGTGTGTTTGGTCAGTCGTGTTCAAAAAAAAAGTTGTGTTGACCCTGGGTTAGGTTTACCTGCCCTTAAAATGAAAATGTCAAACTGCTGGTTTTACCAAAGTCCGTTTGTAGAAGGGCTGAAAATTAGCAATGCTCCCATTTATCTTGAATTTGAAGCTACAGTTTTGTATCAGCAGGTTTAAGGTGTTTGGTAATTAGTAAAAGGACGCAGTGTTGTTGAGGATAATGAGAAATTAAAAGGTATTAATCAACCACTGAAGTATGATGAGGAATCCTAAAATTTGAATCAACACCCAACTCCAATTCTACTCTATGTCAAATAAAATCAAAACAGAGTTTAGTTTGCAAACCTTTTGAAATCAATATACAGTTAAAAATAGTGCAACGACAACATGTCATCATTTTACAGGGGACTTCTTGGGCAACAATCTAGGCGCAATATAGCATTAAATTGCAACAACAAAAAAAGAAAATTGTGAGAATCTGGAGAAACCTGTCCCTGTGAAGACAGTTCACAAATGGAAGGTAAAAACTGCACAGAGCAAAATGATAACCATAATTAATGTAAACATGACCCAGAGATGCTGGTGACAGCATTGAGCCTACTTAAGACTGAGCCAAAATGGAAAACTGTCCTGTGGTCTCATGAATAAGATTAGATATTCTTTTTGGAATATGGGAGCTGTGTTCTCAACTCTAAAGATAGGAGAGGGTCCTATGTTCAGCATATTACAGCCAAACCACATTCTGCACATATTACCAGATTGTGACTTAATGTAGAACACTGCTAAACTGGCCCGTCTGCAGTCCGCAGCCCGCAGCTAGCAAATCACATCATGATTTTGAAAAAAATGACAAAGACGCCCTTGAACTATTCAGCTGCTAAAATCATATATTAGGCAAAAATGGGTCAACTTTTTCCTTTAAAAGTCCAGGGACTGGTCTGAGACACAATACAATGGTAAACATGCTCCAACTTTTGCTGGCATAAAATTTAAAATTAGCAGATGCTTTTCTTGCTGTGCATCCATGAGTGTTTAACAAATGGGTAAACATGAATTCAACCTGTTAAATACTTTTAATGGCCAATAGACTACACAGAATATCCTGAGAATCTTACATAAAGTCATGGTATTGTTAACACATTTTTCAGTTTTCATTATTCTATCACAAAATTATTCCTGTTTTATTTTAGAATAAATGATTTCAGTGATACTTATTCATCACCTAGGGGCAGTTGAAAAGCAGCAGCAGCTGAGCAAAAATTAAAATAGAATAGAGAAAAAGGTATAAAATCAGTATAAACGTCATCAGTATAAACGTCATCAGTATAAACGTCAACGTCGTAAATATAATGTCATCTAATATTATGTAAGACATAAAAATATGAAAGTCATAATGATTTTAATATATTTTTATGAACAACAAACAAACATATTGAACACTGTTTGTCACTGTCCTCACTGCTAGTCTCTGCATTCAAAGCAAAGGTAGGACACTACATGTGTGGAGCTTGCACATGTGTTTGACACTGAAATGGTAGCTCTCTCTACTCTCATAAGGTTTGACTCCCACCGCCTCTGTTAGGATGAGTTTCTTTAGCCAGTCATGTCAGCCTTTAGAGTGGTGGAGCTGTGTCACTCAAATACCCCAGACACTTTGGTGTTAGATTGCTGGAGCCGGGGGCCTCCTACAACCATCCCTGAGCAAGGAACCCTGTACACATTATTTACACCATGTAGGTCCCCAAAATATGTTTGCCATGATATTTCCTTCTTGGGACCTTCCACATGTTCATCTAAGGCTTTTGAAATATGTTGTCCTTTGTTTTTACCATACATGGTTTTCTCTTAGGGTCAACTAAATACCAACAGTATGTTTAGGATTGTGAATCGCTATATATACTTGAATGGTCTTGGACCACTCTTGGCTACACTCATGTTGGCCACACTTGGGGGTGGACCGCTTTTTGCTACACTTGGAATGGTCACTCTTTGTTACACTTGTAGAGGACCACTGTTGGTCACACTTGTGGCCTGCTGAAGCTGTAACCCAGATATGTAATCAGTAAAGCTTGTCAAAATGACCATTCGTGTGGACCTTCGATTCTTTCTAATGTGAACCTGGGCTAGGCATCCTTACAGCCTCCCTCCCAATCAAACTGATTCCAATTTGTTACTTTGTACATCATATTGCAGGAGCAGGTGCACATGTTACATCTGTGTCAAAGCACACTCTGACCTCCGGATGACTTCTGATCCCTTTGTACTCTATTTAAGATCACTCATGTGTTGTTTGTTTACTATTTCAATATTTTAGGATCCCCCTGCCCCTTCAAAGAGTTCAAAGAGCAGCTCTCTGTCACAGAAAGTTCTCTTGACTGGTTAGGTCATCTTGACCTCTGTCTGTCTGTGTGTGTGTGTGTGTGTGTGTGTGTGTGTGTGTGTGTGTGTGTGTGTGTGTGTGTGTGTGTGTGTGTGTGTCAAGGTAATGATAGTTTCATATTGATTTGAATATATCTTTTTGAACTACAAACCTTATATTGAACACTGTTGTTACTGTTTGTCACTTGTCCCACACTGCTAAATCTAAAATCCATCTAAACAGATAAGGGTCAAATTTGAAAGGGGAAAAAGGGAAAAAATCTGTAGCACATAAATACAAATACATATGAATACTTTTAAATTAATTTCATGTATTTTTGGCAACTTCAGGAAAAGTCATCAAGTTTCAGGCTTAAAGAATGACGTTTGGGGTACTTTTACTGCTGTTAAAAGTCAAAATGGGTTAAATTTGACCCGAACAGTATGTAAGGGTTAAAGACACATTAAAAACATTTGCAATTTGGTCCTGTTGCCTTAACTTGGATTTAAAATGTCTTCATGACCAGTGGAAAGCAGCAGTGCAGAAACCTACATAAAATAATTACAGGCACCAAGGACCACAGCTATGGAGGAGTAGCATCAAGATCGCCTCTGATTCGGGGATATTAGGATATCCTAACACTTCTAGGCTCTTGCAGCACAACATCAACATGGCCCAGCTGCCAGGTTTTTCTCCTAAGTTGAAATACTTGAGCCAAAGCAGACTGACGATACTTACATATCTACGTAAATTAAACCCTGGACCGTGAGGACACATCAAAGCTGCACAGTGATTGAGTACTGTCCATGTGTTGTAAATTTATAAGGTGAAATGAGATGTGACTTCAATAATTTAAGTAGAGAAATTGTACTAATTAAAAATTATAATCCATTGCTAATCTTATGTAAACAATACCCAGGCACAGTTCGTCCTTCACAATGAAAAAATATAATGAATGAGTTATACAGCAATGGTGAAAACGCCAAAAGATAAGAAGTGCATGTTTATCAAAGCCCGTCTGGATACAGTGTGACCTGACATTGTAGGTCATACAGACCCTGTGAAGGTTTTGTTCAAACAAAGAGGTAGTTTATCCATCACAGATCAATAGTAGTGTCCCATTTGTGGCAAGCATTGAATTGATGTTCATCAAGAACTATATTAATCTGTGTACAATGTTCAATTTATCATGACATGCTGTGTTCGTTCTGGTGCAGTGTATTTTTGATGTTTATGTAATTTCTCTTCAGTTTACTTTTTTGACATAGCCTTTTACTCCTCAGTGTATCCCTACAGACCAATCAGTAGCTGGAGCATTTGATTGGCAGTAGTGGGCAGCAAATAGGATGTGAATTATCCAAACCCGGACTATGTCAATACCTTATAAAAGTCAGTAAATTTGCACAATACTTTTCACAGCATCAGGAGTTGTTTGGACCACTCTCTGCTGTGAATCCCCGACAATGAAGTTGGTTTGTGGTTGTCTTCTGGCAGTTGCCCTGCTGGGCTGCCTGGCTAATGCTCAATATTTCATGAAGCCCCAGCAACCTCAGGAGCCTCAAGCTGCCCAATACCAACCACCCCCGCCACCACCACAGCAGCCTCAGCAACCCCAGCCTCCCAAGTACCAGCCACTACCACAGCAGCCTCAGCAACCCCAGCCTCCCAAGTACCAGCCACCACAGCAGCCTCAACAACCCCAGCCTCCAAAGTACCAGCCACCACAGCAGCCTCAGGCTCCCCCTAAGTACGCACCCCAGGTGCCTCAGCAACCCAAGCAGCCTCAACAGCCTACAGAGGTGTTTCACACATGTGAAGTGGCGGAAAACTACAAGATCGCGTGTGGGGCTCCGGGCATCTCTGCCTCAGATTGTGAAGCAATCAACTGCTGCTTTGATGGACGTATGTGCTTTTACGGAAAATCTGGTATGTACTTGATTTTTTTCCAACAAGTATTCCTCTTTGTCACCTAAGTTGAGCAAAAATTCAAGAGTAAACCGTGAAAGCGTATCTTCGTTTATAACTTGTTTTGTAGTGACTCTTCAGTGTACCAAGGATGCCCAGTTCATTGTGGTAGTAGCCAGAGATGCAACCCTTCCCAACATTGACTTAGAATCCATTTCTTTCTATGGAAATGACCAAAGCTGCAGCCCTGTTGGCACAACCTCAGCTTTTGCCATCTACCAGTTTCCCGTCACTGCTTGTGGCACTGTTATGACGGTGAGGGTAACGTTTGATTTAAAGCATAATTTTTTTAAAATTTGATAATGAATTAAGAATCATAAATATTCATGCCAATTTACTGTAGGAAGAACCAGGTGTTTTAGTCTACGAAAACAGGATGTCGTCTTCATATGAAGTTGCTATTGGACCTGCTGGAGCCATCACCAGGGACAGCCACTATGAGTATATGATTTTGTTGATTTAACCCAAAGTGATCTTGATAGATTAGCTGACGTTATTTTTTATAAGTTATTTTCTAACTTTCTCTTCCTCCTCTCAGGCTGCTTGTGCAGTGTAGATACACTGGCACCTCAGTTGAAGCTCTGGTGATTGAGGTTGGCCTGGTTCCTCCACCACCACCCGTTGCAGCTCCTGGACCCCTGCGTGTGGAACTCAGACTGGCCAACGGACAGTGTACTACCAAGGGTTGTGTGGAAGGTTAGTGTTAAAAGGGGTTGTGCTTTTAATCTAATTTGGCAGCAACTGTATCAACAACCACTCTTTCTACTTGGGCAGAGGAGGTGGCCTACAACTCCTTTTACGTGGATTCTGACTATCCCGTCACAAAGGTGCTCAGGGATCCTGTGTACGCAGAGGTTCGAATGCTAGAGAGAACTGATCCCAACATTGTTTTGACTCTTGGAAGATGCTGGGCAACTGCTGACCCCTACCCTCACAGTCTTCCTCAGTGGGACTTGTTGATTGATGGGTAAGAGTAAGTGTTGGCTCAACATGGACATTTTTTAAATAGTTAAATAAATCCTTGTATCCCCCTAAACTGCGCTTCCACACTCTAAATTGTGACATATTTTTGGCCATCTCGCCCTCTTTCCCCTTTTCTTAGCTGTCCCTACCGGGATGATCGTTACCTGACCACCCTGGTCCCTGTGGATGCCTCATCAGGGCTCATGTATCCAACACACCACAGGCGCTTTATTTTCAAGATGTTCACATTTGTGGGAACTGGACCTGCTAATCCTGGCAAAGGAGAAGCTGCTGAACCAGAGGTTATGACTCCTCTTAAGGAAAAGGTATTGGATCCAATGACAGAGCGAACTTCGCTGATTATTCCCACAAGTATCCACATGCCTTACATTCCCTTACATCAAACTGTCTTTTTCAACAGGTGTATATCCACTGCGATGCAGCAGTATGTCAGCCATCTGTTGGAAATAACTGTGAACCTAGGTGCTTCAGACAGAGTAAGTAATGCAGTTTCACTCAGATGAGACCATCAATATGTTTGATTTTAGTTTGTTGCACTTTGTTTTTGACTAAGATGAAAACGGATCATTGTGTTACATGTTGCAACAGTATGGTCAAAGGAATGAAAATCAGAAAATTTCTTAGCAAAAGAATCAAAAAAGTTAGATAAGATGAAATTGTACTTTTACAAAGTGAGTAAGAAAATATGTTTGTTTGTTTATAACTTAAGGAATAGAGTTCATCTGTAAATGCCTGCAAATTACCTTTTTATATGTCTACTCAAATTTACTACACCACCTTGTGCCTCACTTTATCTAACACCTGTAAGTAACTGACCACTGATATTTTTTCACACAGGGAGAGACATTGCCGCTTCTGTCCTGAAAGGCTCCAGATCTGAGACCACTGTGGTTAGCAGTCAGGAGCTTATCTTTATTGGGCAGTAATAAACCTTTCTCATGAAACCTCTGTTGCCAATTGTTGTTGTAACTGAGTTTCAAATAAATTTGCAAAATGCTGAGTGCGTCTATTTTCATGAAAATATTGCTGTACGTCCGATCAGTCAGTAGGTTGCTTTAAAGAGCAGCCGTTGAATCTCAGCCCCAGTCTCTGTCCTCTTGAGTGAAGTTCTTATCCTAAACCTTACAGAAACTGGCTGCCATCTCTGCTCCATCTCCGTCTTTGTTTTAACTCAGCTTTTTAGGAGTGAATCCAAAGTTATAAATTACAGGACTTTGCGTTCTCTTTGATGTGTTTATCCCGTGTGTTTGAATCCCGCAATTGGAGTCCAGTGCCATCGGGCTGTGGGCAGTGTCATGTCAGGTCATGATTAACAAATTTGTTGGAACAAACAACAAATGGTCTTCCTACACTCACAGAAATAAGTAGACCTCACTGCATTTCATTTCATCTATTTAGATCTCCATTAGCTTTGGCTAAGGCCATCGTTACTCTCATAAATGTATGAAATAAAATATAACATTTGCATCCATTAGAATTACTTAGATTTAACATAAACAGGCCATTGAAGTTTATGCGCTGCATATTTGTCAGCCAAATGTTAATGAAACAATTAAGAAACAGATTTATGTAATAATCATAACTACCTTAATGTGTTTAAAATAAATAATGACGATTTATGTATTCATCATTCATGGATCCAATTGCTTCTGTTTCATAAATTTTAACTAAATCATCCAAAGCCCATTATATTTTAACTACGTTTATACATTATAACTGATTAAACTAGATTGTTATCACAATTAACAGATTTATGTTGATTTTAAGACATTTGAATGGACTAATTCTAAATATTGTAATAATTTAAACAAAATCAAATAGATGTAAATACTTTAAAATAAACTATGCCATGATTAATTTTCCGGTGTAGGAGCTGCATTGGTTGTATTTTTTTATTTGTGAAAAAAAAGTCTCTACATACATTTTCATCAAAGTAACGAACGTGCGTCGAGAAAGGGGAAAATTGAAAAAAAAAAATGGACCCCAGCTACACAGAACATGGCAAAAGTAACTTAGTCTCAGTGACAACAGGAGGAATAAGAAAAAATGCAGAATTAGCTTCTCTTTAATAACCTTCAAATTCAAATGAATTGTCATTTTTAAAAGACTGTTTCAGACTGTCATCTTTCTCATGCCTCTAAAGCCCCAGTTTTATATTATATATTTATGTGATATTTTACAGCTATAACAAAACTGTAAACCCATTCAGCTATCAAGACTTGACACAGTGACACAGTCAGACTAAATTTTGTGGTATTTTAGATTTGACTTTTGTATTAAGGCTCAATGGTAGACAAGCTAGAGAAATGTGTTTCTGCTGTCCTTTTCATTTAATCATACTTGCTATGATGTGAATCAACCAATGAAATCAAATAGAAAAGGATAACTGCCATCAACACTCACCCCACCAAGCATTCAGCACAGACACAACTTGGTTACGCCCTTCGCCAGCATAGGGATTTGAAGCCGAAAAGCCCTGGGTAATTTTGCGTTTTTTCTCCACTTCCTGAAACCAACATTGCACAGTAGCGTTGTATGCGCTCCACCACTTGCGCAATAGCATTGTGCGCATTCAGCTGGGGAGTCACCGAGTGTCCCTGTGATGACCATAGACTGTATATACTATGGACAACCTGGTTCCGCCTACCGCCTGTATACGGATTTGAAGCCAAAAAGCTCTCGGTATTTCCGGGATTTTTCTTCATTTCCTAAAACCAGCGCTGTGCAGTAACGTTGTGCGCTTTTGGCCGCGCAGTCGCAGAGAGTCACTGTGATGACGCTCGGCTCAAACAGCGTATCCCCCGGGAGAGCGACTCAATCCCTGAACGCCCATAGGCTGTGTCAGGTGTCAATCATAGCAAATATGAACCCCCTAATAACTTTTAAAAACGGAGTTTCACAGAAAAAAGAGGACTTGAGCACAAACCAGTCTTACAATAACTACATGTCAACATCGCATGCAGGGAGGAGAAAAATGTATGTTCTGTGTAATAAATTTCTAAAGTTGGTGCACAGCCCCATAAGCTTTGCTGGCAGAGGCGGGATTTATGACCTGTACTGCAGCCCTTCAACAGAGGGTGCTGTTCTCGGAGTGGCTTCACCCAGCGAGGAGGCAGACACTAGATATCAATACAGTGGTAATACTCATAATACTTTCCCCAAAATTCTTCATAATCAACAATATTTTTACACAGTCTGTTTGTTTTTGTGTGACATTTTTACATTAAGGTAATTGAAATATTAAAGAGTAACTGTTCTCTAGGTTTTTCCCTGTTCTCTAGCTATAATAACTCTATAAAATCTGCAAACTCCATTCGAGTTTTATTTTTCAATAAAACCACAAGCGCCTGAAAAAGCAAACACTACATTGCCCAGGATCCTTCAGTGTACAGAGGGCTGACGTGTTAGACTACAGACAAATGAGCTTTGCGTGTAAACCCGGAAATCAACTGTGATTGGACGGGGGAAACGCCTGTTCGTCTTACTCCAAATCATAGGTCGCGGCGCGTGCGGGAAGGTGAGAGTCATCTGAATATATCATTACTTTATAAGCTCCTATCAGCCGCCCCCTCATGCGATTCACGCCGTCCAGCTATGTTTGGCTCTTCCGGTTAAGTAGCTTTACCGGCAAACTGCGTTTGTCATTTAGTCCCACCTGCCGTCGGAGATCGACTTTTCCCCCCGCTCCTCCTCTTGTGTTTGCCAGGAAACTCATGATGCAGTCGGGCCGGAATGTCTCTTCAACCCGTGGTAGCAGCAGCAGCGGTGGTGGAGGTGGTGCTTTAGGAAGAGCAGACAAGAAAGGGTCTGGGGTCCTTACGGAAGACACGGGTGCGCCGGCAGAGAAGAAACGCGTGGGGAACACGCTTGTTGTCAACACGAGAAAGTTAAGGACCCCGAGTCCCCTGTCTGGGGCCAACTGCGATGACGACTCGGAGGCAGAGTCCTTCCGTGATGGGAGAACCGAGGAGGTCGACCGAGACACCAGGGGCAAGGCGTTCGCGTGGTGCAGAGACTTTCTGTCAGGCTCCTGGAAGACCATCAGAGAGGACGACTTCCAAATCAGCATCGTCAGGTACAGTCTCACCTCAATAACTGCACCACACTCAGGCACATGATGAAGCTCTTATTACAGTCATGGATGATAGACTTATTTATAAATGAACGTGAAAGGGCACTTATTGTGAGGTCATTTTAATTATGAATGACATTATCATGCTCATTCAAAACCTTAACTACCTACTGGAGTTCTCACAGCTTTTGTAGCAGTTATTTCTATCATGTTTAGTTGTGTTTTATGTGGTTACAGAGCTAGTTTTGTTTCTTTGTCACTTTTGAAAAGTCTTTAGAATATTGGAAACAACTCAAAAGTATAATAATAATAACAACAACAATAATAATGATAATAATTACTTTAGGTTTATAGCACTTAAAAAAAAAGAAGTTTGCAAGTTGCTTCAACAAACTGTTGCAAAGCATCAGCTCATGGAAATAAAAACAAATAAAAAAACAAAAGCACAGTTAGAAACAAGGCCTCCGAATTTAAGGCCAATTTCATTTGTCCTAAGAAACCCAGACAATACAAGAATAAAACATAAAATAGGTAAGAAAAAGAAATGTAATAAAAAGGGGGGAAGAAAGCAGGAAACAGGACAGTAAATATAAAAAGATGATATTAATAATGATAAAATAATAAGACCTTAAAGGTTAAATAAGTAAAGATTATAAGTAAAACAAAGGCTAAATGGACAGTAAGTCAAAATAAGAGAGGTAAAAGAGATAAAAGAAAAAAGAGAAGAGATAAAAGACGGCATCACATAAAAGCAAGTCTGTAAAAGTCTGTGAAGTATTGATTGAAATTTTGTGGTTCAATATGTCATGATTTTTCATCCAAGTTCACACTGTACTGTTTTTAAGATCTCAACACAACCCTTATGTCTGAAACATAACACAGAACTAAATACTAAGTCTGTATTTAAATGCCAAATTGCTTTAAGTTGCGTTAAAGTTGGTCATAATTTGTTGTGGACGCCGTGTACCACAGGTTTATTTGCCTTAGAACATTTCAAGCAAAATCTATTTGTAATGTCTGACTGAATACTTGTGACTAAACTCGATGGAGGGACATAAACTTTACTCAGATGTGGTAACTCTTTTTTTTTTTTTTTTGCTCTGCAGTGGCGGCCTGAGTAATCTGCTGTACTTGTGTAGTTTGCCTGACCATGTGCCCACAGAGGGCGAGGAACCTCGAATGGTGCTCCTCAGAATCTACGGGGCCATCTTACAGGTTTGTCTGTCTTAAAGAGCTTCTGTGGAGTCATTGGTCCATGTATTTGTGTGCTTATCTGAACATATTTATTCATCACGAGAAGAAAATTATAGACCCTCGTTGAAGGTAGTCAGCTTTTGCAGTGTCAGTTTTGATCACTCTGAATCTGTGTGTGCTTTTTTTCTTAAAGGGTGTGGACTCTTTGGTGTTGGAGAGTGTGATGTTCGCCATTCTGGCAGAGAGGACTCTGGGGCCAAAACTTTACGGCATTTTCCCTCAAGGGCGCTTGGAGCAGTACCTCCCAGTATGATTCATAAAATTCACTCTAATATCTTGTATTTCCAGCTTTACACTGTGGCATTTTGACGCAAGCCCTTGACTTCTTCAGAAAAAGAGCAGATTTCCTTTTGGGAAAAAAAAACTGTAGAATACTGTTTGACAACTCTTTTTTCCCCCTAGAATACCCGCATGCGCACAGATCAACTTTCAAATGCAGAAATTTCAGCTGAGATTGCCACCAAGTTGTCCCGCTTCCATCAGATGCTCATGCCCTTTAACAAAGAGCCGAAGTGGCTGTTTGGGACCATTGACAAGTAAGAACTCCTTCATATCACTCTCTTAATTCTCTGTTAATCCCTCTGTTTTTATAAGCTCTACTGTGACAACCCCCAAAATGTTAATGAGGCTGTCTTATTTACAGAACACAGTCTAGAGTCTGAGCATACTTTATTTTTCTGAAAAGGTATATCAGCCTGTTTCACTCCAGCTGATTAGAAAATACTATGTGGGCATGTGCAGGCGAGGATCAGTAAAGAAAGGAAAAGATAGCAAACACAAAGCATGTATGGACAGTGATAAAAACACATACTTGGCTGGATTTAGTTCCAGAGGTCTTCACCTCCTGGATTGGAAAAAAAGAAAATATGACTTTACCTTTTTCATTTTGGGAAAGTGTAGTGTTTTTTTTCTGATTAAGCATTTGCAATCTCAAAATTGAGGTCCCTAGCAGCTACTTTAAATTTAGTGTTTGTTTGTTTCTTTTAGATACATGGATCAAGTGATGAATCTCAGCTTTGTGCGTGAAGCACATGTAAAAAAGTACAAGAAGCTGATGAAGCTGGACCTGCCTGCTGAACTGGATAGCCTCAGGTAAGTTTTGGCCCAGGTTTCAAATACACTGGTGACACTTGGGGTTTTGTCCCACAGTTCAAGGCTTCGTATAAACCCCAACAGTGTCAGTGAGAGACCCTCCTGATCCGAAGTGTACTTGCCTGTTTGAAAAAAAGCCTCGAAAGCAAGAGGCGCAAGGATGACATAATCATTATTGCCTAACCGGGTTCTTGCAAAATGTTGTTTAGTCCAAACTGTCTCGTGTTACGTACTGTAACATACACTGACTTGAGAGTGGCAGTTGTCTGTTTGAGGACATACGTTTGATCACTTTCAAATCATAAAACAAACCACAGAGAGAAAAAAGGTAAGACAACATAAAGCCCACTAATCTGGGAAACATGTATACATTGGTAAAATCTTAATTGTTGATAAAATTGGACTTTAAAATTGGACATTGGTATAAAAATGTTTATGCTCAAGTCATTACATCAGATAATGTGGTTATAATTGGGAGCTTGTGATAGACAAGAATTTCATCATAGAGATACGACCAGCTGTATTTTTGTTTCCAGTCAAACAACTGACCTTTGTCCCAGTGCCTCCACAACTCCACTGCAGACCAAGTCCTCCTGTCAGACTAACCAATGAAAAATCAGTCCAGTGTTTATTGTCTGTGTTTATCCACGGGAACATTTGTTATCTTGTAGATATGAACTTGTCCCAGCTGAGGGAGATGTTCGAAGCTCTCGTTCAAAGAGCAACTCTGAGTCACAGGATCACTATTTTCATCTAAACTTGATGCTTTTTTGAGCATCTTAAAGCCTCATGATAATTCTGTTAAACTACATACAGATGCAAACCTGAAAAACGTGTTTTTTTCTCCCCTTTGTTTGTCTTTCATGGCCGTCTCTTGGGATTTTGCTCTATTACAGAGCATTGCTAGCGGCGACTCCATCCCCAGTGGTGTTCTGCCACAATGACGTCCAAGAAGGTAAAACAATCAGCAACTTATCCTGTCCTCTCAGCTCTTTAGTCCTCCTCACACTTCTAATTTGGGATGATTAATCAATCATCTGCTGTCCCTGTCACTCAGCCTAGTGAAGCAGTATGTTACATAAGTCAAAGGAAAGCTTTGGTTATTAATAGGGGCAGCTCACATTCATATACATAGTCCTATCAGTGAAAGTGAGCCTCTGAAATAGACAAGGTGGTTGTAAGAGACTCGGGTTTCTGTAAACCAGGAATGGTTCACAATGAGGAACAACCTTAGCTGAACTGGAAAGCTTGTTGACACCTGACCCTTACACTCAGACAGGGCAGACAAGTCAGCTTCTGTATTGGGCTGCTGTCTTATATCAGTGTATGTTAAAACCAATGTACCATAATTCACTTTGACTGACATGAAGGTGACAGATTCTACGATAAGGAAAAAAGCATGTAAACATGTCCATAAATACAATCTACCGCTTTTATTTGCGCATAATGCACACTAAGTGACCGCTCAAAAGTTTAAGTCCCTCTCCTATTGTTGCTTTTACTACTTAAAGTGTTCTCAGCTGTCTTCAAATCGTAACTATGAAGTTTTTAGCTGAATTCAAGTTACCTGTGTCATTTATAAGGGCTTTTCTTCTGCAGAGCTCTAGTAGCTCATTAGCAATTCGCCTCTGAGTCGTGGGCGGAGACAGCGCTGCTCTGTACACTCGTCTTCACGTTAGCTTGCGGCCTAACATTGCCGGTGTAGTAGAAGTGGCAGGTAACACAAGAACTATTCAGCTCTCAGACACTTGTGTCTTTGGGGCATGAAAAAAGCTAATGTCATAATTAGCTTTCTTATGAGCAGTGCAATCCACAATCCATTTGGGTCTGTGAGAGGTTCACAGCGATTTAAATGCAGAAATACTCAGAAATGCAATTTCACACTTTTCTCATGAGCATCAGAAAAAATACCATATGAACATGTAGACAACGGGGAAAACATGATTTTCATCGGAGTGGGTCTTTAAGACTTTGTGGTTCAAGCATTCAACTTGATTTAACGGCATTACCGCCTTAAAATTGGAAAATTGGTTTTCTAACTTATTGTTTGTATCTTCAGGAAACATTCTGATGCTGGATGATAAGGACCAAACCTTGACAGACACACTCATGCTGATAGACTTTGAATACAGCAGCTACAACTACAGGTAAGTGGGGCTACACTGAAAGTAAAGCAGTGTGTTTTCATCAGCGATGCTCCCTCTGTTTTGAATTAAGTTGTTTCGACTCAATATTTCAGTTATGCAGCTGTATAATACGATAACCATGTCTTACTTTTTTAAAGGGGTTTTGACTTTGGCAACCATTTCTGTGAGTGGATGTATGATTACACCTACAACCAGTGGCCCTTCTACAAAGCAACCCCAGAGGACTATCCCACCAGAGAGCAGCAGGTCAGTCCCCAAGGGCTAAAATGATCCCGTCCAAAAACTTTTAGCCAATTCTTGAAGAACCTTGAGGAATAAACACAAATGGGCTGCCTTTTAAAGTCATCAAGTGTAACTGGGTTGTTATTTCCACTCAAGAGTAGTATACAGGAACATGGCAATAATAAAATGCAATAGAAGCTCTTGAGAAGTATCAAATACGGTTTACCTTTAACTCAAATCTAAAAGTTTAGATTATGAAGTTAGCCTTTGGAGGGGATAAAAAACATAGACTACAGACCTCTGTAGTCCTTTTTAATGTTAAAAACATTCAAATATTACCACTTTTACCTCGACTTTGGTGTTGTATTTATGAATATGAAATATAAATACATTTATACTACTTCTCCCTGGGAAGCGAGGACAGATGTCATACAGTGTTTTGCTGATATTCAAGCCCAAAGATTTGAGGTAATGGAGAAAGTTAATCTTTTGATGGAATAGGAGTTTCTAGTCTTCTGGTTCTGTAGCGCCCTCTTGTGGCACAAAAGAAAAAAACATAGTTTAATGCAGGTTAATGACAAAAGCCTTTCATACATTTGGCAAGGTAAAATAAAGATTTTTTGCTCCAAGGATTTCAGCCCTCAATTTTGTTGAAACTCAAATTCCAGACTTTCTAATCATTGTTTTGTAAACAAACTTGTGTATGGAATTATTCTCAAGTCTTTTGGGTTTTTATTCCAGCTTCATTTTATCAGAAGTTATTTGGCAGAACAAAGTCAACACACGGACAGTGCCGGGGACCAGACTCAGATTGAGGAGGACTTGATTATTGAAGCTAACAGGTAACATGTAGTGCTCTTATCATTCACAACTATTTTGACTGTATTTGTTAATGTAAAAATTTAAAAGCTACTTTATTATTTTATCTTTCTTTTTACTCATCCTTGTCTTCAATTTGCAGATATGCATTAGCTTCACATTTCCTCTGGGGATTGTGGTCAATCATTCAAGCAAAGATATCCAAAATTGAATTTGGATACATGGTAGGTAGATTTTTTTTTGTTCTGCTGCATGTTACAGTTTTTTTTAATAAACTAGTGAATGTTTTTTGTGCTTTCATGTGAATATCTAGTGTACTTTGCCTCACTGTAAATCATCTTGTTTTCCAGGACTACGCCCAGTGTCGTTTTGATGCCTACTTCAAACAGAAGAAGCTCTTCTCCTGATTCCCTCCACCATGCCTCACTCACTTCCTTATCATTCTTCATGCTCATATTTCTCTGTTGAGGTTCTTCCTCAGCCACGTTTGATCGAAAATCCGGTCCTATGCAGCTCTGCCTACGTGGTGTCAGAGGTAGACGTTAACATTCGAACACAGAGCACAATCCTGTACCTGCTGCACGACAATTCCTCGACCTTTATTCCTGTAGTATGAAGTATGTTTGAGCAGGTAGCTCTATAGCACTGAACGCTGTTCCCTGGCAGTCTTCATTTGTAATCAGTGTTGGTCACCGCAGACTAACGTCTTTGTCAGACATTAACTCTTACTGTAATAGTCACTCTGTTTTACTAGAGCAATAGTACTTAGTTTGTTAATGAAGGCTTTGTGTTTTAGTTCTTCTACCTCACTTCTTTCTTGTGGTTCTGTGTTAGTATATTGACCCCAGAGGGTCTTATAGTAACACTTTCCTGTGTGGGAAGCAGAAAACTCTGACTACTCTCACAAAACAACTCCATACTTTTTTCTGCTGCTTGTAGTTTGCTTCAGTGTCTGTGAAGATATTCCCTCTTTTTAAGTCCAGTAAAGTTGAACTAGAAGTGTTATGAGAGGGCTATTTCATAAAGTACCAGTGTAGTCAGTACAGTTATTAAAACAGTTACTAAGAGTAGTTTTTGTTAACCTTATTATTAGATATCATTCTCTAACTTAACATTTTTATTGTTTTGTAATTTAAACTATTTGACATATTTTATTGAGCTTTTACTTACTTCTGTCTTTTGCTATGCTCTTGTAATGTTCTTATATCCTAGCTTGCAATATCTTAACATATGCCATTCTTGCCGAATGTAAAAGGTGAACTAAAGTCAAGCATGTGTATGCAGCCACATCCTGAATTTCCTCAGTAATTTCAAACAATCATTGAAAGTCGTTCTTGAATTAAGTCATACTGTGTTTGTCACTTTAGCTTGTTCCGATCCAAAGTGGGGTTTTGAAATTTTAAGAAAGTCTTTGTTCAAATTCTTGTTTTGTTTTTATTTATTTTGAATGTCTCATGTGTTTTCTCTGAATGCACTGCAGTCAGTCATCGACTCAATTCTTTGTTTGCACATGAGTGCATCAGTTTACCTATGAGAAGAACCTAGAAGTTAAAATTGTGCCTGGTTAACTACCTATGTATTTTTTTAAAGCATGATTGACCCAGCGCAGTGTAATATTGTCGAATCTTTCTGTACTATATTGGTCCTTGATGCACTACAAAATTATGGGTTCAAAGAAAATAAACATAAGTGCTCAAAACCTTGTCAAGTCATAATGGCTCATTTTTGCATTAACAGTTTATGCTTAAAAATGAATCTTGATGACATACAATTCATAAAGCAGGTCTCTCACATGTCTGCAAAGCAACAAGAGTGACCCCTGGTGGTGTTTAGAGTGAAATGAAGGACCACCCCCCTTGAACATATCCTAAGAATAGACTGTCCAGAAAAAGCTGCAGCTCTAAAATCAGCTGACTCTTCTGACTCGACTGGATCTGTTGCAGGGAAAAACAGAAAGCCTGAAGCTCTGGATAAAGTGGATCAAGACCCCACACCTTTTTCACATGCTCTTTCTTTTCATTTGTGGTACAGTGCATTCACTCTCTCTGCTACCTCTACTCTTCAAGTGCCTGTTATTCAGAGAGCCGCAGCAGGAAAAAGGAGCCGAGCACTTACACGGACGAAACGAACCACCCTGTCCTCTTTCTTTCTCTGCTGCAGGAGCTTGACTGTGTTTTTGGAGGACTACTTGCAGTTTGGTCCTGTTTGAACTAAAGCTACTATTAGAGTTCAAACAACACACGGCACACATAGGGTTAAAACTATGCTCTATGTGAATCAGGGAGATGAAGCCCCTCAGACAATGTTGGATGACACTTTTTGAGTGGATAACCGTATGGTTCAAACATGTTTTCTCGAGGTTTTGCGGTGCTTTTCTATCCATTACAACTTGGATAACACCAAATGGTATCACAGATGGAGGGTCATGTAAACCAGACCCAGAGGAGTGGGAAACCAATGAAGTCCAGCGCACATATTGCAGCGGAGACAAAGATGAAACCATGGTAACAGTCCAAACAAGACCACATGCTTTCTATGTAAGTAAGAAACGGTATTTGCGAGCCAATAATTAACCAGAGGCTAAAGTAAATTTGACGTGGTATTTCTATTTTTGAGGTTGACCTTGGGAGACTCTCAGAGTGCAGTGAGTACTTTCGAGCCCTGTCCCAGTCCAGGATGAGAGAAACCTCACAAAACCTCATTCACCTGGACCACGTGTCCTCCTCAGTCTTTCATAATCTCCTAGAGTTCACCTTCTATAACAATTTTGAAGTCCTTGAGGAGGAGTTGGGCGCACATATCCAGGTATACAGACTATATTTTACTCATCTGATCTTTCTGGTTTCTCAAACTGACCTTTTCTCACCCCTGTTTTTGCCTCTGGAGGTCAGCAGTTATCTCCTGGCTGAGGCCTTTCTTTCAAAGTGCCTGTCAGTGCTGACAGATCTTCTCAGCCCAGCGAACTGTCTGTCCTACCTGAGTCTGGCGCAGGAGCTCTGCTGTGTGGAGCTGAAGATAACCGTTTTCACCTTCCTGAGCCAAAGCCTGCTGGAGCTTCCTCACCTTATCAGGTAATTAACACCCAACACTATATTTAAATGTCAATTAATTTGGCTTAGCTACAAAGACTGAGCTTGCTGTGTTTCTTTCTCCTAACTTCCTGATGCACACATAGGAGTTTGAATGAGGAAGATCAGGCTGAGGTGGTCCGTCTGAGAACACAAGGAGTCCCATGTCTCTGCTGTCTTAGAAAAGAAAACCTGACCTCCTGGAAAGACCCAGAAACAGAGCGTGCCCGGCATATGTTCACTCTCAAAGGATCAGAGGACAGTGGAGATTGGCTTCCTGTTACAGAGCTTCCTTTCAGGGCGGATAAGTGGTGTTTCACTACAGTGGTCCTCCATAACTACCTGTACATTATAGGAGGATACCGACATCGTGAGAAGAGAGGCTGGGAGTTCAAGATGGCCTCCTTTAGATATAATCCAGTTTCTCATACATGGGTGTCCACTGCTCCCCTGATTAAGGTTAGACAGCTCCCTAGCTTGTGGTAAGGAAACTTTCCATCTATTTCTCTGTCTGTAACCATCTGCTGCATCTACAGCACCGAAGGCACTTCAGCGCAGTGGCCTGTGAGGGGAGTATTTACGCGGTGGGAGGCTGGTACTTGGACTCATTGGTGACTCCTGACTCCTGCACTGCTCTTTACACAGCTGTGGAGCGCTATGATCCCTGGGAGGACACGTGGAGGTTTGTGACCAAGATTTTTCCATACTGAGCAATAGTATGTTTCCTCCCTGAATGATTTGTTTTACCTCATGTCTTCTTTAGGTTTGTCTCCTCGCTGCCGCTCACTGACTTCCAGTTCACCATGTCCTTGTCCCATGACGTGCCCCTCGCCACCAGCCTTGAACACTGTCTCTATGTGCTGGGCAGCATCCAGAGGACGGGAGAGAAATTGCTGCTACAGTACGACACAAGGCAAGGTAAAGCAGAGTAATGTAGCATGTTTTGTTTGGCAAGAGAAGTAGATCCGTTTTTTTTTTTGGTGTAGAAACCTCAGAATCAGAATCCAGACCACATTACTGCAGATCCATGAGAACAATGTGATTCTTTATTCTCTCTGTCGGACAGACTCATGGTGTGAACTACTTCCCACCCTCACCAGAGCAGACGCAGACCTCCCAGCTCTTTACTTCCTGGGTGCCACTGACAAGTTGCACGTGATTGGTGGGAACAACTCTGGGAATGTGGTGACATCATTCTGTGTGCAGTCACAGACATGGGGAGAGGTGAGAGGAGACAAAAAAACATTTCCTGTTCAATACTATTTCATGTGTGTTGTGTTAATTTCAGACAAAATCTTGACTCATTTTTTTTCTCTTAAGGTGCTCGAAGCTGAGAAAGTGGCATTGGCAGGACAGGGGACGGTTACCGGGGACCAGGTTTTAATGACGAGTATAGAGCACAATGCTGTAGCAAGACTGGACCTCCAAACCCTCTCCCTCAAAACTTTTCCCCCTCTACCCATCTCCACTCGATATGAATCTGTTTTCTATCTTTACTTTGAATGAAACAGTAATGCTTTCTGAAATGCTGCAGATGTTTTATGATGTGTGTGTGTGACTGATGCAAAATCTCTTTTTAAGCTCCTGTGAGGAGTTTAATGAAATGTTCTGAACTCCACATTGATGCCTTTTCATGATTTACAAAAAGTAAACAAGACCATTAGTGACAAGACTTTCAAATTTCACACTGTAGTTTTTGATGCCTAAAACAGGTGGGAGGGGGTAAGTGTCAACCGAGCAGCTAAGGGAAAAGCCCTGTTTTTACAGTATTCACATTAAAAATTCTAAATAAATTAAAGATTTGACTGTCAAACGTCATCAGGATGAGAAAAAACGATTAGAGGACAAGAGGAGCAAAGTCTGCCTTGTCCACAGGGGGTGCCAAACTTGACACAAACTGAAAGATCCGCACAGGAGCTTTGAGACTTCACTTTAGAAATTTGTACTTATTATTATTTCTAATAAAAGTTGTACAAAAAAAGCAAAAATATATTTTTTTCTCTCAACCAGGAGCTTTATATGCAAAAGACCATTAAAGAATGGGCTTTTTAATTATGTTTGTGATCTCTGTGTTTTTGTGTTTTGTACTTTTATCGACTGTAATCAGACTTCTTTTTAAGGCACTGGGAAACTTTAATAAAAGTAGTTAAAAACTATATAACTTCAAGACTTTGAATCATTGTAGCTAATATGTGCTGCAATTATGTGCTATATTTGTACCCTGCTCTGCTGTCCTTGTTATCTCTGAGTCCAAATGTGTTTTTTTTGGATTATAACAGTAATGAAAAGGATAACCCCATATATGTGACCGAGAGTTCAGTATGTTTCCTCCTTTTGTTTTTTACATTTATATTGTGTTTTATAAATTGAAATAATAAAGTGGGAAAAACAAACACTATCAACAAGATAATTACTAACTATACTTATCCTCTTCAAGACTATCTACTTTATCCTCCTCTAACACAAAACACACAGTTTCCCATGATTTTTCAGGGAAGATCATGAAAATTTAATCTGCTAATTATTACCTGAGTGAGATGCTTTTATTCCTAACCCTCTATTGTTCCTTTAAACACCGTTTGTACTCTCAGTACCTGAAAAGATAACTGCCACATCCAAACACAGCACTGCAGCAGATACAGTTTCCTGCAGTGACCTCAAGGCACATGACTTGAGGTTAGCCTCTGTCAGTGTTTGGTGTCTTATTACAAAAAAGGGGGACGTCATGGGAGATGGTGAGAGAGGGAGGGAGAGAGAGAGTGGTGTTGGGGAAGAGGGGAGGAGGCGGGGTGAGCTGGCAAGAACAGGAGGTTACAGTCCTGGTCTCACTACCTGAGGAAAGCCAATTCAAGGGCACTGGAGTCACATAGAGTACAAGCCTGAGTACAGAGGGACTTCACTGGGACACCAGGGCCAAACAAAGACACAGCTCGACCCTGCATGAAAGGATTCTACTGAGCGTGGCCTGACAAATATACAAAGTAAGGGTCTGCCAATTTATTAGAGATTAATAATCAGCTCGGAGTATTGTTGTGTTACCTACAAGTCTTTTTATGATTAACAGTTGTAGTGCAGGCTTCATGTGTTTACTATAATCATACCTGAGCAAGTTTTCTTTAAGTAGTGTATTTAAAAAAATAAATAAATAAAAAGTATGGTTTAAATAATGATTTTGAGGTATATCTTTGTTTAGTTGGTCAGTGAAAATGAATGCAGATGTTTAGCTGGTATATTAATTCTCACAGGGCTCCTTAATACCTCAGAGTTAACCATTCAGCCATTGGTTGTACTCTGTGTTTATATTTTCATGCCCATCTGAGGTCTGTGCACATGCTTTGCTCCCGCATGGCTATATCTGGCTGTTGAACTTTGTCCCACTTAGTGACTGTTCAGTCAGATGACATGGAAAAAGTAATCCTAGACCTGTCAACCTGGCTCTAAAACTAGCTGGTTTTATAAACCAAATATTTTTGTTTTGAATTTCAGAGATCATTGCTCTTACCATAACTTTTCATAGATTTTATAGCACTTACATCTTTTCAAGCTGACCTCTCCAATGCCCATTGCAATGAGTTACCTTTCACAGTTTTTACAAAAGTTAGAAACAAACACTCAAACTGAGAGTTAGATCTGTGAAATGTGTGACTATTTTTGAAATTGGCGTTATTGAAAGATAGACCTCGGACCCTGTTATTTAGAGTTTTAGTAAAAGTCTCTTAATTACCAATGGATTACATAATTTTTCATGAATAGCGCACTAGAAATGTGGGTCTCTTGCAGTAGAACCCTGTCTTTGCAGATCTGGTGAAAATTAGATGTATTATCCGTGAAAACAAGAGAGAAAACCTGTATGGTAAAAAAAAAAGCACTCAAGACTGACACAAAAGTAAGATTACATAATATTTCCACTTACAAACCTGCTGACAAAACAAACAAACTTCCCTCTAATTTCCATGTTAGCTCTGTCCAGGGATGGCTGAGGCCCATCAGGCAGTGGGATTCCAGTTCACCGTACGCCCAGATGGTGTGGACCTTAAACTGAGCCAAGAGGTCGTCAAAAACATCTACCTATCAGGAGTGACAGCATGGAAGAAGAGAGCAATTCAATTCAAGGTTCGACAGCCAGCCATTCGTGTCAAGTTTTGATTATTAGTGTGTGTCACTCAGTATGATCATGAACAAGCTTTTGAGATGTTCAAGAGTATCTGCAATGACTCTGTGATGGAGATTAACCTTGAAATGATGTTGAATTTTCTTCACAGAATGGTGTGTTGGCTGGAGTGTATCCTGCCAGTCCATCCAGCTGGTTGATAGTCGTGATTGTCATGATGAGCTCCTTGTACACTCGCTTAGACCCCTCTCTAGGAATGATTGACACTATCAAGGACAGCCTGCCTCACAGGTCAGAAATCTGCTGCTGAGGTTTTATTTACTCTTTTCATTTTCTACTGGTGCTCCTCTATATTTTTCTGTTTGGTGTCATATGTTGCCACTTTTGTTGACAAAGGCAGTGTTGTGCCTTTTCTGAGCAGAGACTGTGTGTCAGTGCAGACCCGAGCAGTGATAAGCTCGATCCTGTTTGCCACTGGACTGTGGCTCTTCCTCATCTACCTCCTGAGATACACTCTGAAGGCTCTTCTCTCCTACCATGGATGGATTTTTGAATCCCATGGAAAAATGAGCAAATCAAGCAAACTGTGGCTGGTATGTTTGTGTTTTTTATCTTTCATTTATTCTGTTTACGTCACTAATTACTTGGTAACATGGTGGACATTTTCCTCTGGTGTCATATTTAAGGTGGAAGCTCAAATGCTGGTTAAACACGTAACTGCTGTGTCCATGTAAAAATATTTCAACTTCAAACTACAAACTGCATGATTTCATCTACTGTAGCATTTGAAAGCTGATTGGTTATGAAATCAATATTTCACACCATACTTTGGCATCCTTTGGCCATCGGGGCACGACCAGGAAGAGCAGGATTAAAGTTGACACACAGCAGGTTGTTGGCTGATCAAAATGGGAGGGGTCAGAGGATCTTTGTGCAAGCTGATCCCTTCTCAGAGACTGATGGATGACAAGATATTATTTAATTCAACCCTCTTGAGTTTACTATATCACCATGAGGCGACAGCTAAATGGTAGCTGTCAACTACTCCTTGGGAAGTATGAGCAATGTCTGATTGAAGTACAATAAATCCCAAAGACTGGCATAATTAAAGTGATATCTCCACCAAGCAAGCTGTCAGCCACTGCAGTGATCACTGAAGTCATATTTACCTCATCTCTGGATCCTGATGTAAAGTGGCATCTAAACCTAGCATTTTTGTAAACTTGAGATTTGGTCTGATTTTCCTCTTAAACTTTTAATTTTTCTCCCAGTTACTGAATGAGGAAGTCTTTAATTGCTAATGATTTACCAGAATACCAGGATTAGTGGTGATTTATTTGAAACATCAAATTATGCCAGCATTTGAGCTCTCCACCCTAAGTCTGATGCCAGAAAAAAATGGCTGTTGTGTGAATCTTACTGGCTGGGTTGTCAGGCTGTCAGTGCCCCTTATATAAATATATATTTTTGTCCTCAATCATCTGTAAAAGACATGATTGTTACTTGTTGAATCAAAATAAGTTCTGATTGCTGTGTGTCACAGAGCCTGGTGAAGATGTTCTCTGGCCGCAGACCGCTGCTCTACAGTTTCCAGGCCTCTTTACCACGACTGCCTGTGCCCAGTGTGGATGATACCATTTGCAGGGTGTGTAACATCATAGTATTGGCTGTGCCTGACCAAGTTCCAGTTGTGTTTTGACATGTTTGCTGAATTATTCTAAAATCCTACAGACATTTCACACAGTTTTTTTCCCCCTTGTATTGTTTGGGAGTAACAGGATGCCTTTCAGTTCTTTTGTTTGTGTATAACTGCTCTGCTGTTTCCACATAATAGTCCTTCACAGAACTGAAAACACACACCACGTTTCTCCCCTCAGTATCTGGAGTCAGTCCGACCTCTGCTGGATACTGAACAGTACAACCAAATGGAGATTCTGGCCAATGACTTTAAAGACTCTAAAGCCGCCCAGCTACAGAGATATCTGATACTGAAATCTTGGTGGGAGACAAATTATGTAAGTAAAGCATGTAAATAGTGCAATATTTAAAATCAACATAAATGTATTAGTTCATATGATTCAACAGTAATAATGTGACGTCTTCCAGGTGAGTGATTGGTGGGAGGAATACATCTATCTCAGGGGCAGGAGTCCTATAATGGTGAACAGTAACTTCTATGTTATGGTAAGATTAATGTTTTGCACAAGTGAAGTTTGTTGTGAACAATTAAAAAAAAGAACAAAGATGTACAAAAATACTTTCAACTGTGTCTATTCTTGTTGACCATATCTGTTTGCTCCTTGTGTTTGGTGATCGTAAAGGACCTCCTGTATCTGACCCCGACACACCGACAGGCAGCTCGGGCAGGAAATGTGGTGCATGCAATGCTGCAGTACAGACGCAAACTGGAACGTGGCGAACATGCACCGGTAATGCTTTTCATCACTTTTTAATCACCCAAAGAGATTGTGCTTCTTATTACTCTCTTAATCTAAGTTTATGTTGAACACACTTAAATGCTTTTCCAGCTTAGGGCTTTAGGGACTGTTCCCATGTGTTCCACCCAAATGGAGAGGATGTTCAACACCACCCGCATCCCTGGGATTGAAACAGGTATAAAAGCTGGAAACGTTTGTGCAGTCAATTGAAGGGAGCGTCTCACCCTTCTGCTGCACACCCTACATTTAATTGTTGTCATCCAGATATTGTGCAGCACCTGACAGACCGAAAACACCTGGTTGTCTACCACAAGGGCCGTTTCTTCCAGGTGTGGCTCTATACCGGAGGGCGCCACCTCTTACCCAGTGAACTTGAGACCCAGTTCCAAAGAATCCTCAATGATACATCCGAACCCCAACCTGGAGAGCTCAAACTAGCTGCTCTGACTGCAGGAAACAGGTTAACAATCTCCAACGAACTTGAACAGAAAACACATTAACATTGACCAAAAAAAAGAAAAGGGAAAGTAGTCTTGTTAAAATCCTCTTTCAGGGTCCCATGGGCTCAGGCTCGGATTAAGTACTTCAACCAGGGAGCGAATAAAGCATCCCTAGACGCTATTGAGTCAGCTGCCTTCTTCCTGACTCTGGATGATGAGTCACAGGGTTATGACCCAGCAAAGTCCCGTTCATTCGACAGTTACGCTAAATCCCTGCTGCATGGAAAATGTTATGACAGGTAAGCAGAGAGGTCAAGGGAAGGTCTCTAGCTCTTAGCCGCACCACTGTTTAGACTTAAAGGTTTTCCTTATCCCCCTTTCTTCTCTCACAGATGGTTCGACAAATCTTTCACCTTAATCTCTTATCCAAACGGTAAAATGGGGATAAATGCTGAGCACTCTTGGGCAGATGCACCAATTGTGGGACATATGTGGGAGGTATGAGACGTGTACAGGTAGCGTGTTTAAAAATTATGATTTTGAGTTTGGAAACATTTTCAGCCTGTTTTTCTGTTTGTGCAGTACGTCCTTTCAACAGACTGTTTCCATCTCGGTTACACAGAGGAGGGACACTGTAAAGGGGACGTAAACAGAGGTCTGCCATATCCCACTCGACTCCAGTGGCAGATACCAAAGGAGGTACAGCGGAGCCTTACCTGATATTTTATCTGTGTTTCCATTGAAAGATCAATTGGCTTATTTCTTTTTTATCTTAGTGCCAAGAGGTCATTGAGAAGTCCTTCATATCAGCCAAGCAGATAGCTGATGACGTGGACTTTCATGGCTGTCTGTTCACTGAGTTTGGGAAAGGACTGATCAAGAAGTGCAGGACCAGCCCTGATGCCTTCATACAGCTGGCCCTGCAGCTGGCACAATTCAGGGTAGGGGTCCCATCTTCTAATACAGAGATTATATCCATCTTCTGTCTTTTGATTGATGAATTGTCACATTACACAACCACTAACAGACCTCTGCTTTACAGGACCAGGGGGTGTTCTGTCTGACGTACGAGTCCTCAATGACCCGAATGTTCAGGGACGGTCGGACGGAGACTGTACGCTCCTGCACCTCTGAGGCGGTTGCTTTTGTCAGAGCCATGGAGGATCCAAGTGCAACTGTAAGCAGCCTCCAGAAACACAAATAAATCAGGAAAAGACAGCACAGAAACAAAGAGGGATCTGTTCATTTTTCTGTTTGAAAAACTGGTGTTAGATGTACTGCACATTTCTTCTTTGGCTCAGTCTCTCTTGAAAAATATTTAAGCTTGTAAACATGTTTGTTTGTGTTCGAAATGCCTTATTGCGTCAAACTTGCGTTATCAGGCTCAGACTTGCCAATCAGAATGAAAGGTCGCATTGTCCCGCTCTGGACGTGGTCATCAAGACCCAGAGACAGAGTGTGGACGCATGTTTGAGCCCTGGACTCTGACCGCTCTGCTGATTTTTGATTGACAGTTGCATTAACAGAAATAGCTTAACTTTAAAATGCAGTTATTTCACGTCACTATTTTTCTCACCAGATTGCTCAGAGACTTGCTCTTTTTCGGAGGGCAGCGGACAAACATCAAAACATGTATCGTCTTGCCATGACTGGTGATGGTATAGACCGTCACCTCTTCTGTCTCTACATTGTGTCGAAGTACCTTGGGTTTGACTCTCCATTTCTCGAGAAGGTCTGATTAAAGACAGTCTCTCATTATTTATTGGTTGTAGCGACACATTTCTTCCCTGTCCTTTTCCATGAAAAACATGCTTTTTTTCCAGGTGCTTTCAGAGCCCTGGAAGTTGTCTACCAGTCAAACCCCTCAGCAGCAGCTCAATCTGGTCGACATCAATAAGTTCCCTAAATATGTGGGTGCTGGTGGTGGATTTGGCCCGGTGAGTTAAATAACAAACCTAAAAAGACTGCTGAGTGATAATGTCCCAGATAATAATTAAACTTTGTCTCTTGTTGATCCCCAGGTGGCTGATGATGGTTATGGTGTGTCTTATATCATTGTTGGAGAAAACCTCATTACATTCCACATCTCCTGCAAGTTCTCCTGCCCTGACACTGTAAGAGAACGAACCGAGCACTTATAACATCCGTAACATTGTTTGTACCATCTCAAAAATTCTGTTTGCTGCCTTTCATGTTTTCTGCAGGACTCGTACCGGTTTGGTCAGCACATCTGGAAAGCCATGCATGATATCCAAGCACTTTTCAAGCTTGAGAACAACAAGATGACTGCAGGGCATGTGAAGAATGGACATGTGGAAAACGGGAAAAAACACCAATGACATCTACAGTGAGAAGAGTTGCTCCAAGTTAATGAAGCCGGTCATTTAACTTTGTCAAAAAAGGGATAGTTGTTACCCCCTAAGTTATTTGTATTTATCTACCTTTAGAGCAGGGTTAATTTGCTGCTGAGAGAAAGATGTGCTCTCTAATGATGAGTTGATACTAATGACTGTACATAGATTGTACTATTTAAACTATTATCTTTATACATGGTCTGGAGTTTGTGAATATTACATCTGTAAATAGATCTGCTTTATGTATACAATGTTTCAAAACATTAATCCTGTAACATAAACATATTTATGAATTTCATTTTCAGTGTTTAAAAATTTAACCTGTATTTTGTATGCTTAGCATCTGCAGCTTTTGTTTGCCAAAATCTAGACAGACAAATCATTTGAAAAGAATGACTTGTATTTGTAAATGTGCGACAATGATTTTCACACATCTGTAAAACACCAAAAGAAAATGCAGAAACACTGTCTATTATAAGAGAAGTTTATTAGAAGAGGTGTTGTGGTCATATATTGTTCCTGATAACCATTTGAACATTTACAGTGGCCTCTCAGGTCTTTCCAGGACATACAAAAGTGATCCGAGCTCTGATCAGCTGAAAGCTTCAAGACAGTTATTCAGGCTGCTCTGCTTTAGTAAGCACACTGCAAACCATATAATGCAAACAACTGTATTTTCACCATATTCCCCCCCAATTTGGTAACATCCTGGGAATGCAGATGTACGTGCCCATCTTCTGAGAAGTATGCAGATTTCTTCTCTTCTAAAGTTCAGGTTAATGCACCAGGGAGCAGCATAAAAAAACGTTTATGTAAAAAAAAAAAAAAAGAAAAACCATCTCCATTTCTGCGATGCAGGGAGATGTAAGCCGGCAACAATGAACCATTTTCTATAGTAATATTTATTAGTTCAGGTGGGGACAATACAAAAAGTCAAAGTAATAAAAAACAAACCATTCTGGTCACACTTGGTTTCTTTCAAGGCATCAGTTACAGCAATGAACTAAAACTAGGCTTTATATCTGTACAAAGTGAACGGACAAACAAAAAAACCTCAACACCAGCCGCGGGCAGTTTGAAAAGACCCAGAGAGGCAACAGACACCAGACTTGCCAAGATTCAAATCGAATCAACAGTATCAGTACTGTCTGTATCGACATTGCTCTCTAATCAGAAGCTGCCTGCCATTCATGCACATAAAACAAAACAGAATACAACAGACACAAAAGGCAAATGGATTTAAGTATGCTCTATTTTTATCATGTGGATGCTGCAGGTCAAGTCCACTGGGTGGAGACGTGCCCCCTCGGGCCACTGTGTGGGGCTGTTTTTCATGTAGATACACGCCAACACAGTCTTTTCTGTGTAAGTACTATTTTGTGTGTATATATTTCAACACTCTATGATGGTTTTGTAGTTAACGTGTCTAAAATCACTCAGCAGAGCTTCTGGGTTTCTGGTTTTTGATGCAGCAAGGGGGAGGGGATTAAGAAGTTGCACCAGGAGTTGGGTTGACATTCTGCGTGGCTGCTTGTGGTGCCACCTCTATGATCCGGGGCTTGTCGATGATGCGAGCAGTGCGGTTTCCTTTCTCTACAATCCCAATGATCCATGCTTGGTGGCCTTCGCCATATTTTGGGGACTTTATCTCAGCACAGAAGCGGGCAGCCTGCTCCCGAGGCAGGCAGATAAGCAGGCCTCCTGTAGAGAAAAGGAGATTTAATCCATGACGAAGGTGTCACAGGGTATGCTGAAAGGGCAATAACGCTGGTGAGAGCTCAGTTCTCTCATAGTTTATCTACCATGCAGTGGCACTAGTCCTTATCACCAAGTCTTTCTCTAAGATGGAGATGGAAACTGAGCTACAGCTCTGAGCCTTATCACGTCTTTCTGACCAGATAAACCCATTCACACTCTTGCAAGGTTTGCTCTCCTTTCATTTTTATACATTTTTGAAGGGAAGCTTGGCCCAAAAATGAATCAGTGAATGAATTACAGAATGAATGTGCACTTGAGTCCCCTTATTTGGCTCTTAGAGTCAGTGTTGTGTGTTTAAATGAGCTTCAGTCCACCTTTAACCCCCTTTTCAATTGTGACTTCTTGGTGCACAGCTTTGCTTTTAGTTATTTACACCCATCTCGTCCCAAATTGTCACTAGAAAAAACTGCAGCTCATCCAGAAAACCACAAAAAAGTCTAGCAAATTCAGGACTTAGGATGACCAAAACTTTGTTGTTGTAGCCCAAGATCATTGGAAGTTTGTACATCACATTAGTTTTGTTATTCTAGGGCATTATTCCAGTTTTTAGTGATATTTGTTATGTTTTAAAACCTCAGACAGGTAGGAGGTCAGACAAGTGATGCAGGAAGACAAAGAGTCAGGTAGACACCCACCTGATGTTTCAGGGCAGGTTCCGTGCATAAGTCCGAACATGTTCCCACAGGCCTTCGACACAGCCGCCATCTTTGCTAGGACTGGGAGGTTGTGGATGACAAAGGACACTTCGCTCCGTTGTTGCCGTGCCAGTGTCTGCGCATGGCCGAGGATGCCAAACCCTGTGATGTCTGTGGCTGCATGAGCGTTGAAGGTGTGCATGAGACCAGCAGCTAAAAAAGAAACAAGGGTTTGTAAGGGATCTGAATGATTGGTAACAGATGTGCACAAGTTATTTTCTCCCCTGAAGCTTATTTTTGTGTACTTTAGGGTTCTATTTTATGAACGCATGTTGATTCATAATAGCTGTAACAAAAAGAATTATGGTGATGAATACTCAAATTAAGAAATAAACCCCCACTGGATTTTAAATAAACACTCCAACTCTTAGAAACCCTTCAAAGGGACGAGCTTTTCATACCAAGGCTGAGTACAGGAAATACTTCAGTGTTTGAAAGTTATCACAGGCTGGCTTTTTGCTTTCATACTTTGAGTTGAAGATACTCTGCCAGTTCAGGTGCTGTCGACAATCAAAGTCTCCCGGCAAGCTTCACTCCACCTTAACATATTTTCCTGACTTGCAAAGCACAGAGACAAATCTAGGTACATCATTTATGTGGACACACTTGTGGTGGTTTTACCTGTCCTGTTAAGCCGAGCCATGTTCATCATAGCCTCATGATACGCCAGCTCTACATCTTCCTGAGTCACTACCAGCTTGATCTTGTTCCACTTCTCAGGCTGCGAGGAAAGAGTTAGGGTTAACGGGGGGAAAAAATACACATTTCCTTACAAATTTAATCATGATTTAGTGCAGAGACTTACAATATCTAACCACTGGTGTACTGCAACTGCCACTTGTGTTCCCAGAGGCTTGGTCAAAACCAGCACGTCTCCCGGCACTGCGTTGTCTGGCCTGAGTAATGTTGAACATGATTGTAATGATTAACAGAAGAAAACAAAATGGTACTCTAATGACAAAAAGGCCATTTATCAGGAAGTGTCAGGTATGAACTCATTCGCACATGATGAACTCGTTGGGCTGGCAGACTGTTGTTGCGACGCCTCCCATCACTACCCAGGGGTTGAGCACTGTCTGTCCTCCTGTTACCGATGTCCCTGCCTCCTCTGACGCGTCTTTGAACCCCTGGATGATCAGTGGCATGACTTTATCTCTCTCCTATAAAGACCCAAGACATGCAAAGCAGGGACAATGAGCACACAGTGAGTATGGTTGTTCTTTTGAAGGACTGTGAGATGTCTGTGAGAAGTAAAATTTACCAAAATGCAACTCACCTTTTCTGACATTTTGTTGCTGACTCCCAAAAGCATAAGCATGTTGTCACATTCTGTCACTCCCATGGCATACAGGTCACTTAAAACATTGGCACAAGCAATTCTTCCCTACAAAACAGACATACTAAATGAAGCACATGAAGGACTTGTGTGTTCAGTCAGCCCTGATCGGACTCAACAATAATAATAAAAAAAGAAGATATCAGTTGTTACTTAAATAATTCAACAACACTGCTTTGGAGCAAAAGTATTACTCTTTCAAGAGGACAACCATACCATCATATAAGGGTCGTCCACAATGGGGTAGATGTAGTCTGTTGTTTGGACGAGAGAAAGGCCTCCATGTCTGAGGGGTATCACACAAGTGTCCATGCCTATGCCTTCAAAAAAGGAGGAGTTTTATATGCGTTATTTTGGGAGCAGTTATGTTGTAAATAAAAACTTAAACCTGAAAAGAATTACCACAGATTAATGTCAGGTTGATTTGATAAAGGGCACTAACTGATATTTGTTTAACAAAGTAACTTTTTCACTCTTACAAAGTCATTTGTTATAATGGTGCAACATGGAAATGTAATTTACCTAATCGAGGCATAACTGCCCCGAGAAACTGTTCATCCTCCTGATAGTGGTTCTCCTGTAAGGTTTCTAGCAGCTTCTGTAACACATCTTGAGGTACCTGTGACAGACATCAACAACTGTTAGACATTATTTTTGTATGATTCATCTTAACCAAATACATATCAATAATAATAAATAAACCACTGAACCCAAGTTTCAATAAGGAGATCCCACCTTGCAGCCTGTGCCCTTCAGCTCAGCAAAGCGTGTGAGCCTAAAGTTCTTGTCCAGCTCATAGCTTTCGGGGTTAAAGGACTCCCTCACCGACATGTCTGTAGAACTTTTGGGCCTTCACCACTGAAGACACATCAGCGACATCAACAGGACAAAGAAGTGGGTGATTAGAGACAGAATGTGGCTGCAACAATGTAAACAAAACCATGACAGCTCTTCAATAATAATAGTTCACCACATTCCTTTTACATCAGTTCTTGACGGCAATGAACCCTCCCTTAAAAGCTCCTGTGAGGTTTTTGATATGTTTGAAATTGGCTTAGGCTCAAATGTGTTTTTTTAATGATATAAAAAGCATGACCATGGGTAGGAAGACTGACGGTTTCTCTGTTGCGTTTTTTATTGCCTGAATTGAAAGTGCGGAAGTGGATGCCAGCCAAGCAACTTAAAGTAGCTTTAATGTAATATCAATGTCATACAGCTACAAGGCTTTAAGCCTGGCCAGGGGACAAAGACTGCAAATTAGCTGGAGCTAGATGTCTTGTATGCATCACATTTTCCATTTCTTGTGGCAACGTTGTATGTATTGTCCCTGTAAAATGAGCATTAAAATAAAATAAATAGTAATTTTCCAGCTGTGATATTTTAAAAATTACATACAAAAGGTGAAAATCATTAATTACATTGAAAAAAGCCACCATCCTTCTATTTTGATTTTCAGTTTTTGGCCTAATCAGCTGTCCTAACCCCACAAAATTACTAAGTTATTCAGTATTAGGTAAACATATAACTCCAGGAAATCTGCATCATTTGCCAGTGTTTTTCAGTCAAAATAGTGGGCCATTCAGATCCACACTTATGCCATGATTACACTGGTACCAGCCTTAAAGTGTATGTAAGCACTCTAGTAACCTGCAATGATGTAAACAATAATAATAATAATAAAACAAAAAAGTCTGAATGAATATTTCTTTTCAGGCACAAACTCCTGAGCTCCCATAGCGAACTAAATGGGCTGTAGTTTGTACACACAGTGGGAGTGTTCAAGAGACGAAATGCTGCAAGTTCATTGAACCCAAATCCCGAGTAACAACAAAGGTGCGGATCACAGGTAAACTCGGTCAGAAACGCACTTTAGTAGAAACAGCTTTAAGAACATCGTACAAATGTTAAAAGCGGCAGTTTGAACACAGGTGTTGTGTGGATGTTGCTGCAGTATTTCTCTCCGTACTAGCTCTCGTTCACAAACGCTGATCCATGCGTAAGGTGATGAGCAGGTCCGTCTATGCAACAAAGACCCGGCTATACCCGCGTCTGTTCGCGTTTCAAAACAAAACCCGTGCACGCAGCTGCCTGAATATCGTGCATACTTGTGAAACATCGCGCCAGCTCGGTGCACATGTAAGTTAAAAAGTTGCCGTAGAGCGCCGAATAAAAATGTCGGCGGCGGAAAAAATTAACCCCTTCCTGCCCCGCGCCATGCGATGTGTGCAACATCAGAGTTCGTGTCAATAAAACAGCGATCAATACGCCACTAGTGCAAAGTTTATACTGATATGGTGTATTACGAGTGTTTACAGTCGTCCTAGATGAGATTTTAGCACCAAAGCAGAGTTATATTCTTGCAACATTTCCCCTTTAATTGCTCTGACCAGTTTATCCTTACCAGCTTCACGTTAGCGGTGGATCCCGACAGAAGAGCGGGGAAGGCACCAGAAGGCGCTGGGGCTACAATTGGGCGTCCATCGAGAACGCCTGACTACAAATCACACACATTTCTGTCCTGACTCCAACCTTTTCGTCAAAAATTACAATTAAGCGAGTTAGATTAGCTATGCTTCAATAAGTATACGTATTAGACCAAAGCCTGTCTCTATTATGCAGTATGAGATTTGTGATACATAGAGGGAAACCGTGAGATCTCAAAAGGTCCTCAGCCTGCACAGCGGCGGCTTTCACATCCCCTTTAACGGGTTGAGGAGTCTGACGATAAAATCTCTACAATGGAGTGTACCTTTAATTTACTGTTTTTCCCTCCAATTCAATACAGAAGAACATAATAATGCCATAAAAACGGGATATATTCAAATAAAGACATGTTGAAATAAAGCCAAACCTTTGAATTTACGTCTAAATGAGCAAATGTTAATTTTTCAAAAACATTGTGTCAGAATACTTTGTTCCATTTGAGCAATAATGTTTATTATCCATGACTCAGGAAGACATCTAGCAAAATGAAATCTTTATTTATTTTTCTACTACCATTGTGCGTTTTACTGTGTTTCGACATCACACAAAACCAAGTGGTCAAGAAAACATATTTAAAGGTGACTACAACCCTCCATCCTAATCATAGTGGGTGTGTATTTCCATCACAATGATGACAGCAATAGATAACAATTCGTATGCTTATTAATGAAAAAATTGAACATTTTCAGTAGCAAATTTAGTCAAAGGAATTCCAGATATTTTGAGTCTTTATAATGTTTGTTACTGAGCTGGATGCTGGACAGCACAACACACCCACTGAAATACCAGTCACTTAAAAGGCACAATTTACAATGAACACTTCTCCATATAAAGCTACCTGTGTAAAATTAATAAATGTACTAATGTTACAGTACTCTTATTCTTGTTCACTCATCTAAACTTTAAATAACCTTAAATTGTTGAACTACTGTAACCTTCTTTCACTGTTTACTTGCTCAAAATCTGCTCTGGGCACTTTTACTGTAACTCACTTTTTACCTTTAAATCAATAATTGATGCATGACGTAAGGAAAAAAAGTGTGTAATGCATCAGTTTGGATGAATAATGAAGACAACAATTCTGCTTTAAGGCCAGGGAGAAAGCCCTTGAATCAACCGGTCATGTTCACCACTGTAACCTCTTCATCTGCAGGCTTTTCGTAGTTGCATCCTGTAAATAAGGGAGGAGTGATGTTCATTTTAAGATAACACAACACACACTTAGATAACACACTTCATTAAACACAGTCTTGCAACACTTTCTAAACGTAATGTAAATAATATATGTAGTATGTAAATGTTATGTGTTCCTGCTGTATTTGTCACTTTGTCTTGTCTCCATTGTTTGTTTGCACTGCATATATGTTGTCAAACACCTGTCATGATCTGTCTTGCATCACCTAATAAAAAAAAGAAAAGAAACACAGATGCTATCTTCAAGTCTGCATCAAAATTTGCATCTGTGGTTTTCCTATGAAGCACTGGGCATGGACAAGTGGCCTCATTTACCCTTGTGCAAATGATAAATACTATGTCTTTATAAGCTTGAGCCAGTTGTCCCTAATTAAATGCCCACAGAAATGCGCCATGTACACAAGACAAGTAAAAATATGAGTGAGTGGAGAAAAAAAAGATAAGACAAAAATCCTGAATAAATCTACATGTGCACTTTTGGTGAAACATTCAATGGCATTCCTTGAAAAAAAAGAAGACTAAGGAAGCAGGAAAAAAACTACTATTGAGTCCCCAAGAATGAAATAGCGAGGTGACAGAGGGGAAATGGTGCATGGTGTGAAGATAATTAGCTGACATTTTTGGACACTGTGTGAGAATGTCAGATGTCGCAGTGCCAGCATGACGGAGACATATGAGCCAATGAGTGAAGTTTGTAAGCGTGTTGTGACAGAGATGTGGAGAAAATTGAAGAGTGTGGGAATGGAGGGGGCTGAGAGGAAGATGTTGCTGTACTGAGTGTGGGTGTAAAGGGTAAGGTTCATACTTGTATAAGGTCCATTTAAAACTTCTTCTGCCTCTACACCATCTACAAAACCAAGACAGAATAGGGTTCACCTTGACACAGTCAGATAAAAGCAGCTCTTAGACCACTTTAAAAGATTCTTTGAATATGCTCAAAAAGCATAAACTCTGCAACAGGGTCAAGGATCAAACAAAAGATGCTAGAATTGAAGATACGAATACACTGGATTACCTCCTGAGAAACCACTCATCAGCATACTCTTTATCTGTACCTCTTTTCAGCCTCCTCCTGGCAAGTTTTATCTGATCTTGAAGGATCTGAACCCAATCTCGTGGCCCGGGCAACTTCTCTATTTTGTGTTCAGTGCAGTATTTCTCTGTAAACACTAGATACAATTCGGAAAACTCTTATCAACATCTTCTCTTTTACAATATTTGTACCATCAGAACTCAAGAGATTTTTTAAAAATTCCTCCTACCTTTAATGGCACCCACAATATTCTGGTCCAAACCCTTGCGGTTGTCATTGAGGCCCCTCTTTCTTTTACCATTTGGCAAGGAATTAGCCAGAGTAGTATCATCAAAGAAGGCACACACCTACAAATACAGTGGTTTCGTGTCAGTGAATTTAGCACATTACCTTAAAAATTTGATGCTTTTTATTTTGATAAAATACAATCAACCAGTTATGCCGTATGGCTGCAAAAATAACCAGAATCAATGGGATTATGGCTCCCACCAGTTTCCTGAACAGCAGACTGCCAGAACGTGTATAGTTCACCAGGATGGAGTCTAGCTGAGCCTTTGATATGTACACATCATAATCTTCAGCAAGACGCACCTCAGACTGAAAAATGAAAAAAAAAATTGAAGAAGTGCAATACAACTGTGTGACGAAATATACAATTTTTATTTGACACAAATGTCATAAAAATTTTCCCAGAGGGGATGTCACAAATCCTAACACCCCGTACCTTCCAGAGTTTTTACACAGGTCATGGGACACATCCTCGTTCCCAACAAACATTTTCGGAGGCAGATACTGATAACATTTAAATGTAGGTTTAAAACCTTTGTATGTATTAAAATCTTACAGTGAGGGCAGATTTAGGCCTGATTTGGAAAGTTAACTAAGAAATAATGTTGATTTAGAGCAGGAAAATCAACCATGTTATTTTCCATATGGGAATCTAAATGAGTATAGAACATATAGTTATTTACCTTAAAAAAGTTTTGATATAACATTGCACTTCGTGAATAAAACATACATTTTAAGAATAGAGAACATACAGACATGCAGATTACCTCTAACAACTGTGGCTCCCTCACTGGGTTCAGGAGAGGGCCGTGTTTGTTGTTGACAGGTAATGGAGATGGTAGCACAGCCACTTCACGGCGAATGGGATGATTTGGTGTAACTAAGCTTTCTTCTTTCACACGTCCGTCCCTCTCTTCATCTGCTAATGGTGCAATCCTGTATAGTGATGCCTCCAGAGGGGCAGTAGCAGCTCTTCTAGTGGCAGACACAGCAAGTGGTGCCACTTTATAGATTGGCCTCCTCTTCCGGGGCCTACAACGTGGAGGGGGGCCTTGACCAAGACGAGGTTGGCATGGTGATGCTGCATGTTCATGTCTTTCCAAGGACACTTTAAACAAAATAGCAACACATTGTATTTTTCCTTTTCTCACTTTCTCGCCGAGTGAAAGTGTTTTTTGCTGATCAACTGACCTTTTTGAGTCTGCATCAGCTTCCTCATGGCACGTAGTTCTAGCAAAATAGCGTGCAAGGTGCCCTTACAGTTGCATGTACAGCAGGGGGCTTCTGCTTCTGCAGGAGAGACTACATCTGTTGGGGAATTATGAATGTGTTGGTTAGAGACTCAAACAAGAATAAAAATAATGCTTTTTTGTCTTTTCCTAGAAGAACAAACGTGTGTCATGGGGGTATTTGGATTTTTCTCCCCAGCAAATTGTCTTCAGATGGCTGTCCACTATCTCTTTTCCTGCCCCTAATTAGAACAAAATTTTACTCACCACTTTTACAGATTGTTTTCTCACCATGAACTAGGGTTGGGTCTCTGTGAATAATAGTGCTGTTCTTATAAGGAAACAAAAATTGTGTCAGTTGGTTTTCATGCTTTTGCGGCCTACCATTGGTGTCATTCTCCTTGATCACATCCTTGGTGTTGTGGGGGACCTTCATGGCTTTAGAACGGGTGCTGTACTGGCCTGCACCATTGGGTAGGGGGGTAGATATGGTTGAAAGTGAAGGCCCTGGCTCTCCTGCAGAGCTCCAGGTGTTGCTTTGTTGCTCCTCTGACAAAGCAGGCCTCTGTACCCAGGTCAGATGCTGGTCCTGGAGCTTCTTTGCCAAGCTGTCCTGCTCTGCTCCCACACGCTGATAAACCCTGCTGGTCTTATCACTCAGAAGCCTCATCATTCCTGTAATTTGCTTTTTAATCTCCATGCCTTCATCCCCTACCCAAACTACACGGAGACACAAATGTGTTGGTGAATCAGTGATACATTACCATACATCAAATGCAATACTAGTTCAAATTGTACATACCATCAGGCACTGCAGCATCTGAGGGTTCTGTACAGGCATCTTTGCAGCTTGGATTCACCACATATGAAGATTCACAGTCTGTAAGAAATAAGCTGTTTGTAGCCAATCACAAAACTAATGAGTCCCTTGTGTTAGTTGCAGAATGATGTTGCATTGTTTGCAGTGTGATGATGAAGCCTGTGCAGACTGATAGGGACTGTGATGTCAGCCAAAGCACAACCCCCCTCCCTCCCTTGCCATGCAGAAACCACCACCTGTAGGTGGTATTAAGTAGTCAAGAGAGGTGGCCTAGCACAAAATCTTCAGCCAAAAGTGAACAATCCAGGTGCAGGATGTGTGTTCAGTATGCGCAACATGTTTTCATACATTTTTGTCATTTAATTGACTTTTGATTCTTGAATCTATGATGAGACTGCTGACAAGGAGGGTACAGTGCATGTCAAATCTGCACCGTTAAACTTAGCTTATGTCAAAGGCAGATGCGCAGACTATGGGCATTGTCGTGGCCATCGCTTTTGTTTACAGAGCTGTCCCTGCTGGCACACAGCGCCAGACAAACACCAGACACAGACGCGCGTCTTGTGAGGGCTCGCATTCATTCAGCAGCAGCAGCAGCAGCAGCCTACCTTCATCCGTGACCAGTTTAAAGCTCTGTGACTTCCTTCTCCTCTTTCTTTCCCCAAACTCCATCTTCAGGATGTATAGTGTAGAGAAAGTCGTGCGGAGGAAAATCGCTCTTCGGAAAGCCGAGATCAGTGATAGACTGAGCGGAATGACTGTCCGTCTGCCTTATTAATCAGTTAAATTTTCTCCTCAGGCTGCATTACAGAATCTTAACATCGGCTCATTTTCTCTGTGTCTAGCTTAAATACAGCTGATTGATGCTATGAAATGACCTAGACTCGTTCACAACATAATGCTGGTTCTTTCCTCTCGCCATGTAAATAAATTAATGACTTTAATATTAAAAATTCGTCACATATCCCTTTGCGCCACCTGATGGTATGTTCTCATCTAAAAGGTCGAGTCAGAAATTTGCCACTGTGCTGTCCACACAAAGGGCTGGCCTTAGAGGAAAAGCACTAAAGAAATCTCAGCTCAAACATGAACTTTCTTTAGAGTCTTCAATTATATTTGCATTGATGGTGATGAGCTGCCTGTTAGAAATGTAGAATACACTTCAAATATCTACTCTTATTTTTGAGTGTGTAGCAGGCAGCTGTACCTCACTAACAATCTAACAACCACAATGGATTTATGGTGATTGTTAGGCTATGAGAAAGGGGGAATATTAACTTGAGACTCAGATATCTTCAAACATGCCCAGAACATTCATATTTATCCAGAGATTAGAGGAAGATTATAAACTATTTGTTTGAAATTTGCTGTACTCTTTCTATCTAATGCAGCATTAATCTTATCATAGCACAGTCAGATCCTGATTGTAAAACAGAGTTTTGGCAAAAATGTATCCATCGAGAGTATAACGCTTTGGCAGGGGTGGATTTTGAATGCTGTTACAGTGTGGTAAAAGCAGGTCTAGACATTTTGTCTGGGTTGGCCACATTGATTCACTGGCTTTTGTAGGGGTGGCAGAAAACTATGACAGTTGGATAGAAGGGAGGTAAGGAGCCGGTGGCCCTTAAGATCATAATAATAATAATAATAATAATAATAATAATAATAATGGTAACATTGGGTTCCAGAGCACTTCTGGAACTACAGTCAAAAATACTTTACTGTGTTGCTGTTATTGTCATTCATTTTTACACTCATATGCCACTGTATACAAATCAATATTAAACTCGATCACATAATAAAATGTACAATGCCAAATAAAATACACACTTGATAATAGAAAGAATAGTCTTATAAAGTTCCAGGGTTCTTTATTTTTTTTAAAGGGGAAGGCTTTTTATGGCTGTAAATCAAAGAACTATTTTAACCAGTTGTCATTGCTAAAGCAGTTTGGTTGGTTTATGATTCAAAATCATCATCATAATAATGGGCTAATGCAATGTACTGTGTGAGCACTTGCTTTATGCAAACAGACTATAAGACAGATGGTATTTTCACACTCAGAATAGGTTATAGCTAATCTTAAAATAACATAATTACAAAAACTCCTCAATTTTAAACATTTTTGTATTTAACATATTCAGAAAGTTTTTGCAGCAGTAATAGTTAAGCTCTCTAATATTATATCATATGTTAAAGCTCCTGTGAGGAACTTTTGATATGTATCAACATTGGCGACCTCTGTGGACAAAACAGTCCTCACTTATTTTGTCCTCTACAGGCTAAGTAGTTTTTGATAAAAAGGTATTGTCCTGCTCACTTATGACAGCCAAATGTATCATTTATTGTGAGTATTTTATATGAAAATTTCACAATAAAGGGCTGTTTCTCCAGCAGCTCAGCTGATATAGATCTACTTGGGCAGCACCATAGACTGTATATAGAATGGACAGTGTCTGCCTCCTCGCTGGGTGAAGCCACTCCGAGAACAGCACCCTCTGGTGACGGGCTGCAGTATAGGTCATAAATCCCACCTCCGCCAGCAAAGCTTATGGAGCTGTGGACAAACTTTAGAAATTTATTTCATAGAACATAAAATGTTCTCCCCCCTGCTTGTGGTGTTGACATGTAGTTACTGTCAGACTGGTTTGTGCTAAAGTCCTGTTTTTTCTGTGAAGCTCCGTTTTTAAAAGTTATTAGGGGGTTCATGTTTTTTATGATTGACACCTGATACAGCCTATTGGCATTCAAGGATTGAGTAGCTCACCCGGGGGGATATACTGTTTGAGCTGAGCGTCATCACAGCGACTCTCCTGCCAAATGCGCACAACGCTAATGCGCAATGTTAGTTTCAGGAAATGAAGAAAAATCCCGGAAATACCGAGAGCTTTTTGGCTTCAGATCCGTATAATGGCAGGAGGCTGAATCAAGTTGTCCATCGTATATACAGTTTATGGGCAGCACACAGCATGAAATTGTCAATCTTTTCGCTTATGATCTTGTTTGCTTTTGGTTATTACAAAAAGAGGCATCTATATGAATTTCAGTCTATTTCTTTAACTTGAAAACGAACATGAGCTTTAACTCTATGTGCTTATTAAAAATATATAGATATATTTGATATTTTATTTTGAAAAGGGACTCTTACACTGAAATTCACTTGTCGAGTAAATCATCTGACTTCCGTTGTAGACATCCTGTTGGCGACATTAAAACCTCGTCGTACGCATTAATTGTCTGAAATATACAAATAGCGACGACATTTTCCGAATAAAATGGATATACTGAAAGCTGAGATCGCAAGGAAAAGGAAACTTATCGAAGAAAAGCAGCTTGTGGACGTGAGTAGCTGACCAGTAGTTAGTTTGGTATGCTAGCTTATAGCTTAGCTTGAAGTCGAACATTGTGTTTTCCATTTTTAAACGTTACTTTTGGAGAATCAAACACTATGTACGTGTTTTAAAAGAGATTTGGCACTCTGTTAAATAAACATCTACTGTTAAAGACCTAGCTAATGCACGTCTCTCGGTTTTAATAACAGCCTGTAGGAATAAACCAGCAGTAGCAAGAAAAACCTCGCGTTAAAGTTGAATTATCATCGTGTTTACCTTTATTAAGCTCTTCTTTCCATCAGAAAAGTCATATATTTATCTTTATATCCAAGAAGCTGGATCTTCCTCACCCAAAAGGTGACCTAACTGTTTGGTACACTGCTTATTTAAAGGCCAGATTATTAGGTTTAGACGCCACATTTTCTATTTAGTCTGCCAATTTAATTTTAGGATAAAAAAAATAAAGGATAAGCATCACCAGTTTGACAACAAAAACTGTAAATGAAGAAGTAGTATAGCTGTTTTTTGGTCCCATAATATTGCCTAAATAGTAATGACGTTATGGTGTAAATAATAATACCCCTTTTATTGTTATCACTCTTCTTCAGCACTGGTCTGATCTTTTCATGTTACTGTCATGATTCGTTATAAAAAGCGTAAACCATTTTAATGATTATTGTGCTTTCAGGACTCCAAAAAGTTCTTCAAAAGGGCCGACCTTGCTCAAAAGGAAAAGGAAGATTACCTCCGAAGATGTGGATATAAGGTTCATATTGTAAAGTCACTTTCTTTTAGACACACATTTGAAATCCCACCAAAGACGGCTTCTCTTCAGTTCAGTTCTGTCTCATGACAGTCTAAAAGTGCATCAAACCCTTTACCTGGGAACAAAATGAGGCCAGGCTGTGATGCTTAGGTGTATATTAGTGTTAACTTCTGTGTTTGCTGTGCTGTTTTTCCTCAACCTGCCTCAATGCTGCCTGCATCTGTAGGTTCAGCGAGAGACTCCTGAGAGCCAGGTATGGGTTTGCACAGTGGAAGTAGTCGACAAGATGCATGATTAAGATTTTAACACGCTGTGCCCCAGAGGCCTCTCCATGTTTGGCACCCTTTTCTGAAAGTTAGCCTTAAAAGCAACAACATATTGTAGATTTTTAGATGGTGGAAATGACATATTTTTGCTTGAAGTTAAATCAAGCTAATGAGGGATTAACATGACGAGACAACATAAGACAAGACAACAACAGTCAGCGTAATATCTACCAGCTGTTAAAAGGATTTCTTACATGAGTCTCCCTTGCTTTTTTTGCATGATAGATTAAATGATTTTATTCAGTAACTATTATCATATGAATTTGCTTTTGCAACACATGCCACCTTTTTAATTTGCAGGTTTTCAACAGTTCTTATGCATTTGCTAGACCAGTCGTTTTATCTAGTTTTAAAGTATTTAAAGACTCTTCAGTAAAGCAGGAAAGGGAACAAAGTAAAGACTTTACAAGGCCAAAATGGGGCACAGACATGGTGTGGATTTCAGCATGGGATACTGAACTGAATTTTAAAAAAATTCTAAAACTTAACCAAGCTGCAGCAACCCTTGTTTTGCAACTATTCTGTAACAGCAGCTTTATGATTTGTACCAATTTTTCTTTTGCCAATTTTTTGCCACTAGTATGCATTGCCTTGGAACAATTGCACTTGAGAGATCTGCATTTTCGTTGAACTTGTGCAAAGTTTTATACGTCAGACACATCCAGATATGGTTTTTGCATACATATAGTATTCTGTTTTGATTTGAGTGAGGTCCATCGTTTATTTGGAAGGCTTTTTTATGATTTGTCCTTTTAGGTTGTGCTCGCAAAATCACAATCTAAAAGTGCCAAGATGCATGAGCTTAATACGGCATGATCTGGTAGTGTAATTTTATTAGTGTTTTGATAAAACAATTGAAATATTTGCCTAAGAAGGGCTTTAGCAGGACAACCAGCTTTAAGAATATGCCTCATGTAAGTTTTTACCTTGATGTGCATTACTGTCATGTAGTATTCTTCTTTTCATTGGTAAGTTAGTGGGGGACTTGCCTTTAACGAGGACCAACAGGTAAGAAAGGGGTGGGAGTACATGTAATCCAAATTTTTATAGTGACACACATTCCTTTCAGTCCTGAGGTTTCATCTCATGCAAACATTGTGAGAGATGTCTTTAGTTTTAAATTTTGGATCTGTGTATTAACTTAAAATCCATCCAAATAACTTTCTCACATATCTTTTATCTCCACCTGCTTGAAAGGTTGATGAAAAAGAAGAGGATGAACCCACCACCTCTGCTAACCCAGTGCTAGAACTGGAGCTGACAGAAGAGAAGCTGCCAATGACTCTTTCACGACAGGAGGTGAGTCAGGGCGAAGTGTTTACATTTCACACGATTTTAAGCTTACATGTAATATTCTTAATGTGTTGTTCTTATCGCTTTTTTGTGTAGGTTATTAGACGGCTTCGAGAACGAGGGGAACCTATCAGGTTGTTCGGAGAGTCGGACTATGATGCCTTCCAGAGACTCAGGAAAATTGAGATTCTAACCCCAGAAGTGAACAAGGTAGAACAGAGCAACACATGGGTTCATTCAAAAATTCATTGATACAGCTTATTTATACCTACACCTATCAATACTACTCTCCATCATTTGGAGCCAAAGTATGGTTCTGTGCTCCAGTTCTTGTTTGTCATAGTCAGTTTCTTAAGCCCAGTATGTGACTTTTCTTTTATCCAGGGTTTGAGAAATGACTTGAAGGCTGCCATGGACAAGATTGACCAGCAGTACCTGAATGAGATTGTTGGAGGAACAGAATCAGGAGAACTTGACACACAGCACGACCTTAAAGTGCATGAAGAAAACACCACGATAGAGGAACTGGAGGTGTGTCATGTAGAATAGTGATCATTAACTAATTTTTTAGTTGTCAGACAATTTTATTAATGCTGACAAAATCCATTTTGCAACATTTATGCCACTGAAATATGTTCTTAAACTGTGATTCGTTTCTTAATTAGCTTTAGTGCACTTACATGAGACTAAAGTTCACTCCTGATATTTACAATGTTCTTCAGGCTCTTGGAAAAACTTTGGGCACAGGAGATGACCACGGAGACCAAGATGTTATCGACAAGTTTTTGAGGGTAAGGCAGAAAAATGAATGCAGTGCTTTTAATCTAGAGGGAGCTATTGGGTAAAAAGTGGTTAATCCACCACTAGAATCACTTTTTATTTATTTAATTATTTTGTGTATATTCTTGATTCACTTACATTGCTTGCTCTGTAAAAATCAACCCAAAGTCTAAAACTGTTTATAACAGCGCTATAAATACACGAATGTCTAAAGCCCACAACATTTACACACAAAACATTCATCTCTTGTGTTTATTTTCTGCATGATAGTCAACCTACTACAAGAACATGTTGTTAATAGTTGTAACTCTTGTGTTCCAGTTTCTTCTCGGTGTGTGGGCCAAAGATCTAAACAGTCGAAAGGACCATGTGAAGCGAAGTGTTCAGGGAAAGCTGGCGAGTGCAACCCATTCACAGACCGAGTCTTACCTCAAGCCTCTCTTCAGGAAGCTTGGAAAGAAGGTAACATTTTGGGGAACACAATCAAGCTGCAGGCGTGTTGTTAAAAGTCTGTATGTGAAAAATTTCTGTTTCTAAAATTTATATTTCTTCTACTTTTTATCTAAGAATTTACCAGCTGACATCAAAGAGTCCATCACAGACATCATAAAGTTCATGTTGGAGAGAGAATATGTCAAGGTACTTCATAATAATCTGATTAAAAGTACGTTTTTTAACCACGTCGTCCTCTGAATTAACTCAAATCCAATTCACTTTTGCAGGCAAACGACGCCTATCTGCAGATGGCTATCGGTAACGCTCCTTGGCCTATCGGTGTGACAATGGTTGGTATCCACGCTCGTACTGGACGAGAAAAGATCTTCTCCAAACATGTGGCCCACGTTCTTAACGATGAGACACAAAGAAAATACATCCAGGTGAGACTGTGATAAAACCTTCTTCAGCCTTCCAGGCTCTATTTATAGTCCAGACTGTATTAAGTTGGGGATTTCCAGAGCTGTAACTACAAAGATCAAATACAAGCTAATACTGGCTGCTAGAATATCACTGTAACTGTGAAAGAATTTATTTGTTGTGCCTTCCAGATAAATAAAACCTTAACTGGTTGGGTAGCATGTCGGCACATTTCACAGATAAATCTTGACATTGTACATGAATTACAACATATAAACAAAGCTCTGAATGCACATTTTCCTCTTCATTATGCCTGCTTAAACACTGTCGTTTTTCCTATAGCTGTTTTGTTTACCCAGTACACTCAGTATAGTGGCAGTTTGTTTGACTGGGACTCAGGAGAAAATGATTAGCAACTCCATTCAGTTCATGTTTTTGCATGTGGGGTGTGCAAACTTCACTGCTCTACTCTTTTCCGCACAACAAAAACTGCACACACTTAAATTTGTCATGAGTTTATCCTGTGTACTAAACTGGGTTATTTTTCAGTCTTATACAGTAGTTCTCTTGTTGTATTATGATATTATTAGAAGTTTCCAGAAATAATGAAGTTAGGGAAAGCAAGTTGAGAGGTACCCTGATGCATAGAATAACAACTGAGATTGTAGGTCAGTTCACACATCTGTTCTCCTGTGACTTTATAATTATGACATGAATGCTAGCATGAATCCCGAGCAAATGAAGGAGTTGATTCACCAAATGGAAAAACTCACATTTTAATAGATTTCATTGCTAATTTTGCCTTGTCTCTGATTTCTTTTTCTACAGGGCCTGAAGAGACTAATGACTATCTGCCAGAAACACTTCCCAACAGATCCATCTAAGTGTGTAGAGTACAACGCTCTTTAACTTCTACCTGCAGCGTTACATACAGCAAGGTGGTCTCGCTCAGCGTATCATGAATCCAACAGTAATTTTTTGTACAGCAGTTTAGTGGTGAAGGGACAGTTCAAAGTTGTCAAGAAAACTTTGTAATATCTTAAAAATCAAGAACCATTTAAACATACTTGCGCATTTCTACAGACAGCTGTCTCAGAAGGTGCGTTATTTGAGAAAAGTTTGACCTCAAGTCTCAGTAGATTTGCCTTTTGAACCGCTGCAAATCTGTCGCACCTGTTATGCCGTGAATGATCACATGTCCCCTGTCAGGCTGGTTAATGAGTACTCTTAAGTTTTGCAGGATACGTAACACAAAGAGAATTAATTGCCAGTCTTGACCAGGCATTGTCGTTGGTATTTGCAAAGGAAGATCAGGCTGTGTAAGTTTTATTACACTCTTGATGTAACAGATTTTCTTTTTTAAGACTCAATATAGATTTGGTTTACCTTGAATGTTCTCAGCATGTCATTCAACCAGTCAGTAAGTTTCTGTGCTATCCTCATAAGAAATAAAGGGTTTTTATTATACCAGCTGTTACTCTAATGGTGAAAATCAAATTTGCCCTCCTGACTCTCATTCTTGTTTTGGAGATTTTGCTGTCTTGTCTCCTGCAGCTGGACTGCTGAGCGGGGCTTTATTCAGCCAGCATGTTTTGTTTGTTTAGCAGTGTGTGTTGCTGCAGGGAAAATATTTGAAATGAAGGACGGTGTACCATGACATACTTAAGAAACATTTAGAAATAATTAAACCATGAACAAATCTTACTTGAACCACGTTAAAAAGTCTGAGAGTACTGCACCGCACTGAAGACAAACTTTAAAGCTCAAATGAAACTCTGGCAGAAGTGAGAAAACAAAAGAGCAGTAAGACGGGTCAAAGAATAACTGTCATGTGAGAAGTGCGTATGGCAAATTAAGAAACAAGATTTGCGATGACTGATTACAAATGGAAACTCTCTAACATCCAGCGTCATACACTGACCTTATTACACTGGGTTACCATGGTGATCTGATCTGTCCCTTGTGGTCTCATAGTGAACGGTGTTCTCAGCTGTCTCAGCCCACGTCAGCACCCAGTTTCAGTCCGTCTGCTCTGAATCCATCACTTTTTAAGACGGAGAACTTCAGTTTGGCACTTGGCAGAGCAGAATAACATGAACTGAAGGTCACTCTAAGGACCTCGGTTTGACATACAGTAACCTAAGGAGGGCAGTAGTGTTTTTCTAAGGTATTCACAGCGGCATATTTTAACTGATTAGAATTAAAAATAAACTACTTATGTCATGTTTGTCCTCAGCAAGTAAACTTTCCCTCTGTCCTTGAGATAAAGTTTACTTTGTGTTTTGGCTTCTGTCCAGTCTTATCTCTTAAGTCAATGTCAGCTGTGCTGTTTGCGTAGGCCTTGGATTTGACAATCTCATAAAAAAACTATCTGCAATTTATTGTTAATGAACAAAAGATATCACTCTGATGACCCACAAAATTCTCTCTCCTGTGAGCTAACTTGACCACAAACTCCCCCTACTCTCTTACTAATATGCACTTTTGTACAGCATGAACACTGACAACTGTGAGGGTTTGTGTTCACTATAACTTATTTATCTCCATTGACCCACAGCCTCATAAATGGTTAGAAAATTCATACGTTAGTGCTCTTTGTGCTCCTTTGTTAAAGCAGGATGTGTGAGGGATCCACTTGGTATTATTGCAACATTCAAAGCCCAGAGCTTCAGGAAATGACTGTCTGCATGGATTGTGTGTAACTGCATATATTTGCATGTTAATGAAATCAGAGCAAGAGTGTTGATTAGCTGTATGTAGCGTTTTATTTCCACGTGAGGAAACACTTCAGTTCATTAGGAGATGTTTCAAGTAATGTACCATAGGTAAAGCAAATCTATTCAAATGCATTAACATTCTCAGGGTAAAAAAGTCCTGCACTTCGCTTGTAGTTTGTTTGTATTGAATCTTTTTTTTTTCAAATGGTTGAAGTGAGGATATTATTTTGTTTACTGGCAACCTCTTTCTGCTTATTTCCTTGAAAAGGTCTCCGCCATGGTTACCTGCCAGATTGCTGGTCTTAACTGTTATTAGAGCTTCAATTCTCTTTCATGTGGACAGCCTGGACGGTATGAGCGTTGCCAGGCACCTGCAGAGAGGGAAACCAATTACTGGTGTTTTGTGTCACACCCGAAACCTTTCTCTCATTCTCACTCTCTCTTTACCTGGCAAGTAGAGTTGGAGTATGTTTCTCATGCTTGCTTGTGATACACGAAGATAAATATTAAAACCTCTCTTGACTCGGCCTCTATCAGGAGTCACCTTTGTACACTGGTGTCATCTGCTACAAGGTGCTCTTTTCATTAGGAGGACCTCTCTGTGACTCGGGTGCTTCAGGGTCAGGTTCATAGAGGGGTGGCAGCCTAAGGGAAGAAAATGATGTTCAATTTCACCGATGAGATGGAACTGGAATCCATTTTAGGCTTTAACACTGGTAAATGTTTTAGCCCATTTATTATAATTACATTATTGAAGGGGCGTCAAGGAAAGTTTATTTGATATAACACCTTTCACAGGGCAAAGTCACAAAGTGCTTCACAAAGTATAGAAAAACAAATAGATGAATACAAAACAATTCAAAATAACAATGGTAACAAATAAAATACAATCTACAATTCTAAAACTTTGATATGAATGATAGTTTGGAGACGGACCTGTAATTATTTAAGACTAAGTTGAACAACTGCTGATTTGAAAAAGGATGAAACACAACCAGACTGAAGGGAGCTATTGATAATGGAGACCATGCAAGGACCTACTGTTGCGATCACTTTTTTTATAAAGAGGTTGGCAAAATGTTGACTGGGCAACTGGAAGGTTTCATGGTGCTAACAAGATTGATGAGGTCTTGCAAGGAAAGATGGCAGAGAAGCTGTCTAAAATTGAAGACTGAGTTGGATGTAGAGATAGGGGAGATGAAGAAGGACTGATACTGGCTCTCACATCCCTGATCTTATCCACTAAGACAGAGAGAAAGTTATTGCAATCCTTATTAGAAAAAACAGGTGCAGTGGGGGGAGTGGGAGCAATGATATTATTGCCAGTGTTGAACAGGACTTTAGGGCTACGTTTACTATTTCTAATGAAATTCTCAAAGTAAGATGGCCTTGCCTCTTTAACCATGGTGTTGTGTTCAACTAAGAAGTCCTTTTAGTAAGAGAAGTAAAAGTAATTCCATTTTTATTACAAGACATTTGTCATAATTATTCCGGCTGGAAAGTTTATACTTATGAGGGGTGGGAATCATTAGTGGCCCCATGATAAATTATTATTGCGACTTTTAAAATTCTGCAACACAGTGAGTATTGCGATTTATGCATTTTTTTGAACTGTTTTGCTAATTTAGCATTTGGCTTTCCCTTATGTTTATCTTTAAAATAAAATTATTATAATAATACATTTTATTTGAAGCGCCTTTCACGTCACTCAAGGACACTTTACAGAACATATAAAAACAATAATAAAGCACTATTAACAATTAAAATCATTAATCATCAAACAGTTAAAATCAACAAAGCAACATTAAAACATGAACAACAGCAAAGGAATAAATAAAGAAATGAATAATACCAATTAAAATTTAATAAAGAAAAAGTGAGTTAGGGGTGGTGGGATGGATAAGCCAGTTTAAACAGGTGTGTCTTGAGTTTTGACTTGAAGAGGGGGAGGGAGTCTATGTTGCGGATGTGTGATGGTAAAGAGTTCCAGAGTCAGGGGGAAGAGCGACTGAAAGCTCTGCCCCCCATGGTGCTGAGGTGAACAGGCGGGCACAGTAAGGTGGAGAGAGGAAGAGGTTCGGAGGCGGCGTGTCTTTGTTATGTAGTATTTTCTTTTCATGGAGCACATCTTGCAAACCTTATAAATATTTGTTGCACTAACTTTCTCCTGCTCTTTGATGTCAACTCTGCCAACCTCACTGGACAAACAGTTGATTTTATTTTTCTAGTATCATAGATTTGGCTTCATATTCGCAATAAAATTGATAACTTAGTAAGTGAGATGATACAATATATCACCAGACAAAATATCACGATACTATGCTGTATCAATTTTTTCTCCCACCCCTAATATCCCTTATCTTAAAGACTGCAGTTATTGAACATATTTGATATTTATTTATACACTCCAGGTTGAAGCTTTTGTGTTTCAGTTTCTAAATCATTGACTCCTTATTTTTTTTAACAGCCTTTTTGTGTCTAGGTCTCAGATTCACTGCAACTCCACTCAATCTATTGAGCTCCTTCATACTCCAGAACCAGTTTAGGTTAGTTTTTGATCAGGCAGTGATCCTGTCAGAGTGAGTTATGATGCAGTTGTCTTTTCAAGTCATGTTTTTTGTTGTATGTCTTCTCTTCCTGGTTTTGGATCTTTATGAACGTCTAGATTTGCTATTATTGACAGCTGCTGTAAATTCCATGTTAGATGGGTTTTTTACAAGCCATGAGGGGTTTCTTTCTTCCCACCTGCATGTGCAATTTGCATGTATAATCATGATTTCTGTTTCAATAGTGAACTGCCCTGTTTGTCTAAAAACAGCTCTACTTCATACATCAATCACAGCCTTTATAAAAAACAAAGCTTGATGAACCTCTCGGCGCCCAGCTGGAAGAGCTCTGGTCTTATTATTGGCTCACTGCAGTGCAGAGATAAGTTCAATAATGTTCAGTTCAGTTCTAACACTATCAGGGGGCCATTAAAATAATTTCCTGCAGCAACCAACGTCAGGAAAAAAACATCTTTTCATATAAATTGCTGTCTCAAGAGCCGTCACCATGGAGAAGTGTGTTGTAACAAGTGCTTTCTTTGGTTCAGTGAAGACAGGAAGAAGAAGGATGAAAGGGGAACAAAACACCGCAATATAACCACACACATCATCAACATTTCTTTCTTGTCTCCTTTTGCCTTTTTTTCTGCCTATTCTGACACCAACTTCAGGGTTTCTTCTTGTTGGTCATCAATCATCTTGTTGCCAGCACTCGTCTTGCGTTTCCCTTCTTGCACACTTAAAACTCTTGGGTTATTTCTTCAACCCGTCGATGTCGCCGGGTTAACAAGGTCTGCGTCACATGCTGAGGAACCAGGGCATTGTGATGAGAAATGGGCTACTGGAACAACAATGAGAAGGCAATGGACACGAGATGAGAACAAGGCTTTGTTGGGATGTTACTACTCCAGTAACCCTGACCAGAGGGGTTACATGAACAGGCTGAAGGACATGTGGTTGCTTCGATACCCACAGTCAGTACACTGAAACAGCTAGGGTACAACCTGTACCCTATTTTCCCATGTACTTTTATCTAACTGATTCCCACCAATCAGTTAGATAAAAGTACATGGGAAAATAGGGTACAGGTTGTAAAAGCAAAGCTCCCAAAACAACTCCCCAAATGCATATATCAATTTAACCCAAGATCATGAGTCAAATGAACTTGAAGATTGGATTAACTTGACCCTTAAAAAGGGTTATTGAGTCAACCCAAAATTTGGGTTAATTTGAATAACCCAACATTCTGGGTCAAATAACCCAATAAGTAGTTGGTCCCTTTTCAACCCTTGTGTTGAAAAGGGACCCAAGTTGGGTTGTTTTTAACCCAGGGGTTTTTAGAGTGTGGAAACATCATAGCAGGGAAAACAGTGTGAGCCGTCTTTATCAGCGCTTGGAAGATTTTACAACAGGTTTGTTGTCCTTGTGTTTGTTTTCGCTGGGAGAGAGAAAGGACGAAAGGGGGAATCGACCTCTCTTGTTTTAGCAGCAGCAAATCAATAGTTTCTCTGAGTACAACAAAAGCACATTGTCCCACATCCTGCGGTCTGCTTGCTGGATTTTTACATGCCTGCAGATATAGTTTTCTATTGACCCCATAAAGTCCTGGCACTCTCAGAAGTGTGAAGGATTCAAACATTTGAGCTCTTATGTATGCTTGGGCTCGAGCTAGAGAGAGAGGGAGAGAGAGAAAGAGAGAGAGCTGCAACAACTCCACTTGCAGCACAGGGAGCGCAGCCGACCCACTCAGCTGCCTTGGCTCTCTGCATGGACGTCAGGTTTTCTCCCACAGCGGCGATGTGAGAGCCTTTAGATGATTGTCAACGGGGGGGAAACTGCTAGAACAACTCTCAGTGTAGTTTTTGGCTCGCGGGGATGGATGGGATGCACGCAGCAAACGGTGGAGTTGGCGACATGGGTGAAAACGCAGGGGAAAGGTACCGTGCGCTCGCTTATGACACCGCTCTGAGCACTCTGGCGGCTATCTTCGTGTACGTGGTGGTGAAAGTGAGCTTGGACGGCATCAGGCAGTGGCGTGCGAGGATCTCAGTGCTCATCGTGGGGTCAGGTCCCGTGGGGCTGACGGCCGCGTTGGTCGCTGTCCGTTCCGGCAAGGTGCTGAAACTGACCGTGCTGGATGAGAGATACCGGACCGCGCTGCTCTGCCGGCCTCAGCAGATCGCCCTCGACCCCCGCAGTGTCAAGTTCCTGTTGGGACTCGGGGTGGACTTCGATAACATGGAGGGCTGCTGGCACAATGAGCATTTCTTCACTCGAATCGGCGTGTTTCAGGAGTACCTGCTGAGCATCCTGGAGCAGAAGAAGCAGAAGGTGGAGGTCAAAGTGCAACTGGGGACCAAGGTAGAGTAAACTGGATTAAAACCATCATAAACTGGCCTTTTTTTTCCTCTGAAGTTGAAGATGTACACACCAAGTAATCCTCACAAGCTGTAAACCCCATTTTATATTCGACTTCACTGTTTAGGAAGAGCAGGGATAGAAGTGAGAGAGATTCAGAGCAGCACACTCATCCTGAGTCTTTGTAGTCTGTCAAACCTGATCCTCCCTCGGTGGCAGCAGTCAAAGCAAACAGGCTGGTGTGTTTCTCTTCTTCAGCAAGGGTCAGATAGCTCTCAGCAGCGATGGTGACAGAAATGCCTGTTCCTGTGTCCAGTCAGAGGGCAGAGAGTTTCACCTACAGTCAGCCTGGCCAAGGCAGATATCCTCATTGTACTTCCTCACTTCCCTGTTTACTAATAAAGAGCTCTTCTTGGTCCTGTTGTTGCTCCACACATGGGGCAGCTTGCAGTACCCTGAAACAGTGGTTCTCAACTGGTCTCTCTCTGGGACCCACATTTTCCTATGGTCCTTAAGTCACGACCAACTATTCTAGAATTCAAACCAAGCAAATTAATTTTAATATTTAAAAAAAACTTAAGAGACCTTAATCTTTAACATAAATCCACATGTTTTATTGAGTAAAGTGCATTTCAGAGCACATGGAGGGGACAACATGAGGACGACAACTACTGAAGTTGCATATACAGAAAATATCAAATATCTAATAAATATAGCATTAAATATTTACTTTTTTGACCAGCTGTTTGTGACCCATCCAGAACGTGTCCACGACCCACTTTTGGGTCGGGATCCACAAGTTGAGAACCACTACCCTAAAACACACACACACAAGAAAAACAAACAAAAAACCATATTTTTCCATCAAAATGGATTTTCTCTTTGGTCATTATTAGAGATTGCTTTCTGGCTCTCTGCAGATGAACTTGCTCGTTTATGGCAGGCAGATTGCACGTAATCTATCTTCCATTACTCCCAAAGCTTCTCCTCACACAACATTGTGTAATGTCAGAGTGAAAGCACGCTCATCGGTTGAAATAACTTGTTATGTAAGCTGACCTCAAACCTGAGGAGGATCCTGCCGACAGTTTTTAGGCCAGTGGTAAAAGACTGTAAAAAAACGAGTGCTGGTAAATCCAAACATTGCGTCAGTAGAAGTAAAAGTGATTTCAAAATTAGATCCTGTTTTCATTCATATGTTTTTTGTTGTGTATTTCTACATTGGGTTTTTACCCAGCCAACTGCATCCTGACTGAAAAGTAACTAAATCCTCAACGATCTTTATCACAGTTTGTTTGTTTCCATTTTCTTTAGCAGTGAACTTGATAGCAGAGTATGGCGTGAGAACAAATTTCCAGCCGGTCATTAACTTAGGACAAAGAAATAACCCAGTAACCTCAAACCTCAGACAGGAGCAGTTGGCACTCATTGTGGGCAAACAATTATGAAAAGTTCACTGAATATTTGTGTCATGGCTGTAGACCAAGAGATGCATTACAGCTCCACTGAGGTCAAACTACAGTGTCACTGTACATGCTGTGACTGTACTTTCATTAGGCCTCTATTTTCACCATTAACGCTCATCAAACAAACATAGCTGAAAGATTTGTTGTCTTGCGTCATGCTTGCCCTCCCTGACTCTGGCCTGAAGCGTCTTTTCTCCTTGGCTCTGATGCCGGTCCTGTGAGTTGTGACTGGCCTCCTCCTGCTCTCAGTGACTCACCAACCTCTGGAGAACGGAGACAAGGTCAAGAGAGGTTTTGATCACAGCTAACTTCAGTTTCATCTCCAGTCCCTGCCAAGTCTGCCATTTCCTCTTGATTAGACGGCACATTATGTTTGATGAGGAATTGTTTTAAGCCTGTCTGTGCTTCAAATGTCTGAGAGTGCAAAGGGATTTTTAAAGTTACCTCTTCTCTGCTGTCTAAACGGATTTGAGATAGATCTCATCAGCTTTGAGCCAGCATAGCCCATATTTATATTCTGCCTTTTTGCCTTGCAGTGTTTTCTCTCCTCTTTTTTTCCATGCAGCCTGGCACCTTGTGTTCTGCAGCAGAATTACACACACCTGAGCAGTGATTAATCTTTTTAAAGAAAGCACATTTTCAGTCATTTAAGAGGCTGCTTTTGATTTACTACTACGCCATTGTCTATCATGGAAAGAAATTGTGCAGGATAGGATTGATTTCTCTGACACAGCTGTTGCGCGATCATGTAAAAATGTCAACAGTGGAAAGCATTTAAATTCAAAATTAATATAAAAATATCCTTTTGGAATGGGTGAAATGTTAAAATAGTGCTGAGATAATGGACAGTGGATTGGTCTGTATTTATTTCCAGTAATGATCCTTTTAAAGATCAGCATATGTAGTGGGAGCGTCTATGATTTAAGTGTGAGTGTATTCTTAAAGGCTAATTTCCAAGAGTAAGGATGATTATGCTCATGTTGTCTTCGAACAAGACCACCATAGAGAGCCACCTTTCTATGGCAAACATCTGTCTGCAGTTTTTGACACATGACGACTGATGAACGAGGAGTTTTAAGATTTCTTTTAGTCTGAGTTGCCTGTAAAAAGTCTTTTAAAATCACAAGGGACATATCCAGCTAACATGTATTATCTCAAAAGGAGTTTCCCACTGAGTAATAGACAGCTATGAGACATCTAGTTCTTTCTTAGACCTCATTTCAACTCTGTATATCTTTAGACGGGATTCAGACGTTGCACTTTAACCCATTATTCGTGAACTATTTATTTCCAAAAAGCAACTGTGAGTTGCACAACTGATCTCCAAGTACTTAATCAAAATAATTATAAAAGCCGTTGAACAATATACAGTGTAGTATAGATATAGCCCAGATCTAGACTTGGTCTAAACTTGGTCTAAATTTAGGTGTCTAAAAAAACTTTCATTTTTAGACCTGTGGTAGCCTGATTTTAGACCAGTCGTCTAGGCTACATTTAGACATCTATTAGACCTCTTTTAGACCAAAAAATGCTCAGTGGGATTAAACCAATTTGCAGTGAATTTATCATGAATGTCAAAGATATAACCACAACCCTTATTGTCTGAGGGTCTTGACAGTCTTTGGATTGAACACTTATTTTAAAAACTCATCCTCTGCCACAGCTTAAATACAGAAAAAGTATGAGTTCTTTCACTGTCCATGTGTTTGGTTCCTCCTCCCTACAGTAACCTGATGTTTATATGATTCTTTAAAAAATCTGAACAACTCACTCAACAGGTTTCCTTGTTCTTTTGTCGGTGTGTGTTTGTTGTATCTGTTGCTCCAGTTCACAGAGGAGTACCTGCGGAGGATCCCTCACAATCACTGGCCTCGTGTGATCGTGGTGGCTGACGGGTCTTGTGGAGACTCCTGCTCGGTGCTGGGCATCAGCTCTGATTACACCGTAGAGTCTTGTCATGCTTATGGAGCCAATGCTGCAATAGAGAGGCTGGACCAGAGACAGGTCAGAACACACACTTGCACACACACACACACACACACCCGAACATCCACATACTGATGGAAACATTCACACATGCTCACACGCTGAGGCAAATAAGCAACAGGTGCGTATTTGTGTAAAGAATGAAGGCTGTAGAAACAGGATATTACAGGATATCAGAGTGAGGGCGACTTTATTTGGACTCATAAAGCCTGTTTGAGCAAACAAGGATGTAAATCTGCCAATAGCAGTTGAACACAGTATCTGACTCTCGAATAAACAAGCAGATCCGAGCAGACTGTTGGCTCATATTAACATCAACAGTGCGCCCGTTTTGATTTACTCGTCCAGTCTGATAAGAACGGCTGTTGTTCTGATGGATTTGGGTGACTGAGGATGACAAAGCTTGAGATATGTTTGGCCTGACTCCTTATCTCTCATCTGCCGGGCGAAAACAAATCAAGATACGAAAACATCAGAGCCAATGTTTCTCTTGCAGTGCACCAAAGGTCACCTGACGTTATATAAGCAGATGGTTCCTCGAAAGATGACTCAGTGATGCTATCAAGAAGACAGAATACATGAATCAAGAGCACCTTGAGTAAGCACTTACAAAAATAGCTCATTTTTTCTGCCCATTTAATTATAGACGCTGCAAATAAAGAAATGAGGTGTTTATATTTTTGGGTGTGCTTTTAGAGTCAAAATGCGGAGAAATTACAGATCACTCGAAATTGTGTTAAAAATTGTAACAATAATAGCCAAGAGGTTGTTTGTATGTCTTTAATGACAGACAATGACGAACTTTAGAATCAGAGGATTGTGTAATAGAGGAAAGTTCCCCAGTATGAGGTGACAGAAACATTATGGGCTATTATTAACTTAATACGTGAACATGAGTCAGTCTTCCTACTTTATACTAACATAATTATTCCCATCACGTTCTCTTTAGTGGCCATGGTCTTCTTTTTATTGCCTGCTTTTCTTCCCGGCTGTTTCCTGTAGTGATTGAATTTACCTCCCAGGATATGACCTGCTCAGCCCCAGCGTCTCCTCCCCTCCCCTCACAGTTGCAGCTCTGAGCCCTCACTGTCTCCCTCAGCTGCACTAACCGCTGTCTGAGCCCTCTGGGCTGGTTTATGTCATTGAGAAGAAAATTGATCAATTCTGGCTTTAGGGGAAATGTGGAGCCAATGTCCAATTGAACAAGAGAAAGAAATTAAGATTTTCTTCTTCAAGTGATGACCATTCAAATGCAGATTAGAGATGTAGGTGATACTCTGTGTGTTTGTTTTTATTTTTTATTGTTGTTAGTGGTTTATTTCTGTGTGTCAAAATATAGTGAGAACTCACAAACAAAAGTAGACTAAGAAAATGGTGTATTTGATAGCTATGGGGAAATTAATAAAAACAAAAACAACAAAAACATCCAAATATTAGCCTTTAAGACTCACAGAGGAAGTTTTTTAAAGTGATGGCTGCTTGGAGAAAAGCTCTCAGCGTTGGTCACTGTTTACAGGAAAATAGAGAAAAGAAAAAAACACTATTATTATACAATGTCAAAAGTTTTCAGGCAAAACAAAGTTTAAAAAGTAGCTCACCAATGTTTGAATAACACAGTATTTCCATTAGATCAGTTTCCCACCAAAATCAGCGTTAGCGGTGTGTGGATTCAAGCAGTCATTTTCATTTTAATGTTACAGCGAAAGTAATCTTTTCTGCAGTGTGAACCTACATAATCATCTATGTAGCACCTCTAAAAGCAATCATTCACAAAGTGCTTTGATATACAAGTAAAAACATGCATAAGAGTAATGCATAAGGACCGAAAAATAGAAAAACCTAATTTGTGCAGGGCTGGCATGAAGTGTGCACATTCTTGTATGAATATAATTTACTAAAATTTATTTACCAAACCTTTTTTAACTTATTCAATCTACTTTGACTTCTAACATTTAAGTATTAAGTACTGGATTTTTTTAAGGACCCAAAAAGATGTACTGTTTGTCCACAATCACATTTTACCTGAGCTTACTTTGAAAACTGCAACAAACTCCTGCACAGCTGGGACCCACTTACAGTATGTTTTAAAACCAACCAGTAAAACTTTAAACGGTTTTTAAAACTCACCAGGAAGCCAGTGATTTAATCTGAAACTGTGTTTTGTGATATTGTATGTTTCAAAGTGTAAGGAGCAGCTGTATATATGTGATGGTAATAGTTGTGGTGGAAGTCATAGTAATCCTAGTCTGTTTACTGCCTCTAATCAGAAGTGGTTTCACTCACTATCCTTCTCTCTTAACTTCAGGTTCCCACTCCTGAAATCCGAGCCCACAGCCTGTACTTTGACCTCTCTGCTTACGGAGTGGAGGCTCTGCGAGAGCACCGAAACCCGGCGTCCAAACCAGGTTTCCACCTGAAGATCTACGGCACCTTCAGGAACCGCTACATGGCTCTGGTCTGTCCAGCCTCTGAAACCAAGATGGTCCGCTTCCTGAGGCACACGGCCAACTCTTCTGTGAGCATCAGTTCTTCATTAAACCTCTTTCAGGGGTTTGTTTTCCACCTATTGTTGTTGATAAGGCTTCCAGGTGTGAGGAAGATGCTGCTGAGTTGAATGGAAGGGAAATGCACCTAATAATAACTCCTGTTCCTCACCTTTTATCCAGCAAATGGCCTTTCACTGCACTATTATTGGAGTCCATTAGTGTCTGAATTTGTATGTGTGTAAATCTCTGGAAGAGAGTGTTTGGCTGAGGGCATCAGAAGAAGAAGTGTATGTGTGTGTGTGTGTGTGTGTGTGTGTGTGTGTGGGGGGGGGGGGGGGGGTAGGATTCACTCAAGTGTGTGTAGAGGCCATCTGTATCCTGCTTTCATATGTCAGTGAACAAACAGACAGCAGTTTTTTAAGAGAAAATGGCTGTGGCTGCTCCAGTAACCGCTGGGCAGTAACTCTCTTTTAGTAAGAAACTTAATTTTTTTTTAATGTAAAGTCATGGCTGACCCCACGCAGAATACAGCGGATTACACACAGGTACATTGCAAGACCATCCTTGGAGCGCTTGTTGCTATGTGGGTGGCCATTCAGATGCACCGTTACTTGGTAACAGATGACTGTGTAAGTACGGGTCGAAGGAGAGCAGAGCAAGCAGGCAGAGAGACGACAGAGGAAGAGGGAGCGAGAGAAACGTACGTCACTCAGTTCCCACTGTTAATGAAGAATCAATGACTAAGAAAGGAAATGAGTGGAAATTTTTCCTCTTAATGTCTGTTTTTGTCTCTTTTTGTGATTTGTGGAACAGATTAAAGAAGGGTTATAAGAAAGACTTTTTCATTGACTTTACCTAGAATGGGGATTTTTGTAAGAGATTGTTTATCCTGAATATCTATGAATTAATTCCATAATTTTATGTCCTTCACTCTAAGAAAAAAAATACAAGTCACAGTTTGTCAAAGGCCCACTTACAGAAATGAGGGAGGTTTTCAGACATATGAGCGATTAGGCCGCTGCTGATATCTTCATGCCCTCTGTGATCTTTCTGTGTCATGAGCTCATCAATGATGTGTCATTATCCACCATCATACACTGTTGAAACCCATTACACACTCTAAGTAGAACTTATCATTTTATTACAATCAATATTCAAGAGTTTTTTAGACCATGGCTCAAGGCAAGCTTACCATGTGATCACAAATTAAACCTTTGTATACAAAAGGCTTCCATAGCATGTAATGCAACTTGAAATGTATTGTTTTATCTACAGGTTGGGAAGTTTGTACTGTTTTGAGTTGTTTAAATGCTGTTTATTGTGAATTAGTTTTATAGCTAACTCTAGTTTAGCAGCTGTGATGTGCATGGTCTCTGTCAAATAAATGAAAAAAATCTGACTGAATTAACAAAAAAAATTTAGTCCATTTTTTACAAACAAAGAAAAGTAAAACATTGCAAAGTGGTAGCATGCATAACCACAGAACTCTTCCCCCTTAACCTCAATCCAAACATTGTATTATTGTTTTGTTTTGTTTTATCTGTGGATCTGTATTTATGTGAGAAATGATCAGAAATATCTTAAATTATCTACTTTTTATGTCCAGATCATGAAGAACATTTTTCACCAGTCCTTCAATGCCTATAAGACGGACATCGAGCCCCGTCTCAGTGACGTGACGCGACATCACATGCAGTGCAGCCGCCGCCTATTTGAGATCCAGTTATCACACAGACGCATCAGTGCCGCCTACATCGATGGGGACAATGTGGCGGTGACTGTGGAGGGGGAGGCAGCTCGTGTGCTCAATTTTGACACAGGTACATGTCTATGAAAGCAGTTATTGAATCAAAGAGAAGGCCGGGGCATGATAAATCAGATTTTTTTTTTAACATGCAATATGCTTTTTAAGGGGTGTGTAACTCTTCATGGATGTGCCTCCCTCAATTTGATTAAAGCCATAAAACTGACTTAAAGTTATCTGCAAGATGAGGGTTGATACCTTTTTAGAATAAACACATTTTGTGTGTCATATCAGGACACATTTAATACATGTTGACTGTAATTTTTTTCTTTGTTTTCTTCTCAAGGTTGTGGGGTGAATCTGGGTATGCGTGGTTTGGAGTCAATGGGGACATTTATTTACCGCACAGCCACCGCTGTGGACCAGAACGACATCCTGGAGGCTCTGTCAGCTAAAATGCAGCACTCCAGGCAGGTGGCTGAGACCATCAAGCAGACAGGCCTGGTTGAATCCATGTATGAGTGAGACAGCGAGACAACCTGGTGAAAACGTGGTGGGTTGTTGGTGGTTACATCGAATGTTTACAATGAACCATGAGTCTGTTTGTGAATGAGGCTGTAATAGTTCAATATTGAACAGGACTGTATGAGCTGCAACCAGATTGATGTAAACATGTGACTTTAAGTCTTTCTGACATACACTGAGCAGATCTACTTGTGATGGATTGATTGAAAATGTTCAACAGTTTTACAAAAAGAAACCACATTGGTTTGAATTCCTTTCTGTAAGATTGAGCTTGAGACCAGAATTAAGATAATTTAAATCTCTGCAGGGAAAGAATATACATAAATCTTAAGGTTAAGCTCACTGTGCTCTCTGGATGCCGTAGTTCCTGAGGAAATAAGACTGTGCTGCAGAATCATCAGCTACAGCCAGAAATGTTAAAGCGTCCGAAAGTCTGTGTTGATTTTACAGACACGCATCTCTAAAGCTGAAAGCCTGATAAAATAAGGTCAGCTTTTATCAAGCTTTCTGTCTTTGTGTTTGACTGAAAACTTTGTAACGATTGTGACTCACTTGAAGTGTTTGCTGAAGTGTCTTACTTTTGTCCAGTGCTTTGTAAAAGATTTTATATTTCGAATAAGAAGGGTACGCCATGTTTTGAGCCACTGATTTGTTGATTGTTAATGTGTCATGGCGTCATTTTTTCACAATCTTTTCATGCTAAATTAAAGGTTACCTGAAGCTATGCCAACATCACCCCTAACATTGTATCAGTCTAGATTAATGCTGTTTACTCTACATAACATCATGTTGTTTAAGAGTCCATTGAAATGGTAATTTGGTGTGAGGTATGTGGATCGTTTTTACAAGATGCTGTCAGTTGTTTGTTGATTTCATGCTTTTTCACTGAAGGCATAAGCCACTTGAATTAAAATGACGATTCTGATCTTGGCGGATTTAAGAACTGCATCTAAATTATTGTTGTCTCTCGCAACTTATTAAAGGGACATGTGTTACCAAGCCCTAACAACCTAGCCCGAACACTAACACTACACCTTACCCTATTCCTAACCCAAACCACAACCTTAACCCTGACCCTAGCGCCTACATTAACTCCAACCCTAAAACTAACCCTAATACTAGCCTTAATCCTAACCCTAGCCCCAACCCTAACACTTACCCTAGCCCAAACCGTAGCCCTAACCCTAACCCTAGCCTCAACCCTAACCCTAGCCCTAACCATAGCCTCAACCCTAAACCTAACCTCAACCCTAGCCCAAACCGTAGCCCTAACCCTAACCCTAGCCCCAACCCTAACCCTAGCCTCAACCCTAGCCTCAACCCTAACCCTAGCCCGAACCCTAACTCTAACCCCAACCCTTACCCCAGCCTAAACCCTAACACTAACCCCAACTCAACCCTAGCACTAGCCTCAAACCTAACCCCAGCCTTAACCCCAACCCTAGCCTCAAATCTAACCCTAACCCCAACCCTAGCCCCAACCCTAACCCTAGCCTCAACCCTAACCCCAACCCTAACCTTAGCCCCAACCCCAGCCTTAACCCTAACCCTAGCCTCAACCCTCACCCTAACCCTAGCCCCAACCCTAACCCTAGCCTCAGCCCTAACCCTAGCCCCATCCTGACCTAACCCCAACCCTAACCCTAACTCTAACCCAAACCCCAACCCTAGGGCTAAGGTTAGGGTTGGGCTAGGGTTAGGGTTAGGATTGGGGCTAGGGTTACGGTTAGGGTTTAGGCTAGGGTTAGGGTTGGACTAGGGTTATTGTTAGGGTTGAGGTTAGGGTTAGGGTTGGGGTTAGTGCTTTACACAGCACAGATAAAAAAACATTTAAAAAACCTGTGCTTTAAAGGTCAAGATAGTGCAGTCAGGGGTTTGAAGACTAAAGGAAAGAGGAGGCATTATGACAGGACTTAGGAGGCAGGTGTCAAACTATAGCAGAGCAGGAGATATTGAAGATCAGGAGCAGTAAAAGTGGAGTTAAAGAGGATTACTTGAAGGTGAGGGTAAAAAGTGTGAGGGAGGACGGGGTAAACAAGGTCCCAGTCTTCATAAATAAGATTTATTGTCGGCTGATCTACGGGACGACATGAAGCTTTTAAATAAATGACATGAGGAGCAGATAAAGTTTAGGAAAGTTTGTCAGATATAGTTAATCAACAAAGGATCTTTTTTATTAATCCAACTCGCCGCAGTAAATCTAGAGGCTGGCTGGCCTGAGACTGAGACTGCACTCCAACATGGGGCTTATATCAAGACAGTGTTTAAGATCTGGAGGTTTAATGCAGGAAAAGAGCTGGATGTTTTATATTTGTTTGTTTTTTAATGCATTTTTAAATTTAAAAGATCATTTTGGGAATTTTAAGAAATGCTTTTATTCACTCCATAACTCTCCAAAGTTTGTAAGTTCAGAAAAATAAAGCTGCCTTAGCATGTAGACTAGAAACACCTAATATATATATATATATATATATATATATATACGTGTGTGTGTGTGTGTGTGAAATAGAAATAGAAATAGAAAGAGCTAAAGAAAGTTAATTTAAAGTTTAAAGTTAATTTATTAAAAAAGCTGCCTTAGCATGTTAAAAAAGAAAGAGCTAAAGAATAAATAAATAAATAAAAATAAAAGCTCACTTATTAATATTTTTGCTAAGATCTGTATTACACCTACAGCTTTATCTGAACTTACTGTTGTACAGTGAACTTTAGTTTCCAGAGGCTGATCCAAGGGGATACTGCCGTCTACTGGTAAGCTTACTCCATTACATCAGCTCAGCCTTAAACTCCAATACCTGTCAGGGTTTTATTTCTGAGAAGGATCTCTCCTTTGGTGATAGAAACATGAGACTGCAACCAATAGCTCATAGATTATTTTATAGGGACATCATGTCTCACTTTTACATTCAAGTATTTTTGGTATATCTTACTTAAAACTTGTAGACATGTGTCCATGAAATCCAACAATAATTGCCAAAAATTTTTAATTACCTCACCATAAAATGTAGCTTTTAATTATTTTAAAGGATTTTTGTAAAAAAAAAATTAACCTGAATGGTGAAAATGTAAAAAAAAAAAAAAAGTTACAAAATAAACAAACAATAATTAAAAATCTCATAAGGATGAATACCTGTTTGGTGTACTGGGTTTATTCATACTGGATATGTTTGTAAGCATTGTCTGAAATACTTTGTAAATGTTATTTTCTTTCTTTTCTTTTTTAAATTTGCCATTGAGCTCTATTTTTTAATTTTAATTTTTTTTGATGATATTGGTGTATGTATTTAAATGCCTGAAAATGTCATCCAGTAAAAAAGGCACCATAAAAAAGTTCCAGCTATTTTTCATTAGATGCACTTTGGGGATATACAAAACCCAATTCTGGGGTAACAGAATACAATAATTTGCAAATCCTTTTCAACCTTTATTCAATTGAATACACAACGAAGACAAGATATTTAATGTCCAATCTCATAATTATTTTTTTTTTTTTGCAAATAATCATTGACTATAGAAATTGATGGCTGCAATACGTGACAAAGAAGTTGAGAAAGGTGGCACAAAATACTGAGAAATTTGAGGAACGCTCATTAAACACCTATTTGGAACATCCCACAGGTGAGCAGGCTAATTGGGAACAGGTGGGTGTCATGATTGGTTATAAAAGCAGCTTCCCCAAAAATTCTCAGTCACTCACAAGCAAGGATAGGGCGAGGTTCACCACTTTGTGAACAACTGCGTAAGCGAATAGTCGAACAGTTTAAGAACAATGTTTCTCAAAGTACAATTGCAAGGAATTTAGGGATTTCAACATTTACGGTCCATAATATCAAACGATTGAATGCCCGTGACCTTCGATCCCTCAGGTGGCACTGTATCAAAAACCGACATCAATGTGTAAAGGATATCACCACATGGGTTCAGGAACATTTCAGAAAACCACTGTCAATAAATACAGTTTGTCGCTACATCTGTAAGTGCAAGTTAAAACTCTACAATGGAAAGCGAAAGTCATTTATCAGCAACAACCAGAAACGCCGCCGGCTTCTCTGGGCCCAAGCTCATCTAAGATGTACTGATGCAAAGTGGAAAAGTGTCCTATTTATTTTGTGAGCCCTTAAACCAGCACAAAAAGACTGTCTCTTAGACTTTAATTGAAGTGTCATTATTGAATGTGATTTTCTGTTTGTTTTACATCTGCATGAAAGGTTTCACCCTTACAAATGAAGTCCTTCCACTGGTTAAAAATGTCATGGAAATAATTTAAATAATAGCCTAATAAAAAAAAAAGAAAAAAAAAACTGTGATCCTCCCAAGATCCTGAAATAAATCAAAATAAACAGCATCAATTGAAACGACTCAATGGTATATTAAAAGCATTTTCTAACTCATATCTTTGTCATAAATGGTAAATTTTTTTAGAGACATCACTATAAAACTGCTCCATGCTAGTCTGCTTCCTCTCTCATCTGCAAGACGTCAGACTCTCCCTCTAAATGCCGGTCTCTCCGTCTAATTAAAAACATTCATCTGCTCGCCATGCCCTCCAAGGTCAATAGTCTAGACCTCTGAACTGGCCTCCACTGTAGCACAAGGCCTTTCATTAGATTAAACACAATAATGAGAAAATCTTTTATCTTTGCATATAATTAAAGCTCGAATGAAGGACAATTTAATCAATGATGTGGAATGACAAGTTCGTAAATGAATTAGGGCTGCCAATGGGGGCTTGGCTGCGATCAATGACTGATGTTAAGCAGGGAGTGGATGGGTTGTAGTCACAGCAGACATGTGATTGACATCTTTCAGTCCAAACAGAAATATTTAGAGCTTCTGGCAGAGACTAAGATTCAGCTGGATTAGTGATCAGCATCATGTTTGTCAGGGGTGACACAAACTGGTGCAGAGATACTTTTAATTCACACCTTTTATTAAGTGTGGAATAAACAAAAAAAATGTGAGTGTTTTGCTTTTAAACCACTGATCACAAAGAGCATTTTCAGTTCACTTTGGTATTGCCATGCTGAAGATGTGTGACTTTGAAGCCACAGGAGGGCAGTGTTGTCTTTTGAAAAAAGCCACTGGTCTCTCAGCGAGGGACGTCAGCTGCAGAGGTAAACTAGAAGAGGAGCTGAAGGAAATGTAGATGGGATAAATGAAGACTGTAAAGCTACAATGTCCGATTCATCTAGGAAATATAGAATTTTATTTTGATGGACTAGCCTGGATAAAAAATAAGCCACAGAAAATAAAATAAAATAAAAACAATCTAACCTTTGACCCCTGTTCCCCAGACTGTCAGAGAAAGACCATCGACAAAAGGATGCTAAAATAGCATTTGTCACTGCCTAAAGTTTTCATGGCTACCTAATTGATAACTGTACAGAGAGAGGGACATGAAAAGTTGTGAAGCCATGGTTCCCTTCTGACTGTGTGAGTTTGTGTTTGAGGAGATGAGAAAGGATGTGAGCACGGCCTCGTATTGACGAGCTTTCACTCGCTGTCTGACACACAGACAGGAAGTCACTGTCACATGACTGAGGTATCGGCACCTTGTCCGATTGCACAGAGGGCCTCTTATGTATGCTGCCAGCACAAATACAGGCCAAGTCATTCATACACATGCACACACAAAGACAGAGAGGAAAGAAACAAAGACATGGAAATCCAGAGAAAATGGTCCAGGTCTTGTTGTTGAATCCTGCTGCTGGATTTTTTTTTGGCTCTCTGGTGACGTCTTTCCAACAATTATCAGTTTTCCTATCTTTCCCTTCACACTTACACCCATTCTCCCTAAACTGCCAAAGCAAATAATTGGGCCACTCTGTCAGAGACTAAATCAGGCCCTCTGTTCTGACTAAAACTCACATCCTTCACCCCTCTCTTCATCCTTCCTTATTTCCTTTTCGCTCCTTCTGTCTTCCTTCCTTCTCCAACCTC